CTTGCAAGCAGGCAGTCGTGAGTTTGATTCCTGGTACTGATAAAAAACGAAAAAGACAAAATAAAATAAAATGCTCATTTATAAATATGTGGATAGGGGGACAGCTAGGATGATGGAACATGCCTATAATCTCAGCTACTTGGGAGGATGAGGCAGGGTGGTCATAAGTTCAAAACCAGTCTGGGCCAACTTAAGATCTATTTTAAAATAAAAGTTAAGTATAGTTCAGTGGTAAAATGTTTGTCTAGTATACACAAAGCCCTGAGTTTAGTTGCCAGTATTATTTAACAAAAAAGTGAGGATACTTAACGACACACCTCCTAGGAGAAAACAACACAGAAGTGCCTAGTTCTAGCCAGAGAAGGGGTCTTGTTACCCGTGATGCTGTTTTACAGGGCTCCATGAAGAATAAACATCAGCATTTCCTCAAACAGGTAAGACAGGAACTCAGATGGTTGGGCCCAAACTTGTGAGAAGCTCCTTTGTCTCACACAATATCCACTCTCATGCACAGACACTTTATTAATTTTCTAGAAAAACAGAACTAGCAGATGGAAGAGGGACAATTTTAAGGACCTAGTCCATGGACTTGTGGGGACTCAAAAATTCAAATTTGTAGGGCAGGCAAGCAGGCGAGAAGTCAGGTAATTGTTGACATTACAGTTTGGAGCCCAAAATCTTTATGACAGACCAACCATTTGGAAAGCCAGGCAGGGTTTCTACAAGGCAGTCTTGAGACATAACTGAATCTTCTTCCAGGAAACCTCAGTATTTAACCTTAAGGCCTTCAACTAATTGGATGAGGGTCACCTACTTTATGGTCGTAATCTGTTTTACTTAAACTCAATTGATTATAATTTGTTAATCACTTTTTAAAAAATTTTTTAGTACCAGGGATCAAACTCATGACCTTGCACTTGCCAGGCAAGCACTTGTGTTACTGAGCTAAATCCCCAGCTTGTTAATCACTTTTATAAGTACCTTCTTAGCAAAATCTAGTATTTCATCAAACAACTGGGCAGCATAGCCCAGCCAAGGTAACACAGAATTATGACAGCCAATCCGAAGCCTCAAAGTGCTGTCTAAACCCACCTCCCAGACATTTTCCCTTCAACTTCCTGTTGAGTTCCAGGACTTTAGTAGACTAAGCATGCACGCTATCCCTGAGCTACATCCTCAGTCTACTATTCCTTTTTAAGTGTTTGATTTTTGTTCATTGTAGATTTTTTTGGCAGTAATTTTTATTCTAAAATATTGTATCAGCGAGGTGTAGGGGTGCATACCCATAATCCAAACACTCTAGGAGGTTGAGGCAGGATGCCACAAGTTTGAGCCCAGCCTGCGTACCTGTGTGCAATTTAGTGATCCCTGTCTCAAAGTAAAAATTAAAAAATAGCAAAATCGGGGAATGTAGCAAAATCTGGGAAAGGCCCAGTACTGCAAACAAAGCCAGCACTGTAAATGTAACTAAAATCACATTAAAGTATTAAGTATCTGAATCACCATTTTGACATCTCTTTAAATTTTGCATACACGGCAAAAATTTCATTTGCTTCATCAGCCCTAGTCCAATCATAATCCTTTTCACATTTATCAGCTTCCGCCTTCCCACCCCAGTGGCTTACCTGTTGTACACTGCTAACGCACTTTGGACTTTAATTGAAGGAACGAATGAAGAAAGCAGAGATGGAAAACAGCTAATGACAATGGTTAACATTCTCGTACTTAGTATTTTTGTGTTCCAGGTACTGGGTTAAGCACTTCACTTCTTTAATAAGCCAGTAACAATAATAATAATAATAATAATAATAATAATAATAATGTACAGATTTTACAGAAGAACAAATTGAGAGGAGAGTAAACTGTAATGCATGAGTGACTTGCAGAACTGGAAGCAGCTCTTTCTGGATTCCTAAAATATCTTTTTCTCACTGTTTCCCTTCTGGGCATTGGAATAAAAACTGAGAAGGAGGAAGTATGAATACAGGAAGAGGTAGAGAGACAGAATTTAGAAGACCGGAACCATCATACTTTCATATCCAGTTATCTCACTTGAGCTTTGCAACTATTTGACAAGTTGGGTAATAACGGGTGGGGTGTCCCAGGTGGCCTCCCTCCTTGCCACCCTGGCAAGTCCGTAGCACCCTTAGCAAACATTCTGGATAAGTGAGGTCAGCACCTCTCCCTGAAGGGCGGGTCTCCCTTCTTCTGCCCCAGGGACTGAGTGGGGAAGGCAAAGATATGATAAGAGCCAGGGCTGACGTCACCAGCCTCTCAGATACCCTTGTCTAGCTGGCTTCACCTGATTCTGGTCCTCACCCTTCCTGCCTGATTGTGGAGAAAACCCCTGAAGCACACTGAGGCACAAAATGAAATTCAGAATACCCAAAACCAGAATCTAAAATGGCCCAGAAATAAAAATAAGAATGTGAGGAAATAAAATGAAATTCACAAGATTTGCTGAGAAGGGGTCATCTTAGGTCTTTGCACCTGGGGTAATTTGTGCATGTCTTACTCAGCGATAAAATGAGTTCTAGCCATGGGTGTGCAGAGATGATTTCTGAAGACAGTGACTGCAGCTCCAGGGAGGAAGGAAATGTAGTTTTCATTCTACACTTCATTTTTTAATTTGCACAACTAGGGATCCAACCCACGTGTGTGGAGCTACAGTCTCATACATTCCCCAGCTTTTTTTCATTTTAATTTTGAGACAAGGTCTCATTAAGTTGCCCAGGATGACCTTGAACTTGTGATCTTTCTGCCTTGGCCTCCACATATCTGGGATTAGAGGTATGTCTCACTGCACTTGACTTCTTTTTCTTCTCTGTGTGTGTGTGTGTGTGTGTGTATGCACGTGTGCACACCAGAGATCAAACTCACTACCTCCTGTTTGCCAAGCAGGCACTTACATCGCTGAGCTAAACTCCTGGCTCTGCCCCTGACTTCTTAAAATTTTTTAACCATGCCTGGATAAGCCTGGCATGGTGGCTCTTGCCTGTAATCCTAGAATTCAGGGGCTGAGGCAGGAGGATTCCTGAGAGTTTGAGGCCAGCCTAGCTTACTTACATAGCGGGTTCAAATCCAACTTGAACTGCATAGTGAGACCCCGTCTCAAAAAACAAAAAATAAAATAGTATTCATATATTATTTTTACATTTAAAGAACATACATACACACACATACACACACTCTTACGAATTAAACTCAGGGCTTTGCACATGCTAGAAAATCACTGTACAGAGTTACACCCCATTATTTAAGGTAGCCTGCCTGGAATGGAAGCCAAGGTGCCAGTCACGAGTAATGTGGTGGCTCCTCTCCAGACTTTCCTCTAGCAGAGTAGAGGGAGCCTAACCCATCCTTCCTGCAAGGAAAGAACAACTTAATTAGTGCACGACACTAAAGGGGTGCCTACCTAGTGCCTTCCAATTAGGTAGCTCATCATTCTGAGGACTCAGAGTCCTCAGTACTCACCGCAGCAGCACATGTAAAGCCAGCCAAAGAGAAATGGGCGGAGCGCTTGGCTCCTGGAGTGTTAACCACGTGGCCCAAACTCATGCTAGTTCTTGAGAGCTGTGCACCATCCCTCAGGAGCTTCAGCTGGGATCAGTGGCCACTAGCAAACCTTGGGAAAGAACCGAGACCACTCACTTCTAGTCAGGCAGGACCCTGATGAAGAATCACATGTCTGAAGGTCAAACCCACACAGGGAGCATCTAGCTCCAAAGAAGAGAGAAAGGAGGGGCAGCATCCCATGATCTTCAGCAGGAAATGCCCTTGTCCTGGGAAAAGGAGCTATTGAGAAAGGCAAGAACGGCTGCCCCTAGAGCAGGGAGTTAGAATGATCCACCAGTTTGTAAAGGGTCTAAAGAAGACAACTAGGAAGCTCAGTAGAAAATGTCTCTTTAGGAGTCATTTAACCCCCTCCTAGTCTCTAGTATGAAAGGAAGGGAAGCGGATTCTTCTGCTGCTTAACACTGGGGAGATGGGTGACCATGCCAAGAGTGAGTGGCACCTCTTTTTCTACGCCGGTGGGAATGTTGTCTTTCCTTGCCCCCCTCATATACAGTAGCTGGGAAAACTTTTCTTCCAACACTCTTGCTGGCTTTCTCTCCAGACTCTATCACAGAACGCCTTCCTTGGCCCTCTTAGGAATAGCTCAGTTCTACCATGAGGTCCCATATTAGAAAATAATATTGCTCCTTTTCATTCAACTGTTAATCCTCAAATGGTTCCCCTAGTCCTTCCCAGTCACTTCTTTAAGACTAAGAACCCACAAGGTTACATACAGAATGATAATTACCCACAGGATGCAAATTAACTAGATTGTCATTCCAGCGTCACCACTACTTGTTCAATGATTCTCACATTTGAATATGCACCAGAATCAGCAGGAAGACATTTTTGCAGCACTGGGGGATTGAACCCAAGGCCTTTGCACTGACCTAAATTCTCAACCGTGTATATATAATCTGTATGTGGCGACCCATATCTGTAATCCCAGGACCCTAGAGGCTGAGGCAGGAGGACTGTCTTAAATTCAATGCCAGTCTGGGCTACATAGGGAGATCGCCTCTTAGGGAAAAATTTTTTTCCTTAAGTCATACAGGCTGGGCTCAAATTTGTGATCCTCCTGCCTCAGCACCCCAGAGTAATGAAATTACAGTTCTGTTCCACCACACCTGCTCACCAGGAAGTTTTAAAACTCAAATTGCTGGGCTACTTCCCCAGGGTTTCAGGTTATCTCTGCACATCTATCTGCTGTGGGGCCTTGAACCTCACTTCCCTGTAGCGTGCCCTGCTGCTACTCATAGAGCTGTTCAGGAAATCACACTGTGAGAAAGCCTCTAGCTATGCGATCAGCACCTCCTGTGTACAGTCCGAGTAACGGTAAGGACCTGGTGAAGCTGATGTTTCAATCTGGCGCTTGGTACTAAGGCACGCGCGGTTAAAACCAGCTCGTGTTGGATGGGGGAAGGGCGTCGTTCGCCCAAGCCCTGCCTGCAAATGAAATCAAACCCGGGGCAAGCCCCGGGCCTCGCCCGCCGGCCGCTCCTCCGGTCAACCAGGCGGAGCTTCGCGGCTCAGGGAGCTCCCACCACGCCGTCCTCCAGGCTGCGCGCGGTACCACGCGGCTCCCTGCCCGCAGCGCTGCCGCTCTGTGGCTTTTGGGGCGTCCAGGACCCTCCGATCTGTTTCAGCGTAAAATCCGGCGTCCCGGGGTGGACCGAGGTGTGGGGGAGCCGGGCGCCCCCGCCTGCCGTGGCCCCGGGGTGCCGCCCGCGCGGCTGGGAGCACCTGGCCCGGGGCACCCGGCCTCCAAGACTGGAACCCGCCCCGGCCCCGCCCTCGCCTGGCCCTCGCCCTCGGGGCCGCCGGGGTGCGGACTCCGAGCGGGCGGCGGCGGCTCAGCCTCCGAGGTCCAGGTAAGTGCCGGAGCCGGCGACCCCTGCTGGCCCAGGGTCCTGGAGGGCTCCTGCTCCCCGGGACTCCCCTCCGTCGGCTCGCTCCACCAGCCTTCTCTTCCTCCTCCCCTGCCACCCCACAGTAAAATAAAGGGGCCGGGCCAGACCGGTGTCTCCTTTCTCCGCTCGTGAGGCGCCCTGGTCTGTAGCTCCTCCCTTGGTAGGACCCCTTCAATTTTGCGCTCTAGGATCCAAGGGATGAGCCGGGAGCCCAGACCTTGGAACCTGGGGGAGCGAGACGCGCTGTAGCACCCCCTTCAGATCTCTCTCGCTCTTTACCAACCCAAGTCCCCACTTCGCTTGCACTCGCGTCTCCCCAGTTTGGGCCACCCCATGTGTTCTGTGCAGAAAGTCAGAGAAGTTCCTGCAGCCCGTGCCACCTCTCACCTAAAAAGGCGGAACAATCAAGGGGAAACCTGGGGGGGGGGGCTTCCCTAGAGCCGGGTTGAGCAGACTCGGATACTTGGGCCTGTTGGAGGGAGGGAGACGATTGTGATTGTGTGGTATTGCGTGGGAGGAGGTCTAATGGGTATATGTGACTGTGACTGTCACTAACTTCCTGGTTTTTTTTCTTTTGTCATTTGTTCCAAGCCTCACCCTGACTGAAAGGAGAAACAGCTTGTTTTTTGCAGTTGGGGCCAGTCATCCTAGACCCAGACCCCTGCGGTGAGTGGGACCGGGACCTCCTGCCTGTGTGCAGGGTAGAGGAAATCAGTTGGCCAGCAAAGCTTACAACAGATCTCACTACATTGCTGCAGTAACCAGCTGTAGCTTGCCCTGGGATCACACATGCAATTTATGGGCAATAGATGAGGTTAATAACTCTGGACGCACCAGGAAACCTCGAGGGATTGTGTGTGCCCTATACAGGCCCCGTTCTTCCCTGTTGAGGGATGAGGAGCATCCTTATCCATCACAGGAAGGACTAGAGAATGAGATACGCAGATTCATGTGATGACTAGAACAAGGCAAGTTGAGGCTTTGAAATATACTTTCACTCAAAGTATCCAGCAGTAATAGCTAGTATCATGGCAGGCACATCCCAGCTCCATGCCCTCAGGGAGCTCTGCACTTTAGGAACCCCGAGGTAACAGGAGAAAAGTACTTCTTGGAGCACCCAGGCAGAGAGGAGTACAAGACTGTCAAAGGAAGAGGAAGTTGGTAGCTGGTGGAACCGTGAAACATACTGTGCTAGTGAATAGCCAGTGCCCACTGTCAGCAGGACTAACTCCCACCCAGAACAGCATGGAAGGGCTCAGGGCCCCTCTGAGATCAGAACTGACTTGACCCAAGATCAGCGGAGAGAAACCTGGATAGGAGATGTGACCCTACACTTAGTCTGCGCAGTCATCTTCTACAACAAAAGTCAGAGCTAAGCGGGCAGCTCATCCTAGCGCTGCGGGCTTCTTACGCAAAGGCAGTGAGTATAATGCAGGGAGCAGGAGGCTGACTCAGCTCTGTCATTAATTTAGCAGTACAACCTTGGCCAAATCACATAAACACTCCTTGGGTGGGGAGAAAATGAGAAGGTGTAGATGAAAGTGCTTCGGCAAATACAAGACAATATGATGTCATAGTAAAGAGAGGGGGCTTTGGAGAGACAGGGCCTGAGTGCAGATTCTGCCTCTGCTACTTCCTAGCTATGTGACTTTGATCTAATTAACCTCTCTGTGCTTCAGTTTCCTTCTACATAAAAGAGAGATGATAACTCTAATTCAGTTTGATGTAAGTAGTCATATGAAAAGTGACAATAGAGCTGGGTGCACACGTACACACCTGTAGTCCTAGATACTAGGGAAGTTGGGACAGGATTGCTTGAACCCAGGAGTTTGAATCTGATGATGCATTCCAACATCCCCAGCTATGGGAAGTAAAACTAAGGACCAAACTGGGTATATATGTGTCGAGAGGGACATGTGAATATGTGGGTGACCTTGGTTTTTCATATAGCCCCTACCCTTCTCTGGGAAGGCTCAAAATGTCATTTCTCATTTGATGGAGATGAGAATTTGAATTTGAATAAACAAGAGGTCAAGTGCAGGGCAGTGCCTGCCTCTGTGTGGAGCTCAATGCTGTAATTGTGCTGTGTAAAAAGGCTTGTGTGGTGAACAGGATAGGTTCAGTCCAGGAGAAAAGGGGCCTTCTCTTAGAAGATTCTTTTATAGTACCTGTGATACTCACATGCGTAGAGTCACGGTTTTCTCTTATACCTTGCCCAGCCCAGTATCCAGTCCTAGGCAGAGATTTGAAGGAAGGAAGAAACCTGATTTTTACCTTCAGCTCTCTCTCTGTATAAAATGGAAAGCAAAGCACAAACAGGCAGGAAGTGGCCTAGCTACACACCTCAGGCCCAAGGGATGGTGCAGGCTTAGGAGGCCAGACTGATGAGTCAGGAGAAACATTCCAGATGCACAAGTTTAGGGACTGGGATTAAGGCTCAGAAAGGAGAAGAAAATGGGATCTGGTGTCTGGGCTTGTTGGTTCACGCTCCTCCTGTGTGTGGGGAAGACCTAAATGAGAAAGCATGGGTAGTGAGGGTAACTTGGGAGCACTGAGGGGAGGGGAGGATCCGCCTTCGTCTAGAAAGACTTCTTGGAAAAAGAGGGTTGTGAGTGAGAATTTGAAAGAGTGGAAATGTGGCTGCTTAGCCAGAAGATAAGGGCAGCATTCCGAGGGGAGACACAACCAGTACCAAGATTCTGGTCAGGCTGTGAGAGTGAGTGCAGACAGAAAGCAGACTGCCCGAGCCTTGGTTTCTGCCGCAATCAAAAGGCACCAAGGAAATATAAACCTGACTTTCTGATTGTGGAAAGGGGAGAGAGGCCTGAGGCAAAGGAGGCTGTCAGGCAGCTACTGTTGATCCTTCAGATGCTGGGTGATAAGGATGAAGTTGCAGATGACTGGTTTTGAGAGTAGAGAAAGGGGAGGATTCTGGAGGCAGAGAATGAATCAGCAGGATTTGGGAGTAGGCATGGGGTAAACCCAAAAAAGAGAAGACCAGGGGCACTGAGTGGGCTAGAGCCAGGGCAAGGGCAAGAAGCAGGAACCGGGTGTTTCAAGGATTTTGATGCTACTGGCTACACTGGGGAGGCGGGAAGGCTGGCTAGCTTAGGGACCCAGGCTCAGGCCCTGAGTTCAGGGTGTGGCAAGTTGAGTATCCGATGGGTAGAAGCTCTGTAGTCAAGAGCAGATTGTTGGGTAGGCAAGAAGGGAAAACCCCAATTCTAGCCTCTTTCATCGCCCCCTCCAATCTGGAGATTGGCCCCAACCTCATCCTGCAACCAACAAATTGTAACACCCAATTCAATTTCTTTTTCACTTCTCTCAAACCCAGCCTGGCTGTCTTCAGGGTTCCCATGCAATTAGAGAAGCCTACCTTTCCCCTGCTTGAGAATCTCTTTCATTCCTGGAATCCTTGAGATAAATTGTATCCCTATTTAACTTGGCCTGGAAATCCTCTAGAGAAAAGCCTGTGAACTATTGAACTTCATATCTGGCTACCTGTTGTTTCGATTTTCAGTGACTTGTGCTTAGTATAAGCCAAAAAAAAGATTTAGTGAGCACCTACTATCTTGCCAAACATTAATCTGAGTATACAATGGTGAACAAATTTGGGTTGGGTTTTTCTGTTGAAAATTTATGTTTGAATAGCTTCAGCTTAACAGCTTGTGTAAACAGAAAATGAATTTAGATATGCTGGGTCAAATTTCCTCTTTTTTTTTTTTTGAGTCTCACTATTGAGGGTCTCACTATGTAGTTTAAGCTGGCCATTAACTCACTATGCATAGCCTAGGCTGGCCCCAAACTCACGATCCTCCTGCCTCAGCCTATTAAGTGTCAGAATCACAGGTGTGCTCTAGCATGCCCAGCATGGGGAAAATTTTTTGATAGACTTACTACAAAAATAACTTTCAGTGCATCTTTCTGGGAAAATAAGCTGCAGTACTGCAGGTCTGGTCTAGGGGAAAAGGCAAAGTGTTTCAGAGGTGTAATTATGGAGGAAAGTGGAAATCTCCCAGCCTTCTGTGATCAAAAAGTTTAGAGGTGAGAGAAGAGCTTTTTGAGAGAAAACTTGCTCCTCCTCACAGCAGGTCTGGGGAGGACAGGACAGGCAAGCGCTGTGTCTGGTAAAGAGAAAGTGTTAGTGAGGGAGAAAGGACCCCTCTCCCAACAGGAATGTGAGCCCACCTGTTATCTCTCCTACATTATGTTCAGCCCCACACACCTCTGCCCTCCATGAGACACTGGTGACAGTCTTGCTTTGCTTTTCGAAGAGATCGTGAGCTCAGTCTGAGCAATTTGAGCAAACATCTCTGTGGTGATGGCAGTGAAGTCTTGCTTCCTGTATGCCATGTCTCCCCAAGGTGAGCAGCTCATTTGATAAACAGGAAGAAACTTGTTACAAAGATACCACCTGTCAACACTGAGATTTCAGAAGAAAAAAAAAAAGATGCCACCTGGCCAACAAGGATATGTTCCAGGTGGCTGACCCTGGCTTTCACATTCAACTTCCTAGTTTCCATGTGTTTAAAGCTTCTGAGTGGCTGGGTGGGAGCTGGGAGGACCGCAGATGCCGTCGAGAGGGTTTGGGGAGGCTCAGGGGAGCACAGTCCCATGTGACCTCCAAGTGGTAGTTAAAAGAGGCAAGCAGGGCAGTGACCTGGGAGTTGGGAAACAGTTCTGTCCCAGGAGCCACTGGCTACGTGTCACCAGCAAAGTCACTTCAGCAAGCAGCCTCACCCATATTAGTCAAGAGTGCAAGCTAATAGTTCACAGCAGAACAGCACGGAACTCAGATACTTGTAGCACGTGCATGATACACGTCCATATTCTCAGCACTTGGGAGGCTGATGCTGGAAAATCGTAAGTTTGAGACAGCCTGGGCTCCATAGTGAGATCTTGTGCCAAAAAAGATAAACCATTGTTTAGTGAAACCCCTGTAGCCTCATTTCATTTAACAAAAGTTTTACAAAGTGATGTACTTTGGTATTTCCTTTTCCATCCTATTTTGGTCTGCTTAGAAATGATTTTCATGCTGATTTGCCCCACTGTAAACTTGCTTTATGAAATTGTATACAGTGATGGTAACCAGCAGTCAGGGAGACCCTGAATCTATTCCCTGTACTAGTGAGAGAAGTTCACCTCCTGGCTGGTGGCCCAGAAAAGCAAGTCTAATTTGTTCAATCTAGAAAGGCTTCCCAGAAGAGGATTTTTGGTGAAACCTCAGCACTGACAGTCTGAGAGTGGCAGCCCAAGGATGGGTGGAGGAAAAAGGCTTGGGAACTAATACTCAGCAGCAGCAGGAGGAGAGGAGTGAGTGGGTGAGGCTGTGAGCACTCTTGCTGGTGATCCTGGAGGCCAGCCGTTAAGGCCTGAGATGCAGGAGATCTGCAGGACTTGGGGTCCTGTGAAGCCCTGCACTTAACAAATAGTAGGGCCTATTCCTCCTCCAAAGCTGGTGGCAGGGTGACCTCGCTGCCCTTATTAATCACACTTGTGGGAATCGTCTCCTATACAGAGAGCAGAAATCCTTAATCTCAAACTCCTGTGGCTTCTATTGAATTGCTGTCTCTTCTGCTGCCTGCAAACTGAGCAAACAGTGAGTGCCCTGCTGCCAAGTCTAATCATAGGTGTCTCGTTTCTTTCAGGATGTGGTCAGTACCTTGAGGAACTGCAGGTCCTAGAGAGAAAGCTTTAGACTTCCAGGTTATATTGAGAGAGTAGATGACTGAGAGGAGCTCAACTTAACCCTGGTTTCCTTTCTTTAGGGAAATACGAGGAGCAAAGACAAACCCCACTACAAGAGGCCACAGTGGTGCCAGGATGAAGAAATTAGCGTAACTCAGCCGGAGAGATCTTGCTGGAGGTAAGTCCTGAGCGCTGATACTGCTAGTAACTCGGCATTACCACACCTTTGTCTCCACCTGCCCTCTCCTTGCTAGAGTGGGAAAGCAGAAGAAAAAACACAACCCTAGGATCCAGTGTCCCTATTCTGCAGCCTTCTGTGTGAGCTTTGTGCGACACTTCCAGCGCTGAAGAGGCACCTCCCTCAAGCAGCCTTGTGCTGACCCCAGCATAGCTCAGCCGCCAGGATGGGACATTTCTGAATCATCCTTTCTGCCTTGAAACCCTCACCAAGCTCATGGGGCACTTTACCTTCTTTCTTTGGTGTTTGCCACCTGTGCGACTGTTATGTTTTAATTTTATTAACTTTTGAATAGGAAATGTAGTCAGGGTTCAAAATACAAAGGGGGACTCAGTAAAAAGGTGTTTTCTGCCTATAATCCCAGCACAGGGGAGGCTGAGGCAGGAGGATCATTGCAAGTTCAAGACCAGCCTGGGCTACACAGCGAGTTCAAGGCCAGCCTGAACTATATAGTGAGAACCTCTGTCAAACAGACAAAAAAAAAAAGATCTTTTTCCTGATCCTGTCTCCTCCCAGGGCAGGTGTACCTGGACCCAGTGCTACCTCTTCCTGTTCCCCAGAAACACTTTTAAATCCCTTAGAGAAAGGAAGGGTCCCACACCCCTTTGTGTCTTCCAGTGTCCTACCCCATCACCCAAGAGAATTTCGCTAGCGTCACATGCCCTCTCTGCCCTGGCATCGCTCTCCTGGGCCCAGTGCCCAGGCCCCTCCTAACTGACTGTCCAGCTGCCAAGCAGATCCATCCCTAGACACCATCTACCAGATGTCATATTGCTTTTCCTAGAGTGCTGGGCTCCTTTATTATACCTGGTACCTCAGGTCAAGGGCAAACTCCTCAGCATGACAAACAAAGCCCTGATAACTTGGCCTCAGTAGCCACTCCAGGCCCATCTTCTACTGCTTCTACCAGACTTTACACCCCCGTCATATCAGACTATGGGCATTCTCTGGTTAATCATTCTGCCTCCCATCAGTAGGCCTTGGCTGTGTGGGACTTTCTCTCTGCCTGGACTGTGCTCACCTCTCCTAGGCTGCTTTCTCTCAATCTGGTGCTCTACCCAAGCTTCTCCCCCTGCAAGGTTTCTTTGCCCCCCTTCCTTCGACTGAGTTTCCAGCTTCTTTCTCCTTCAGCACCCAAGGGTACCTCTTCATGCTGCCTCCCTGACTCCCTCAGGGTTGGGGATTTAGCTCAGCAGACATAAGTGCCTGCCTTACAAGCAGGCAGTCGTGAGTTCAATCCCCGGTACCGATAACAAAGGAAAAAGACCACCAAAAAAAATCTGACTCCCTCCACTGACTGTTCCCTCCCTGAGGCCTGGCTTTGCTCATCTCTGTACTCTCTTCATCTTGCAGAGTCCCTGGCAGACAGCAGATACTTAGTGATATTGGCAGAGAGAACAATACTTAATGCGAAACAATCTGGGACATATCTTTTATTTAAGTGTTGATGCTCCTGAATCTCATGTTATGAAAGAAACCACCCCTCTTTTCCAGCCCAGAGTGAAAACTTTGCTCCACACTAAAATCAGGCCGACCACATTTTCCCTGGATGTGTGTGTCTCCTGCCACCAGTGTGCTCTTCAGGCAGGTTTAAATAGTTCAAGCAAAACAGGCAAGGGGTGATGAGTGTGGTTTTATTAATTATAAGAAAAGAAATACTTCAAACCATTTATTAAGGGCTTAGGAAATGACATGGACTCTGCTGAGTATTTTACATACGTTATCTGATTTAATCCCCCCATAACCCTGTGAGTTAGGTGTTAGTTACCCCCACTTTATAGATGAAGAAATTGAGACTTACAGGGATTAAGAAAATTGCCTGTGGGTCACACGTGACTAATGATAAAAACTAATGCGTTCTGAGAACTTACCATCCACAGAGATCACCAAACTTCTTCCATGAGTTTTTTTTAACGATAATCCTTATATCAGCCCTAGGAGATAGGTGCTATTACTAGAAGGGCAGAACCTGGACTTGTGCCCAGGCCTCTTGCCACTAACATCTAGTTCTCAGTCATGAGACTCGTTCTTCCAAAGCTTGGCACGGAAAGTTTTGCAAATATTCAAAACATGGAACACGTGCTCAGGATGGAAATTGGTGTACACCTATGCTCTGTCTTGTTCGAAAGGTGTTATAGAGCCTCAGATTTTTAAAAAAAGTTTATTTTATTTTTGGTAGAAACTAAGTAGATACAGAATACAATCTGCCCGTGGACAACACAAGTTTAAATTGCATGGCACCACTTTTACACAGTCTTTGGGGAGTGGATTTTCAACAGTTTTTTAAAGAAGTGACAGACCTCATAGCCTAGCAATGTAAATTTTTTTTAATTTTGTTTTTACAGTAATGGGGATTGAATCAAGGGTCCTCATACTGAGCCCATTTTTTATTTTTATTTTTATTTTTATTTTAAGACAGGCTTTCACTAAGTCATCTAGGCTGGGCTCAAATTTTCAATCCTCCTCCTTCAGAGTTCTGGCATTATAAGAATTGCTATGTTTTTTTTGAGACAAGAATTTCACCATGTAGCCCAGGCTTGCCTTGAACTTGTGAGAATCCTCCTGTCTCTGTTTCCTAAGTTCTGGAATTATAGGCATGTACCACCATACCCAGAAAAAACAGAACCAAAAAAAAAAAAATACTAAGAGTAGGAAAATTTATTGGAGAAAAGGAATGAGGACTAGAAATAGCTCCTAAGAGACAGGCAGACTCCTGAGTGAGTTGTCAATCAGCCCACTTCTCAAAGGAAGTTAAGGCATTGATAAAATTAAGTATGTCATGATTGCATAATATATATAATATATATAGTGATCTATCATTTACTACCATAAAACATACATAAATATATTATAATATAAATAAGATAAAATTTATCAGCATATATGCACACAAATGCTGAGCATGCATGGTACCACCTAACAAATATAGAGATGGAGCATTAAATTACAACTGGGGCCTAGGCCTATACCTCAGTAGTAAAGCATGTGCTTAGTGGGAGGGAGACCCTGGGTTCAATTTCCAGCACCAAATATAGAGTAAGTAAATCAGTAAGGCATAAGGGCTGGAGATGTGGCTTACTGGTAAAGTGCTTGCCTAACATACCTAAGGATTCAATCCCTATGATTATAAAAGAAAATTTAAAGTTTAAAAAATCATAACTACATAAGTTGATTTCAGTATACCCTCTACTACTGTAATAATTTTATAGCTACCCCCCTGTGCTAACATGGTAAGTACTGTGAATGTCTGCTTAAAATGCCCTGTGATACTATCTCCATGTGGTGTTCATCTCTGCAGAAAATCAAGTATCGTAGTAAAAAAACAGCTTTGCTTGGTTCACGGGTATTTTTCACTATCTATTATATATATATATATATATATATATATATATATATATATATATCACAGTAAGTATGCATTAGTCAGCTGTTTATGTTGTCAGTGAGGCTTCCAGGCAGCAGCAGACTTTCTGTAGTTAATCTGAGGGGGATTCAAAAGTTAAACTTAGATTTTCAGCTGAGTGAGCAGTTAGTACCTCTAACCCCTGTGTTGTTCAAAGGCCAACTGTATTTATAAAATATGGGTAGGGCAGTGTTGAAAGCCTTAGGCCAGGACTAAATATGGGGAGAGACGCCAGCTGTTGAGTTTGAAGCCAGAGGTGTTTTCCTGCTGGAACAACTCCCAAGCTGTCGTCCGCACCTGTGTCATGGCTGTGGCTCTATGGCAGTGTCGCTGGGGTACACCAGCTCCCTCCAGAGAGCACCCCTTTTCTTGGATTTTCCTCATCTTCCCAGCTCTGTGTTCCTTTTAGCCCACAGAAATTTCTCTTAGCTTATCATGATCGTGGATTGGAATTTCCTTAGGGCTTGACAATTTATGTTCATCTTGGAGAAGAGAGAAAAGGGATTAGAAAAGGTGATGCCTGTAAAGGACAGTATTGTGAAAAGAGAACCTCAGTTTTGTAGCTGTTTTTGTCTGTGCACTCCAGGATAGAACACTTGCATAATTTCAGTTAGTATTTGTGTAACCTTAATTTATTCCTTGGTAAAGAGATGCAATGGTCTGGCATTGGTCTTAGGTTTAAGAACTACTATTTATAGCCTACTGCCATACCACCCTGAATGCGCCCGATCTCGTCTGATCTGGAAGCTAAGCAGGGTCGGGCCTGGTTAGTACTTGGATGAGAGACCACCTGGAAATACTGGGTGCTGTAGGCTTTTGGTCAAAAAAAAAAAAAAAAAGAACTACCAGTTACAATATACAGTACATACAGATTCAGTTTCCTAGTGACCTGTGTTGTAATCAATGTGAAGTGTTTGAGAAGCATTATAAGCAAGTCCTTTTTAAAACTTAAGACCCATTCATTGATTCAGACAACCAGGATAGTCCATAAATTACCTGTTCTGGCAGAGCCCAACTGCTGAGCTGTGTACCCTGCCCTGCAAATTACCTTTTTGAACAGTAACCATGGGCCTAAGATGCCCATTGCTGACAGATCATATTGTGTGATTACCTCATTTTTAGTTGTCCTGTTTAAAAGTGTAACCATTTTGCATCCCTTTTTGCTGACTTAAAGTTGTACGTTTTATTTTAGGAAATAAGTAGGACTATTAAACATAAAGTGCATTCTTTCTACTAACTGGGATACCTGGAGTTGGAAGAGGTTAATTTTTCCTGCCTCTCACACCCCAACACATATCTAATGGATTTTAAATAATTTTTTATAAGATTTCAAAAAATCAAAAAAATAAAAAGATAAAAGAAAAAAGGGCCAGGGATTTAGCACAGCTGCATAAGTGCCTGTCTTACAGGTGCATGGTTGTGAGTTCAATCTACCATACCAAAAAAAAAAAAAAAAAAAAGATTTCAAAGAGTTAGTAGATTTTTTGGCATATGTAGGATTATTTAGTGTTTTGGGTCTTTTAATATACTTCAAGAGTTAAAGAGTAGCATCAATTTTCTTGAGTTCCAATATTTTAAGACGTGAAATCAACTCAAACATTTGTTTCTGTAGTGCCTTGTGCAGTCAAAAAACAATCTGAAGAAGTGGCCTTGTATCACGTCTAGTACTTAACCTTCTTTGTACTGGAAATAGATTTATGTGCTATGTTGCAAGTGTTACTGGGATTTTTCAAGCTGTAAACTATACAGAACAAAAGTGGCTTTCCGGTAGAGTCAGTTTATCATCACAGGACAGTTTTGTGGTCACTATTACTTAACAGATTTCTACTAAGTTGAAATAAAGCTTAGACGTTTTCAGAGTAATTTTAATATTCAATTGACTTTTTCTTGATATCTCCATTATGCTGCTATAAAGTATTCTCAGGGAAATAAGTTTTGCATCATTTCATTTATTTTGATTTTTAATTTTTAACAGTACATGTTTGCTGCACATAATTACATTTATTGTGGGGAACTTAGTGATTAGATAGTTTTTGTTCTGTACTATTAGTCTGTGTCACCAGGTAGTTTCTCTATCACTAGGCTTCTGTGCTATTGAGCATGTAGTTGAATGAAACATTGACTGAAAACTTTTACTGCCTAGGATAAATGTGCTGTTTTTCTCAGGAAAAAGTTTTAAATTCTAGTTTTGGTTCCCTGCAAAAGTGAATGAGAGGTACCAGGAGTGGACGTTTGAAATCCTTTTAACAAGTGTAAGCTATGCAAGCACTTACTCCTATAATAGACTAATCTGAAATAGTTCTTAAAGATATGAGAACAAAAATAAAATGTCTAGCACTTAAGAGGTTGAGGCAAGAGGATTGCTCTGAGCTCCAGGCCATCCTGTGCTACATATCAAGACTCTATCTCAAAAAACAGAAACAAAAATAAACAGACAAAACCCCCAAACCAAATAAAGTCCACTGTTCATTTTGAATCTATGTCATTTATTAATGATAGATACAACAGAGAGATAACGATGCAGTATCATTTTAGGCCAGCTAGCTAATGTTGCTGGATCTTGTCTGTCAAATGAGAAGGTTAAACTCTATCTGGAAGGATGAAAACCTTTTGGCACAAGAATTTTGAATCCAGGAGTCACCCATACTGAACACATACACTGCAGTGAGATCCTCCCAAGTTGCTTATCGTGTTTTGGATTGGTTTTGGTTTTCTGAAATAGGCCTTGCCTTGAACTCACTACATAACCTAGGCTGGCCTTGAACTCATGGCAATTTTTTTGCCTCAGCCTCCCAAATGGTGGGATCACAGATGTGCACCAACATGCCTGACTTTATAAACTTTATTGTTCCTTTTGTTTCCATGGATGGGACATGGGACCTTCTCACATCCCCAGCCTTTTTTCCTTTTTAGAATAGATAGATAGATATAGAGATAGATATAGATATATATACGTGATTTTGAGAAGGGACTCACTAAGTTGCTAAATTGCCCAGTAGAGCCAGGCATAATTGCTCATGCCTGCACTAGCATTCTGGGAGGCTGAGACAAAAGGATTACAAATTCAAGTGCCACATGGACAAGTTAGCAAGACTCTGCTGCAAAATAAAAAATAGAAAGGATCGAAGATACAATTCGGTGCAGAGGCCTTTGGTTTAATCCCCAGTACCACAGCAAAAAGTAAAATAAAATAAAAATTTTAAATTTCCCAGGCTGAGCGCAAACTTGCAATTCTCTTGCCTCGGCTCCCCGGGTGTTGGGGTTACAGGTGTGCACACCCATGTCTTGCTTCTTTATAGCTTTGCCACATTCGAATTCATAAACTACTTACCGCTTAATTTTAGTATGTTTTCAAATAGTCTATGAATGAGGTCACATCGTATGTGTCTGTCTGCAACTAGCTTTTTCATCGTGTCACTTCCATGGTCTTACATGAAGAAGGGGCTCTTTGTCATGGCTGTAGAGAACTCCAGAGTACTGATATCTCACACTTTACTCCTGATGGACTTGTAGGTTGTTACCAGTTTTTACCATTTTAGTCAGTGCTGCTATAAACATTCCTGTGCAGGCTCCTGGCTCATTTGCACAAGAATTTATCAGGGCTAGAAAACTCAGAGTGAAATTGTTGGCTCATGTGTGTGTTTGTTTTAAATTTTACTTACCGGCACCTGTTGTCTCACAAAGTGATTATGTCAGTTAGATCTCCTCGTGTAGAGTTTCATTGTTCTAGTTATCCTAAATCCACAAATGTAGTAGTCTTAGAACAGGAAAGAAACTCCTTAGAAACAGGAATCTGGTTTCCTCAACTTGCAGATAGAGAAAATTTGGGCATGGTGACAGTGTAAGGCAATGCCACCATTCAGAACAAAGCCTAGACCTGAGCCCTAAACCCCAAGACCCACTCCACCCCTACCTTGCCTGATTTCTTCCTTGTCCTTCCCTTCTCAGGCTGAAGCCCCAAGGGGTGGCCACCACAACTTATCAAGCTCTTTCCAAGGTCAGGCCCAGGGCTCAGAACTGAGCGTGCCGGGATCACACTCTGTGGAGGATGAGGCTCCTCCGCAGACGCCATATGCCTCTGCGCCTGGCCATGGCAGGCAGCATCTTCATGCTCTACCTCTTCATCCGACAAAAAGATGAAAGCAACAGAGAGCAGGCCACAGAGAAACTATGGCTGAAGTCTCTGGTGGGCCAGAAGGATCATGTCCTGGATCTCATGCTAGGGGCTGTGAACAACCTTAGAGATTCAATGCCCAAGCTCCAGATCAGAGCTCCGGAACTGCAGCAGCCTCTGGTCACCATAAACCAGTCTTGCCCCACTGGGTTCTACAGCCCAAGTGAGCTAAAGCCTTACTGGGAACGGCCACCGCAGGACCCCAACAGCCCTGGGGCAGATGGGAAAGCATTTCAGAAGAGTGACTGGACACCGCAGGAGACCCAGGAAAAAGAAGAGGGCTATAAGAAGCACTGCTTCAACGCCTTTGCCAGTGACCGGATCTCCCTGCAGAGAGCCCTGGGTCCTGACACCCGCCCTTCTGAGTGAGTAGCATCCAGAGCCCGGGGGAAAGCCAGGGCTTTACCAGAGTTGTGACCAGTAGGGCTGTGGCCACAGGCCAAGTTCCAGGAACGAAGCTGAGGGGGATCTGAGAATATAGGCAAGGATTTTCTTTACGTTTTTTTTTCTTTCACTAACCAACTGCCCTGATCATAGAGACTGTGGTTTCAGGAATATTATGGTCAGGGCAGAGGCCCAAGAGACCTGTAAAAGCAAAACACAGTTGTGAAAGTGACAGGGTAAAGGAGAAGGAACTAAGGACTTGGGACCAAGATCTGGTACAAGGGAACCTGGGAGGGGCTGATACCAAGCTGTGGATCCAGTGGCCTTGCCCTGCCCTGAGGTCTATCCCAGAGACCATGGGACCCCATGCTGAGCTATTGGGAAAGGGAATATTTCCTGACCAGAGCCTTGGTAATCAGGAATAGCCCCCATGCCATCTGCTTTTCTTCAGTGTAGCTCCCAGGGCTAGGAAGTCATTCCAACCTTTATTTGAAGCTGTTTATATTGTCAGTTTTGGATGGTGGAACCAGCACTTTAAGGTTGCTCTATAACCAGGGTTCTTCAGACTTAGACCAAATAGAATGGCCCTAGAACAAGGAGCCCCTTGGAGTTATCAGGAGCTCCTCAGCCAAGATAGGCCTTGGCATGTGGGCAGCTAGAAGAGTAAATTGTTTATCTCTTTGGAAGCTCCATGAGCAATTTCTCACCAACAAAGGCAATAGAAAAGGTGTTCAGCGAATGATTCCTTGCGATCCAGGATCACTGTATGAGTTTGGGTGTCTAGAAGACAGTGTAACCAGTGCTTCATACTGGCTGTTGGAGTGATGAGGACAGAGAAAAGTTCTCAGGAAATTGACTGTGATGGCAGAGTCACATTACAGGGAGTTGGTAAGAAAATGGATAGCGAGGAACTATAAATTACAAAAGAAAGAGCCTTTTCCTCCCATTGAGTGTGGAACTGGTTGCCACTTTTCTCAGATATCAGATTTGGCCTTTATTACTTACCCTCTGGGACCTGTAGATTGCATTACACTTTATGTAGCATACATATTACAGAAAAGTCAGCTCAGGGAACTCCTTGCTGATAGCAGAGAGCAGGTGGGCAAAAGCAGCAGAGGGCCTAATCATCACTGCTAGAGCACAGAGCCAGCTCTGGCTTGGAGCTTGGTGTTGGAAGAGGTTCAGCAGGGCCTGCACAGAGGCTTAGAGCAGGTTGTGGGGAGTCAAATTCAGGAAACAGCTGCTCCCAACTGCAGCAGCTGTCTCAACGTCCTCTACTGGCTGCCCACACTAATGCCCTTCTCTGCCAAAGAGCTCCTGGTAACTCCAAGTGGCTTCTGGTCCTAGGCAGTAATACTTTGGTCTGAGCTGTGGTAGCATTAGATTAAGATGGTAGCGTCTTAAAGACCAAATGCTGGTTTCAGTGACTCAGACCATAAACAGCTTCAGGTGAAGGTTGGCATGACCATGTGGGCTAATGATTCAGAGGAATGGAAGATGATTTGGGGAAACTTGAGATAGAGCTGTTCCCACTCCTGGAATTCCCAGGGACCTGGGAAGTAGTGCATATACTTTTGTCTTTCCAGATGTATCCACCAGAAGTTCCGACGCTGTCCCCCTCTGCCCACCACTAGCGTCATCATTGTCTTCCACAATGAGGCCTGGTCCACACTGCTGCGAACAGTGTACAGTGTCCTACACACCAGCCCTGCCACCTTACTGAAGGAGATCATACTGGTGGATGATGCCAGCACTGACGGTGAGGCTAGAGGGGCCCCAAGCAGGGGACTGGGGTTGTACCGGCACCCCACGGAGGAGGGCAGGGTCTCAAGAAATCAGGCCCATCACTAGTCACACTCATCAGAAAGGCTAGGAGCAAGAAGGCAGCCCGGGAACAGGCTGTAGGAAGGCCACATTCCTAGAGCCTGGACTTTATTCACATGTCACCCAAGGAACTCCAAGAGCTTAGCGGCTTTGGTCTTCCTGTGAGCTGCCAAGTTTTACCCCAGTCAGAAATGCTGGCAGAGGTCCAGGAAGAAGGAAGGCCTTCTCCTGTGGTCTTGCTGGCTCCATTTCAGAGTTCCTTTTTGTGTGGTTGTTAATAAGTGAGGCTGCTCCCTCCAGCTTCCACCTGTCAGTCAGGACTGAGTTGCACCTGGCCTGACCCAGGCACAGGGAGCACCATGACAAACAGACCCACTGCCCTGAAAAGGCTACCAGTGCTGCTAGGCCCTAACACGCCTCTCTCCCACATGAAAGGGCACGGACCTGAGAGTCTGCCACAGGAATACAAGTCCTGGCTCTGACTCTTCCTAGCTTTGTGACCTTAGACAAGCACTAGTCCTTGTCTTTTGAAAAATGAGGACAACTGACTTCTTCATATGACACATGAGAGGTCTGAGATAAATGGTCAACAAGATAATTCCTGTGGCAAAGTTGGCACAGAGTAACAGCTCCAGAAGCTTAAGTTTCGTTACATTCTCTGTACAGGAACAGTTTTGTTGTATTCTCTGTATGGGAACAGTATTTCTCCCTGGATATCTAGGACCAATCCACACTATTGGACCTGAAAGAATGAGTGTCTGGGAAAAGAAGAGTGGGTAAAGGGCATTCCTGGGACAGAGAACAGCATACACAGGGTCCTGAGGCACGAGTGCGTTTGTTGGGGAGATCTGGTGTGACTGAAACATAGGTTTCTCTTATGGAAATGAAGTTAAATAGATGCTGAGTTAGCATTCATACCAGGCTGAACATATTTATTTAGAAAGAAATGAGAAGGGCCAGGGGTTTAGCTCAGCGGTGTAAGTGCCAGCTTGGCAAACACAAAGTCATGAGTTCAATCCCTGGTACTAATAAATAAATAAATATATGAGGAAGCTGAGGATGTAACTTAATGGTCAAGCACTTGCCAAGCATATGTGAGGTCCTGGGTCCAACCCTCAGTGCTAAGAAAAGGCAGGAAGGAGTCGTCACTGGAGGTGTTTAAACTGGGGAAGCCTTGTTTCAGACTGGTCGCTTTAGAGGAGAGGAATTGGCAGGTAGAAAGGCAGAGGCACAGTGTCCAGTATCCAGTATGCAAGTCCTTAGAACCACTGAGAGTGGGAGGGTGGCTCAGAGCCAGGAAAGGGGCTGTGGCACTGCCACCTAGATGCACTTGGAGCTTCCGGGAGCTGAGCCCTACTCCCAGATGGTACAGCGTCTGGGGCCGCTGTGCTCAGGCTTCCATATCAAGGGCAGGGACTCACCACACACTCACCTGCTGATGTCCTGGGCCACTGCAGTGGAGCTGGTGCTTCCCTTACCTTCCCCAGCCTCTTCCTGTGCTGTGGGTTAGGGATGAGAACCACAACGTGAACTCTGCCGCACTCATTCCTTCAGGGAAAGGAGCTCACATTTGCCCAGGCTAGACAGACTCTTGTTGGGTGTAGTTGTGCCACCCTGTAACCCAGAACTCAAGGAAGCTGAGGCAGGAGGATCACCATGAGTTCAAGGCCAGCCTGGGCAACATAGTGAGTACAAGACCCGCCTAAACTGCACAGTGAGACCCTTTCTCAAAAACAAACAAACAAACAAAGACTCCTGGTAGCACTCACAAAGCACAGGCAAGTACAGAGATGCAGTGAAAGGATCTAGTGGGCAAAAATGTGTACATCAATCTTTTGGGGCAGAGATGAAGGTGCTTGGGAGTGGCCTTCAGGGCCTCTTAGTAGAAGCAAGTATATCAGCTACCTCCTCTCAGACTGGGCCCCTTTGTGACCTTGATCCCCCAGCCCTGTGCTACCCACGCTTCCCCTGAACCCACAGGTCACTTTTACCATCACCCAGAACTTAGTGAGTCCTTAAGGAGCAAGTGCCAGGATAGATGAGCGACATTCCAGGCTGGATCAGGAAGCATCCACAGGGCAGAGCAGCTTGTGCCTAGCAAGGCAGAATTTCCCAGTCACCCCTCCAAAGGACCAGCTCCTAGTAGCCACCTGGCATGTGCCAGTGTTTTCTCTGGTTATCTCCCTCTTATTGTCCAGGATTCTTTCTTACGGCCAACTCCAGCACCCTTGACCCAGCTGCCTGACAAACCTGAACCCAAGCCTGCCCCTCTTATTTTTCTGGGTCCTGGATTGCTTTTAGAATCCATTGAAAGCGACCCTCCCTCCCTAGAGTAGGGCACACTGGCCCACAACAATATGTACCCCTCCCCATTTTCCCATGTAATGCCAGGGAATTTGTGCATTCCAGAAAAACAATCCTACCAAGAAGATTCTCAGACTCTAGAGATACTTTAAGGATGATGTTCAGTAGGGAAAGGAAAAAACCCTGAGATTCATGGTCAGAAATCTCTTAGCCCACAGCAAGATAAAATTTCCTACACAGCTGACCGTCTGATCATGTTCACTGGCTGTCGTTAGACACACACAAACAATGCCTATGTCTCTGCTGAAACCCAAAGTCCCTGCTTTCTGCTCTGCCATCAGGCATGTGGCAGCTTCCCCGTGCCTGTGAGTATATCAGCAGTTGGTGGAGCCAAAAGAGAAGCCCCAGCGCCAGGCTGAGGACTTTGTATTTCCCAGAACAAGTCAGACCCAGGCATAAGCTTCACTCCTGAGTGCTGTCTGACTTCTTAGAGCTTACTTTTTTACTTGGAAAGACAGAATATAAGTAATTTAAAATAATAATAAAATTGCATGGCTAAGTTAAAGGCAAACAAAGCACAGAATGCATATGCTAAACTGGTGCAGAATTAGAGAGCTCCTTTAGCAAAGGAACTGCTCTGTTCTCCCCAGAGGAACAGCAGTGCAAAGGCCCTGCATGGCTGAAAGAAGTAGGCAAGGAAATAGAACGGTACTGCAAAATGAATTTATCTTTTTGGGGGGTGGGTACCGGGGATCAAATGTGACCTCACGCTTGCCAGGCAGGCACTTGTGCCACTGAGCTATATCCGTAGCCCCCCAAAATGAATTTAGAGAGACAAGGGGCTGGATTGTGAGACTTCCATAAGTGACAGGGTGTGTTTGTTCACCTGTGGGATAAAATATACATAATGTAAGATTTCCCACCATTTCCAAGGCACAGTTCCTCCTCAGGGCATCTGTTACTGCAACCATCACCACTGTCCAGCTCCAGAATGGCTCTGTCTTCCTATACTGAAGTGCCGTTTCTGCTGAACCACAGTTCCCCATCCTCCCCGTGCCTGGCATTCAACCTTCTCCCATCTGTCTCTATGAATTGTGTTACTGTGGGGGCCTCCTTAGGTGGAATCAGACTGTATTTGTCCTTTATGACTGGCTTCTTTCATGCAGCGTATCTTCAAGACATCTGTGTTGTACCGTCTGTCAGAACTCCCTTAAAGCTGAATAATATTCTGCTGTATTTTACCACATTTTGCTTATCCATTCATCTATTGATGCACATTTAGATTGTTTTCACCATGGCTATGCTGCTATGACGATGGATGATCAAATATTTTTAAAATTTTTCTTAGACAGGATCTCACTGTATAGTCCAGGCTGGCCTTGAAATCAATATGTAGCCCAGGCTGGCCTCAAACTCACAGTGATCCTCCTGCCTCAGCCTCCTGAGTGTGAAGACCACAATACCCAGATAAATACCTGTCTTAATTCTGTGTATTTTTTTCTTAAGGAAACCCCATACTATTTTAATTATATTTTTTTTATCAGTACCAGGGATTGAACTCATGACCACCCGCATGCAAGGCAGGCACTTATGCTGCTGAGTTAAATCCCCAGCCCCTAACCCCATACTATTTTAATTTGTTTGTGTATATATATATATATATATATATATATATATACATTTATTTATTTATTTATTTATTTATTTTATTGCTGGGGATGTAGCTCAATGCAAAGGTCCTGGATTCAGTCCCCAAAACTGCCAAAACCAAAAACACAAACAAAAAGATTAGAAAGAGTAATGTAGCCCAAGATATAGCTCTGCAGCACAGTGCCTATTTGGCAAGCATGAGGTCCCGAGTTGATTCCTGGTACAAAAAGGAAGGAAGGAAGGAATGAAGGAAGGAATGAAGGAAGGAAGGAAAGAAAGATACTGATAGTAAAGTAATACATTATCACTGTGGTAACCATAGGGACAGAGAATAAAGTAGCTCTACTTGCTGATGAGCTGATTGTTCACAGAAATATTAATATTAATAATAATAAACAGGGCAGAGTGGTAGGAGAGAATCCAGCGTCAGGGCAGCTGATGTCCTGTACCAGTGCAGGGGAGGCTGGGGAGCGGGGTGGGGTAGTATCAGAAATTCTGCTGGGAGTGTGTTTGTTAGGTTTGTGGTTCTCCTAGATGCTCTGATGCAGATGGATGGCAAGGCCAGGGAGCCATCTGCATACACATGGGACCCAGTGAGACACTGCATTGTGGGTCACCGTCAGCTTGTGGACTTGAGTTGTGTGGCGTGAAGCCACACCGGAGTGGTGGTGCATTGGACTATATTAAAAGGCTGGCACCCAAGGGACATGAGAGTCTGAGTGAACTTGCCTTTTCCATGCTCAGCTCTGCCATCTGGTTTGGGTGGGACAGGAGATGGAGTAACAGGGATATTTCTTAGGGGAGTTATCTTGCACCCCTAGAATGGGTGAAGCCTGGAGCTGGCTGCCTCTTGGGCTCCAATGCCCAGGTCCTTCCAGCCTAACCACGTGAGATGAGAAGGAAGGCGTGGGCGAACCTTGTAGAGCTCAGGCTCCCCTGAGGGGTACACCTCAGTGCTTCTTAGGCCCTTACCACAAAACCCACTTCCTATGACGTTTTGTCCCTGGGTTATCTCTACTACCATGGGCTTCCTGTGAGCAGAATTAAGCCCATTTTCAAGGGAAACATCAGCCACGCTGAGGTGAGGCTCCTGGTTGGGGTTCTTCCCTCCTTCCTGTCAGAGCCAGCGCTTAAGGCTGTGGAATCCATGAGCTGCTGGATGTCAGGATGCAAAGCAGCACCTGCCCGTACAGGACAGTGTCCTGCGTGTGGGCAGGGCACTGGCGGATGTTTCTTAAGTGGCTGCTGCGCTGAAGCTGCACACGAGGCTGGTTTTGACTCGTGAAGTCCTGGCTCCAGAGGCAAGAGGCCTAGAGTAAGATACAACCCCTTTCTGAGGTGACTGCCTGAAGAATTCCGCATGCAAGTCAGCACAGGGTCAGGAGCTCCTCTATCCAGAAAAGGTGAAGAAGAAGAAAAAAGAATTTTATCCTTGTGGAGCTCCACCCTCTAGAGCAGTGACCAAAAGAGCTGCTTGACAAAGTCCCTTCTCTTGTCTTCTCTTGTCAGGGTCATGCACGTGGCTGAGTGGTAAGGCCGTTAGATGACAAAGAGGCTGCAGAGCCTACTTTGAAACCTATGTACGTCAAGAGGCCTTGCTGCTCCTGTGGGAAGGAAGTGACACAGGCCTGGTTAGGACCTGCAGCTGCTCTTTGCACTTGCAGTGACTCTGGGGGCATCACTCACAGTTTTCCACCTGTTCACACACTGGGAGGACACTCCCTGCTCCACAGTCCTGTGCTCCTGGGGAAGATTAAAGCAGAAGTTGGCAGGAAAGCCCCAAGTTCAGCAACTGCACACAGGAAGCGCTCAAGCGTTCCGTGCTCGTGTGTATGAGTGTACACCATCAGTGGCGATGCACTACACTGGTTTTAGGGTCCACAGTCCGTAACACACTGTGCTCAGAACGAGGCCTAATCTCTAAGCTGATCAAACAGTCTGAAATGGAAAGGACGTACTGTCTGTACCTGTCACAGCTGTCCTCCTCCTGGAAATGATGGGCAGCTCCATTCTGCATAGTTGAGAGAAGAACAGATGAACCAAAATACTGGTTAATAAAATAACATTTGGGCTGGCTCTCTGGTGCATGCCTATAATCCCAGCACTTGGGAGGCTGAGGCAGATGGATCACCACAGTTCAAGGCCAGCCTGAATACATAACAAGACCCTGTCTCAAGAAAACAAAAAACAAGATTTGGAGTATGTTTCAAGATGAATAGAGTGATTTCTTAAGGTTTGAAGAGCTTGGGTTAATGAGTCACAGTAGTGAAGAAATAGCACTCCCAGCCTCCCGCATGAGGCCCTGAGGCTTGACAGGGGCCCCCTGCAGTGAGACTGCAGGGCGCAGGAGCTGAAGGGTAGTGAGTGGGAGGGAAGAGAATGCAACTCCTGGGAAGGTGCCCCCCCTGCAGAGGCTTCCCTCGGACTCACCTGGGGGATGGTCAGCCCACTTGCTGGGGCAGTTTGTTCCTTAGGACAAATGATTTCGTGGCCAGTGCTCATCACTGCCTGCGGCCTCCAGCAGCTGGAGGCAGCACTGTGCCTGGCCCGCATAGACACTTGGTGCATAGGATTTTATTCTTTTGTCTTTTGAAGTGCCAATAATTGACCCTGGAGCTCTGTGCTCTACCACTGAGCTACATGCCCCACACCTTTAAAAATACAATGTAGTGTGGTGGCACATGCCTGCCATCCTAGCCCGCTAAGAGGCTGAGTTTGAGAGGATCACAAGTTCAAGCCTAGCCTTGGCAATCTAACAACTTAGCAAGAATCTGTCTCCAAAGTGTGTGTGCGTGTGTGTGTAAGTAATTTAAAAGCTGCTTAGCTTGCTTTCATCTTCTTTTATTGTTTTGGAGGCAGGGTCTCACTATGTAGTGCAGTCTGCCCTCAAACTCACAGTGATTCTCCTGCCTCAGCCTCCCACATGCTGGGATTACAGGCATGCATCACCATGCCTGGCTCATCTTCTTAAAAAGTTCTGAATTCAGAGGAAGTAATTAAAGGAATTAAGGCCAGGAATGAATCTCACTTTCAGAAGTCAGCTTCTGTGTGTACTTCGCGATCAAACTCATTCTGAGGAGCATGGGAAACAGGAAAGTGCAGACCCTGAACGATGCCTGTGAACCCAATAGGTGTGAGAGAAAAGGAAGCCTGAAAGGCAGCTCTGAGAGAAGTGGCTGAGAGGGTGGAAAATGAGGGCATCTGAGAGCCTTTGTCAAAGTTTGATTTGATTTGAGACCAAAGAAACAACTCAGAGGTGTGTCTCAGATGATGGAGGAGGTACAGGATCCATCACTACAGACCTGGTGTCCTGGCAAGGAGGTTCTAGCCACAAGCAGAGTTCCCTCTTCCTTCCACTGTCTTCCTCCTCATTTTGCCACTATTTTTTTTGAGACAGGGTTTGGTAGCTCAGGCTGGCCTCAAAATTGCAGCAATCCTCCTGCCTCAGCCTCTTGAGTGCTGGGATTCAGGGAGTGCCCCATGACACCCAGCTACCTTTGGCTCCTGTGGAATGGCTCAGTGTCAGTGGTGTGGGAGGATTAACATTCCAGGGAGCTGGGAGTTTAGGAGGACCTGGGCTTGGTGCTCACCTGGGATGAGGTATGCAGTAGTGTTAGCCTGCGACAATGTCCCCATCCCTTCCAGAATACTTGAAGGATGAGCTGGAGCGGTATGTGCAGCAGCTACAGATCGTGAAGGTGGTGCGGCAGGAGGAGCGCAAGGGGCTGATCACTGCCCGGCTGCTGGGGGCCAGTGTGGCCCAGGCAGAGGTGCTGACGTTCCTGGATGCCCACTGTGAGTAAGAGACACCCACCCTGGCACCCTGGAGTCTTGTGTCTCCAGTCCCTCTGCTCCCCTTGACAGAAGCGAGGCCGTCCTGGTTCTGTTGCAGGAGTGAAGGAGGCTTGGGAGCTTCTCTCACTTCTACCCCCTCCTGCCCCCAGACAGGGATGTTTTATCAGGTGGCACAAATGGCTCTACACGTGGTGACCCCAAACTACTGGGCATGTACCCCGGAGCCAGAGACACTCACCCCTCCCCACCCATATCTGTTCTGAGTTCTGCCCCTGTGAAGGGCCAGCCTCCTGTTACCACTTTTTTGGAACTGGTTTACATAGGGCTTTCCTATAAGGCCATGTGGAACCAGGAAGATCTGACTCTTGATCAGAGCCAAAACACTTTCCAGGGAAAAAGTAACTCTTCCTTCAGGGCAGTGATATATACTGGGGAAAGCTCTTGATTTGGAGTAAGAAGCGCTGCCTCCCATTCTGACTGTACCACTTACCGGTTTCCTCATTTGTAAGCTGGGAATGAGAACGGGCGTGGCAACACTCTCCGAGAGGTTGAGAGGGAGGATCACAGTGAGTTCCAGGCCAGCCTGGGCTACATATTGAGACCCTGTCTCAAAAAAAATAGGACAACACTAATCTGACTTACCTACCACAGTTATCGCCCCAGGGGCCCTATGAAGTAATGTATGCAGGAGTTCATTGGAAATCTCCTAGGGTGGTTTTAGAGCTAAAATCTGAGAGGCACCTCCTGGGAAAGAGAACACCTCCTGAAATCCACACTTCAGTGGGGAGCTGCCCTGTGGATGAGGCTGGAAGCACTGAAGATCTAAGCCAGGGCCTTCCCTGTGCTTTGAAATCATCTGAGTTGACTGTGTTACTCCCTGCCTCTACCCAGACCTCCATTCTCCCCTTTAGGGGGACTGGGGACAGGAGGATTTCAGATTGCTCTCTGTTTTCTACAGCTGGGGAGCTCATTGTCATCTGCCCAAACCGTGAAGTAAGGGGAAGGCTCCTCTGATCACCTTGAGGCCCCTACAGGGGCGGAGCTTGGGTCAGCTGTGGGCAGGGCCCAGACTGTTACCTTCTTGTGTGGGTCTGCAGGCGAGTGCTTCCATGGCTGGCTGGAGCCCCTCCTGGCTCGAATTGCTGAGAACAAGATGGCAGTGGTGAGCCCAGACATCGTCACCATTAACTTGAATACCTTCGAGTTCTCCAAGCCCATCCCTGAGGGCAGAATCCATAGCCGGGGCAACTTTGACTGGATCCTGACCTTCGGCTGGGAGGCTCTACCTGCACATGAGAAGCAGAGGCGCAAAGATGAGACCTACCCCATCAAGTAAGGACCTGCCTGGCCTCCGTGACCCCCAGTCCCATCCGTTCCAGAGCCTGTGCCATCCCACATCAGTGCTTACTGGTGCTCTTATCAGGCACTTAACATTTAATGTACTCCTCCTAATCAGGTAGGTACTCTAGAGCAAGGGGTTTGGGAGTGTGAATCCCTGATAAAGCACTTTCTTAACGTGGGCACAATGCTGGGTTTGATGCCCAGCACTGCAAAACAAAAACAGATAGGGGCTGGGGATTTAGCTCAGCGGCGTAAGTGCCTGCCTTGTAAGCGGGCAGTCGTGAGTTCGATCCCTGGTACTGATAAAAAAGGAAAAAGGCAAAAAAACAAAACAAACAAAAAAAACAGAAACGGCGAGACTTATTCATAATGATAAACAGCTAATCTCAGATCATGCAGCTAGCACATGGTAGAGCATGGGTACTCGTCTCCGATCCCTGTCTGGCTCAAAGCCTTAACCACAGCACTGTACGGCCTCACACTGCAGCCACCCCATCTTACTCACTCTCTTGCTGTGTGCCAGGCTTTACATACTGTACCTCACTTATTCCTCCCCACACCTGGAAGGTCATGACTGGTGCTTGCAGAGCAGATAAGAGATAGTAGGTAGGGGTCATTGTTCCCTTGCCATTGTAGGAAGTAGGAATGGTGTGTGCTTCCTCTTTGGAAAAACTCAGAATAAAAGAGCCGGGTGTGGTGGCACATGCCTGTAATCCTAGCACTTAGGAGACTGAGGCAGGAGGACTGCTGCAAATTCAAGGCCACCCTGGGCTACACAGTGATTTCAAGGCCAGCCCGAGTGACATAGTGAGACCCTCCCCCCAAAAAAAAGATATAGTAAGAGAAAGCAGATAAATTTTATGCAATCTAAAGTTTGTTGCAGTTGTCCTGAACTTTTTCAGTAAAGGACTAGATAGTAAAAATAACTCAAGCTGTGCCAGCCAAAAGAAAACTGCTGCAGAGCCCTATAAAATCGGGCAGGCACAAGACCTGATCTGGCTGAGCTGGAGTGTGGATTGTTGGAAGTTATGCCACTCAGGCACTCTTGGGCTTGCCTTCCTTACACCCGGGCTACCCTGTCCTCTGAAGATCGCCTGTTGGTGGTGTTACGGGACACAATTCTACTTCCACAGTTGTCTCAGACCAACAGGGCTGGGGAGTGAATTTTACCGAATCCTGTGACTTTGGATTATGTGTGCCACTATTTTCCTATATAGAAGAAATTATGAGTCAACTAAACATATATCAGGAATAGAGGGGAACAGAGGATGTGGGATACAGTGGCCAGGGATAAGAAGAAAGACTTGAAAGGAAGAGGTTATGATTTCTTCTCCCCCTCCCCCCACTACATTCCCAGAAGCTTAAGAAATACTGCCTGGAGCCTCAATTGGGTGGGATCAGGTGGGTGCCACAGAGAAGAATCTGAAACAGCCTAACCCTAACTGCTCTGCCTCCATTAGGGAGTGTGAAGGGAAGAGTGAAAACAGAAGATAGGAGAGAGAAAAAAAAGCCGGACCATCCAACTGATTCTCCACCTGTGTCACACTTGCATTTTGTTTGGTGTGCACATCAACAAAGTCCCACCCCAAGGCCAGGGCCAGCCACGCAGCTGCACAGTCAGGGATAGGGCACCTGACACTCTGCCCATCTGTGACATCCTGCCTCTGACAGTCGAGAGCCACACAACTGGAGGACAAAGCTCCAGTGTTTGAGGGATGAACCAATGTCTTCTTGGTTCATGTGGCTTACCCGGACACTTCACATTGCAGCTCACCAGGAGCACTGTGAGTAGTGACTCCCACAGTCCACTCGCAGCAGGAGGCCAAACAGAGAGGGAGAGGACCAAGGGATCCCAGGAAGGAGGGCAGGGAATACTAGCAGTTGCCTCTTGGTTGTGATCTCTAGTGAAGTTCCCAGTGTAAGGTTTATCCTCATAGCTAATATGTTGGTGAATTCCCAGCCTGAAGAGCTTCTCAAAGAGAAGACAGGCCCAGGGAGGAGAGGGGGAGCTCCCCAAGAGCAAATTAGCTTAAAGTCCCAGGATTCCCTGAGCCTCACTGGATGCTACTTGGGCTGGCTTACTACCCTGAGAGAGGACAGAACCAGCAAGCAGAAGCCAGCCTGATCATGAGGGTTTCCCAACAGAGATTCCTTCCCAGAAGTACCTACAGTAGCAAACTTCAGGGAAATAAAAGCCATGAGGTCAGGCTCCTGGGCAGTCACCTTGATAGATCAATCCAAGAATGTGATTGAACCCCACTCTGTTTAAGGCATCATCATAGATTCTGAGGCTACAGAGAAACTTCCAGTATTTTCTGCTTGGTTGTACCTTATGAAGCCACTCACTGAAGGCAGCAAAGCCCTATCCAAGTCAGCATGGCCCAGGCCCAGAAGCCAACAGCTAAGGCTCGAGTGCTTCCTCCCCTGCTTCTCCAAGCACCCTCCCCCATCTCCTTGCCCACCTGAGTGCTTAACCCTAACCCTATCAAGTGAGATATTTTAAAATTTTTTTTTTCTTTTTCTTTAGATCAAGTGAGATATTTTTATAAGTTCATCTATGTTTCTCTGCCTTTGTCTGAAGGCCACAATCTTTTTGTAGCCTCCTAAATGCTTCCTGTGATCCAAACATTGAGTTTAACCTCGCTTTCTTCCCACAGGACGTTCAGGAGCACCTCTTATCTGTTTGTCTTGCTTAAGGCAACTGGCAGCTCTAGGCCAAAGCTTGGGTTTCTCAGGCCCCATTAAACACCAGGGCTAAGGTTCTCATACTGTGGCCTCACAGTCCCTGAAGATCCACAGATACTGACACAGAATGGGACTGGCCCTGCTGATGATAAAAGCCACTCAATCATTCATGGCTCTAATCCTGCCTGTTTTCAAAAAGTTTCACATAGCTCCTGAAAAGTGAGCATCTACTCTGCTCTAGTCACACTGCTGCCCAAAGTAGCCAGCGAAACTTTCCTGTCTGCTGCTAGCCTGTGTTCTCAGGAAGTGAGATTGTTCTTGTCAGCTCCAGATGCCCGCCACGCAGCAGGGGCCCTCATGCTGGTGTTTCATACATTCTCAGTTGAGTGAATGAATGAAGGCCTTTTGGGGGCCAGAAACAAAAATTACCTTTCACTTTGGCCCTAGAAGAAAAGATCAACGTAGATTTGTGAACAGGTGACTTGGTGGAAGGACGGCCCCCGTCCCAGGAACATGCTTCTCCCTCTGTCTCTCTAGATCCCCGACGTTTGCTGGTGGCCTCTTCTCCATCTCCAAGTCCTACTTTGAGCACATCGGTACCTATGATAATCAGATGGAGATCTGGGGAGGGGAGAACGTGGAAATGTCCTTCCGGGTGAGAGAGAAGAGGGCTTCGTGGGGAATCACAGCATCCCAGGAGGCAGCAGGAGCCTCGGGGATGTCACATCTGAAACTGAACTTGACATGGTGGCTGTTTCCTGTGGCTATGGCTCTGCTATTCTTCTGTTTCCCTCCTTGTCGCTGGCAATAGGGCCCTGGCAATTAGATTGGATCACTTTGAAAATAATTAGTGGGCCGAAGGAGCAATGGCACTTTCTCAGAGGGAAAGGACAGTAGTGGCTATTCAGGACTGGACATTGAGCATTAAATTCATGGGAAAAGGGTTGGAGTGAAGGCAGAAACAGGTCAGTAACCTATCACGATTTTTTTTAAAAAAACAAAGTCACCTTCTTAGGCCAAAAGACATGCCCAGGTTGCATTCAGATTGTCCCTATATATGCTCAACAACCACTTCATAAACATGGGACCAGATAGTGGCCCCAATTCTGGTAGACTCCAGAATTCCAAAGGATTCTAAGAATTACATAAATCAAAATTAAATCAGGAAGAGGGCTGGGATTTAGCTCAGTGACATAGTGCCTGCCTGGCAAGCACTAGGTCCTGAGTTTGATTCCTGGTACCAAAAAAAAAAAAAAAAAAAAAATGAAACCTTCATAAATCCTCATGCCAGATGAAAAGTAATACATAAATAAGCTCATATATGATGTCACCTCCCACTACAGTGCTTTGTACACATTAAGCACATACATAACTGATGTCTGCTAATACTATGATTATGTGTTTCTATGTTGCCATACTAAAATAGTTTCCAGAAAAGCCCAGGAGACAGAAGGAGGAAGCGTGTTGTAGCCAGTCTGCTGGCACGGAGAAGAGTCACCTGCCAGTCACCACAACTCTAGGTTTTCTGATTCTAGGTTCCTCAGTGAGGTTCTGATCTGTTTTCAGTCTTTCCTATGAAATCATCATGCTAAGGGCTCAGGTGACTGTGACAGGCCATCTGGTGGTTCTTGCTACTAATACATTGATGCTCTGCTCTAGGGAATTTGAGTCTCCAGTTAACCCCTGGGTAAGCTGATAAAAATCACATTTCCAAGCCAGACGTGGTGGTGCACACCTGTAATCCCAGCGCTCAGGAAGCTGAGGCAGGAGGATCACCATGAGCTCAAGACTAGCCTGGGCTATATATAATGAATTCAAGGCTGGCCTGAACTACATCGTGAGATCCTGTCTCAAAAAAAAAAAAAAAAAAAAAAAAACCTCATTACATTTCCAGGTTAAAAAGGCAAGCGACCAGAGCTCAAAGTAGGCATATAGCACAAAAGTAACCAGTTGTCTTCTCTAAAGTGGGCCCTGAGCCTCACGACTCCGCAAATTTCCATTTGCATACAGCAACATCAGAGAGCCTACGGCTGTAAGGTCATGGCCTAGCAAGAAGCCTAGTTGCTGTCCCTTTTTCCAGGGAGAGAAAACAGTATTTGCCTGGGTCACTGAACCTGGGGTCCAGCATCCTGGGAACTGAACAAGGGTGCTTTGTGGGAGATTGTCCCATTCTGCACCTTCTTGAAGGCCACACCCTGTCTCCTCTCGTGTCAGGTGTGGCAGTGTGGGGGCCAGCTGGAGATCATCCCCTGCTCTGTGGTAGGCCACGTGTTCCGTACCAAGAGCCCCCACACCTTCCCCAAGGGCACCAGTGTCATTGCTCGCAACCAAGTGCGCCTGGCTGAGGTGTGGATGGATGACTACAAGAAGATTTTCTATAGGAGAAATCTGCAGGCAGCAAAGATAGCCCAAGAGGTAAGAGAAGTGGTGCTCAAATGGTGTTTGGGTGAACAGAAGCACAGAATCTCAAACCTTGGCCAGGGGCAAACTGACAGGGACCTCCCCATCCCTATCATCCGGTGCCTAGCTCCACCCCTCAGGGCCCTGTGAGGCAAAGCCCACGGGAGATCTTGAAGACTAGACGAGGAGGAGAGGAACTTTGGTTGGCCCTGCCTGGGAAGGAAGAGGAAGGAAAAGAGATTCAGAGAAAAAGAACCTCTTAACGGAGGGGTGGCTCTGATAAGCTAGAACTGGGGACCAGGAGAACTGCCTGGGAGTCTTGGGAGATGAAGGAGCTGGGAGGATATGAGAGGGGGCTCCCAAGCCAGTGCAGAAGGTCTGGGACTGGATGTGAGGCAGCCCTTGTAGCTCCAATGGGCCCTGAGCAGGAAGAAGCAGGAGAGGGAGTGATACTGGGGGCTTTGTGCTATCTGGCTGGACAGTCAAAGCTGTGGAACTGACCATTAGAAGGGGATGACTTGATTGGCAGAAATCCTTTGGTGACATTTCGGAACGACTGCAGCTGAGGGAACGACTACACTGTCACAACTTTTCCTGGTTCTTGAGCAACATCTACCCAGAGATGTTTGTTCCTGACCTGAGTCCAACCTTCTATGGAGCCGTAAGTGTGAGACCCACTGTGTCTACCCACCATCACAGCGCCTCCTGGAGAAGTTCATGACCTACCACACCAATGAATGGCAGTCAGTAACTGATTTTTACTCCCCACTGTTTTTTATCCAGGAAAGGGATGGAGGGGCCACTTTGGGGCTTCTAGAAATAGCTAAAAATCTGACAGAAGGAAAGCCACCCATAAGCAGTGATTCTCAAATGTTGGTATGCATCAAGCCCCAGGAGTGCAGTGTGGAAATAGGTTGCTGAGTTCCCCCCCCCCACAAGTTTCTGAGTGAGGATTTGGATGGGGTCTGAAAATCTGCATTCCTACCAAGTCCCAAGTGATGTTGGTGGTCTGGGTACCGTACATTGAGAGCCACTGCTCTAAGGAAACTCCCATGCACTGAAGTCTTCCAAGGCACCTGGTGTTTGGGTAGTACCCCATCTTTTCCCATAGAGGTGTCCAGTCTTAACCTCTCTCAGGCTCTGGGACTCTGCACTTCACTTTGCTATTAACGTCAGGTATCTGGATTAATGAGCAGGAAAGGAATCTAACCCTGCAATTCATTCCAGGTTAGTTGGCCCCATAACACAACTAGGAAACTAACTCCCAGGTGTACTATCCTGGTTCCCCCCTCTGCTCACCATTCTGCAGATCAAGAACCTCGGCATCAATCAATGCCTGGATGTGGGTGAGAACAACCGAGGAGGGAAACCCCTCATCATGTACTCCTGCCATGGCCTTGGCGGCAATCAGGTAGACAGCCCACCGTGCCAGGCAGGCAGGCCCAAGAGAAGCCTGTCTCTGGGGCGTCTCCTTTCCTCATGGGCTCCTTTCTTGAGGCCTGGGATAGAAGACACCCAGAACAGGAGGAGGAGGTACCATCCCTACCTCAGAAATCTCCCAGTCTGAGGGATGGGATGGCACAGACATGAGTTCTGGTGCTGTGGAGCAGTGGGAGGGAGCGGATTAATCAGCATGGGCAATATTTATGCGTGGGTGTGGGAAATTATTTCTCTTCCTATATAAACTTATTCCTTATAACCACATGTGGTAAAAATCATGAAGACAAAAAAAAGTTACAGAAGTCATGGATGGCCACATCCATGTCTTTACTTCTCTGGAGTCCATCTGTGGTTGGCATTTAGGGCAGGTAGCTTTGGAAGGTGGTGGACAAACTCCTCGCCTGTTCTCAGGACTTTCTCTTGACTTCCAGTACTTTGAGTATACGACCCAGAGAGAGCTTCGTCACAACGTTGCTAAACAGCTGTGCCTCCATGCCAGGGCCGGCACACTGGGCCTTAGGGCCTGTCACTTCACTGGCAAAAATAGCCAAGTGCCCAAGGAGGAGGAATGGGAGTTGACCCAGGTGAGTCTGTTGCCCAGAAAGCTCGGAATTAAGCTGGGTATGGTGGTGCACACACTCATAATCCACCACGTGGGAGGCTAAGGTGGGAAGGTGACTGTGAGTTCAAGGCCAGCCTGGGCTACATAGCAAGGTCAAGGTGTCCTGAACTACATCGTGAGACTCTCTAAAAAGAAAACAAAATGCTTGGAATCAAGAACCCGAGGCCACATTTGCCCCTTCCCTGTTTTCTGTATCTTCTGCCTGAGATGCTGGGATGGATTAGAGCAGTAGAATGGTGAGTTGGACTTGGTCACAGCAGGGTCCTCAGCACTTGAGGACTCTGGTGATGGCCGATACAAACATGGGGTCAGAGAGTATGGCCTGTGTCCAGTTCTGCCATAACACAAGCGGTTTTTGGCATTTTATCATTTTTAGTAGATCATTGTGAAGGGCCATTCGTGGTTTCCGCCTGCCTCTGTGTGGCAGATGCAAATGAAGCAGCTCTGTGCATTAGCTTGGTTAATGTTTCAGGGCCCTTTCCAAGTAGACAGTGCCCCGTTTCTGCAGATGAGCCGAACGGAGCCCAGCAAGTTTGTGACTGGCCTAAGACCCACCATTAGTAAATGGAGGGTGGGATTCAGACATAGAGAAGTTTGACTGGAAAGCATTTGTGTTTTCCATGGCACCACATTGCCCCAGGACTGAGCCTGAACTCCATTCCACTCAGGAAAAGAGCCTGGTCTTGAGGATACAGGGAAGGGAGGAGTCAAAACACAAATAACAAAATGGGAAGTGAGCAGTGCTGGCCTCAGATCTTAGAACTTGGCCATTCAGGAGACCTCAGAAGCATTTTTCTTAGCTGTGGTCTTCATTTCCTCTACTTATTTTCTAGCCACTCAGGCTAAAGCTGGAGATGGGGAACTAGCACCAGACATGGGGAGGAATTTAGGAACGTATCTCTCAGAGTCTGCAATCAGGAAATGGAAGTATCCTCTCTGTGCCTTGGTGGCCTTCCTTTGTCTTTTATCTGTTATCCCCTGCCCCTAATAGCGTTGTTAGAGGTCTGCAACCCAGAGTGAGCCTTTACTGTATTGTTTTTAGGATCAGCTCATCAGGAACTCAGGATCTGGTACCTGCCTGATATCCCAGGACAAAACGCCAGCCATGGCCCCATGCAATCCCAGTGACTTCCACCAGCGCTGGCTCTTTGTCTAGGCCTGCGATCATCTCCACTGTATGATCCCCTTACAACCCCCAAGTCTTCTCAGGAAACAGGATTGCAGGTGTCTGGGAACCTGATCATCTGTCCTCTGTAGGCCTTCAAGAAGGATTTGTAAATGAAATGGGTGTCAAGGCAGAAGCTACTTGCCCCTTGCAACAACTCTGGGCCCATTTTCTTTCTCCACACTGACAGAAGAGACTGTGTGGACATGCCTAGAGCTTTTCTTCTGTTCTTGCAAAAAGGCCTCCAGGGCAGAGGGCAGGCCAAGGGCAGCAACTCTACAGTCAAGAAGAATACCTCTGCAGCCCTATCCTGAAGCCTTGATCAGCCAAAGCACCTACAGAATTTAGTGAAATAATGTGATCTAATAGAGGGTTTTGAGGTCAAAGAGAGCCTCCCTTGCTAATAATACCTGGTGTGTAGAACTGACTACATTTATGGAAAGCATCCATTGAGCTTTCCTTTATCTGAATTCATTTGCACAATAATCCTGTGAGAAAGACAGGGTGAGATCTACTGTACCCATCTTATAGGTAAGAGAGTAGAAGCGGGGATAAAGTATGCCTACAGTTGCATAACTAGTGGCTGGCTGAAGCTGACACTGAGGCTCAGTCTTCAATGCTGACCATGGATCATTTCACTGTGCCACAAGAACACTAGACACCTAGCCAGGAGTTTCCCACTCCCTCTCTGCCCTGTTATCTCCGAGCTACTGTTAGCCTAGATGAAGTCAATAAGAGTCCTAGCAAGATGGAGGGAGCAGGTGTGGCATCTGTAATCCCAGCACTTGGTAGGCTGAGGCAGGAGGATCACGGAGTTCCAGGCCCTCCAGAAATGCATGAGAAACCCTGTCTCAAAAAAAAAGAAAAAGACTGAGGAAGCAGGGTCATTGCGCAGTCAAGCAAGACTGATTTCATCTGTGATGTATGCATTAAGTCCTGGTGTGAAGCAGGCCTGATGTGTGTACTAGCTCTTCCAGCAATATGGACCCCGCTGCAGCTGGCTGCTCTGTCTGATACAGCCCTCTGTCTGGAAGAAGTCTCTCGACGTCAGAAACAGGCTGTGGCCACATGAGGGTGCCATGGGACCATTTCTGCTCCTGTTCGCACGAGCTGGCAGGAGATCCCTGGAAGCCTTCAGCACCCAGTAAAGACACTCTGAGGTGCCCAGCCAAAGGAAAAGGAGAACCTAGGGAAAAAGGAGAAAATTCTGTTTCTGAAAGAGAAGAGTTGGACATCCCTGTGGAAATAAAGGTTTCATGGCATTGGTAGAAGTGTGCATTGGGCTTCTCTTTCCCTGAACTGTGCCTTAACTGAATCAATTGATTGGGAAATACCACATACACTCTACAAGCACTGTCACACCCCGCCCCTTCTCCCTACATACCCTCTGGGCTCCAGTCTGGCCTGTGTAGTGGGTGTCAAGCACGTGGAAGTAGGCAGAGATGTAAGACAAGGTCCTTCCGCCTTGGAGCTCCCAGTCCAAGCACACACAGGTCGTGAAAGCCTGGAGATGTCCAAAAATGTGCTCTATGAGCTGCAGGGAAAAATCCCTCCCACTTAACGGAGTCAAGAAAGGCCTCACAAAGATAGTAACACTTCTCATCGATAGAGAAGTCTCAGGTAGGAAAGACTCAGTAAACAGAAATACCACACAAGCAGCCATCTAGCATGAGCATAGTCACAGAGAGACAAAAATACAAGTGGTTCTAAAAAGCAAGACCTCATAGAGAGAGAGATGGGTGTACAGAAGCTAGAGGAGGGCTGCGTTTTGACTTTGGTGGGCACTAAGCACTTGCACCTTCCTAAGACCCTTGTTCTAGTAAAAAATAAAATTGTATTTTATGAATGCACTGATATAAAAGTGAATATAATCCGGATTCTATTTTATTCTGATCCTAAAAGAACCTAAAACATTTTTTGTGAAACCCTTAAAAGTATTGCAGACCCTAGACACTGTGCCCCTAGGCAAGTCTGCCCTATGGAAGAGTGGAATAGGGCCCACGTGAAAGGGCTTTGACTCAGGCTAGCCAGAGTCATACTCTGCAATCCTGACCTCACTCTTGATTGTATTCAGCATCCAAACATTTACCAGACATGGATCCTTTGCCACTTGTCCCTGCATGCCTCATCATGTTGGTAGCATCACCCTGTGGCACCCCAGCTCAATCATATTGTGCCCGACCAAGATGCTGCTATGTGTGATGCCAACAAGCTTCCTCACACCTGCCTCAAAATAGCATTTCCTAGGTGAGTTATGAGTAACTCAGCTAGACATGATGGTATATGCCTGTAATCCCAGCACTCAGGAGGCTGAGGCAGGAAAGATCGATTGCCATGAATTCGGGCCAACCTGGACTACATAGCCAGACCCTGTTTCCAAAAACAAAAAAAAAAGTAACTCACAGTGTCATGGGTGGGACTGGAGGGAGATAAGACTACATGCCATGCTCAGGGTAGGCCCAGACATGAGGCCAGGGGAGGCCAAGGAAGGGAGGTGGTCAAGAGGAGGAAGAAGGTGCTGACCAGGCGGTGAGAAAACTAGGGAAGTAGTTTCTTGTCCTTATCCTTAGCAACAGCTAACCCTGCCCGAACTCAACACCAGCACTATTCCTTAAAACTTAACCTGGGTCCCTCCCTGACCATTCTCAGCTAACCGAGGGCCCCATGCAACTGTTTCCCAGCACCATAGTATTGAAGCACCACTCTGCTCTGGGTATTTGAAGTGTACTGGACTGTTGCTCCAAGGAGCAAAACTCCCCATAATTTATTATTTTTTAATTACAAAGGTAATACTGTAGAGAAAAGTCAAGTAATATAGAAAGTAAGAGGTTAAAAAAACATCAGCTGGATATGGTGGTATATACTCGTCCTGTACTCTGAGGGGCTGACGCACAAGAATTGCAAGTTTGAGCCTAGCCAGGAAATTTAAACAACTTCCTAAGATCCTGTCTCAAAAAAAGCAAAAGGAAAGAAAGAAAGAAAGTGTATCATGATGTTCCATACCTATTGATGTATTCTGTAGACATACTATCTATTTACAGCATAGGTGTCTGAACTCTTGACTTGCCTGGTCTGCAGTGTGGTAACTGAAGAGGAATTCTCAGGCCACATATAAAGTGTATATTGTGGTTTTATTGTTACTGTTTTTTATTTTGAGACATAATCTTGCTATGCAGTTCAGGCTGGTCTTGAACTCACTATGCAGCCCAGGCTGGCCCCAAACTCAAGTGATCCCCCTGTCTCACCTCCCGAGTTCTGGGCTGTGCCACCACACCCAGGTTAAAATGTATAATACAGTTAATGTATATAACTCCCAAAATTCCCCTTACTTTTTACACTTTATTATATTACTGTAGGAAATAAGACCATGTTTAATAATTAAATAAGCAAACTTGTATGTCTGCTTAGTAACAATGACCACTTGTCTTTAGAGGAGCCTGTGTATAGGTAGGTTGAAGTGCTGTTGGAAATTACTGCACTTTACTCACCAGGGACATGTGATAGCTGATACATGAGGGTTTCCAGTCAATGGATGGTGCCGCAGGAGGCAGAGATGGCACTGAAGTGTGCCCTCGCCCACACAGCCTTCTGCGGTCACCTATGCAGTCCATGACTGAACACTGTACAACAGACTCAAAAATCGCATGAGAGTGTTAGTTTATAATCTTGTGAAGCTACACTGCTAGCTGTCCAGAGACACATGTGGCCTACAGGTTGTCATCTATCAGCATACAAATGTACTAATACACAGTACCGTCTCATGCATGACTTTGGTTTCTTCACTTAGGATACTTTCATGTCAGTTCATTTAAATCTAACTTACTTTTTTCCCCATCTTTTTGAGACAGGGTCTCACTATGCAGTTCAGGCTGGCCTTGAACTCACTGTGTAATTCAGACTGGCCTCAAGCTTGTGGCGATGCCCTTACCTCAGCCTCCCAAGTTCTGGGTTACAAGTGTGCACCACCATGCCCTGCCTAATTTACTGTTTTAAAGCTACATAGTATTTCACAGTAAGACTAGAACCAGTTTATTCAAATTTATAATCCAAAGCTTTGTACATTTATTTTTATGCCTGTGTTTATTTCAAAGGGAGATATGACTAGCATTGGAACTGTTTAGCCAGAAGAAATACGATGCCTCAAAAATTTTCCAGGGAGTCTATGTATGCCTAATTCAAATAAATGAGTCTCACCAGCATGGAGATGAAACACCCACTGTCAGGGGCTTAAGTATAGTTCTAGAGTTTGGTTTTTAAGCAAATACAGATTGGGTCTCCCTGGATCAGGCCAAGGGTACAGAGACACATATGAAACAGGCCTGTCCTTAAAGGTTCACAACTTTGGCCTATGCGATGTCAAGGGGTAGCCTTTAGATACTCTCTGCCTCCTTTTGAACTCCTCCCCTGGGCTGAGTCTCCCATTCTCCAGAAAGGCAGGAAAGTAGGAGAATGACAAAAGCCCCGATCCCTCAGCCCAACTCAGGCTACCTCTCTAAGGTCCACTTTGTATCTGAATGCAAGAGACTGAACTGGGGCTGGGGATTTATCTCAGCGGCATAAGCGCCTGCCTTGCAAGCAGGCAGTCGTGAGTTCGATCCCTGAAAGGAAAAGACAAAAAAAAAAAAAGAAAAAAGAAAGAGACTGAACTGGAGAGAGAGCCCTCCAGGTGACCTGAGCATGAGAGCACAACTTTGAACAGCTCAAGGGCCCTGACAGTAACAATCTGTGTAGACCCAAACACCTTTCCCAGGCCTCTCCCGCCCTGCAGGCAGGAAGCCTGGCTTCTGCAGCATGTGGACAAGGAAAGCCCCAGGTGATCCAGGTGATTTTCCTACTTCTCCATAAGCTTCCAGGAATCTCTCTGCCCAGCTCAAAATCCCCCATTTTGCTACCATCACTGCTCCAGCCACAGCCTTCAGGAACTGCAGTGGCCCTAATCACTTTGTGCCCAATCCAAGGACCTCTGCCCCGCTCTGAGTACACTGCACCTCGCTCGTTTCTCCTCTGCTGACCTTGAGTGGCGCAGCCCTTCATCTCCTGCAGGGCCTGCCTGCCCCTCACCTCCTGTGCCCTCTGCTCCCAATTCTCATAGCCCACAGTCATCCCATCCTGAAGTTTTCCTCATCAGTCCTGCCCCACATTCCTTAGTTCTAGAAGCTCTCTTTTTCACTAGAGTCTTCCAAACCTGTTTCTCAGTATTTCCTTTCACCCAGAATTCTCTCCAGGGCATTTGCTTTGCCTGCACTCACACCTGTGCAGGTGTCCCCTAGCTCCCTCTCTGGAGTGTCTTCCTTCTGCTAATCACTGTCTCCCTCCTGCTCTGCCTTCCCCTCCTAAGTGCACAGACAGGTCTCTGCATTACAGTACACTGAGAACAGAGGGACAGATAGATGCTGGGGGTAGGACAATGAGGGGTGCACACCAAGGGAAAAGTGGTCTTGGTTCTCCATTTAACTTTGTTGTATATATTTTGTTTGTTTGTTTGTGACAGGGTCTCACTATGTAGTTAAGGATAGCTTGAATTCACTATGTAACCCAGGCTTTCCTTGGATTGCAGCAATCCTCGTGCCTCAGCCTCCCAAGTGCTGGGGTTACAGGCATGAAAAGTGTTTGTTCTGTCTTTGTTATGTCTTTGACTAAGGGATAAATTAATTGACTTGAAAAGCAATCTTTTGGGGGTGGCACAGTGGGTATCTAACTCAGGACCTCACACTTGCCAGGCAGACACTGTGCTGCTGAGCTAAGTCCCTGGCCCCTTGAGAAGCAATCTATTCATTTGTACTTCCATGTCACCTGTGATTTTTCCCGCCTTCCACCCACAGCCCTGTCAGCTGGCAGGAAGAAGATCAGCAAAGCTGATAAGAGGCGCATAAAGAGGGCTTGGTTCACGGCAAGAGGTCAGTGGTCCACTTTCCTGGCAACATGCTGCACTTCCTCGTGCTCACCTCCCTGGTCCTTTACGGTAAGTGGATGGTTTGGCCTGAGTTCTGAAAGGGAGAGGGATTTTTGCACAAGAGTCAAACTATCTTCCCCTAAGCCCAGGCCAATTCCCTCCCAGGTAAGGGCAGGTTGCTCTGTCTGCCAGTCTAGCAAAAACTTTACTGACCTGGAGCATCAGATAGAAAAGATAAGGTTACCACCAGCCACACAACGCTTTTCTGGTGAAAGGTCCTAGAGTCATGAAGCAGAAAGAAGCCCTTCTGAGGGGCCAGGGCTTCCCTACCAACCCTCTTGACAGGAGGACATCCTGAGCGGCCCCCACTGGGAAGTGCCTTGCTATCCCTATTCACTGGAAAATCCTGCCAAACATCAGCGGAAGAGTGCCCTCAAGCCAAGGGCTGACCCTGGGCAAACTGAGACCACAAGGAGTCTCTGGGGCCCCAGACTGGTGATTCCAGACAGGTCCTTCCTATCATGCCACAATTCCAGGACACTGGGAAAAGCAGAACTACTCAGGAGCCCCTGCTTTCAGAGGGGGCTCAGAGAACTCACAGCGGGGCCCCTCAGTTGTAGAGAAGAGCTGTGAATTTGCAGACACGGCTAACATTCCTCAAAGCACAGCGCCTGCCCCAGCCCTCCCGGAGCTGACCTCCTGCTTAGTCATCACTCACTTCTCTTCTGCTCCACAAAGGACACAGCACCCAGGACTTTCCAGAAACGAATGCCCGAGTAGTTGGAGGCACCGAGGTCCAGAGAAATTCCTGGCCCTCTCAGGTGGGTGTTCCTTCAGCCCAGACTCTCAACTGAATGAGTGCTGCTATGTCCTTACGAAAAGTGCTGTGTATGTTTGTGTGCCTTTTTCTCAACTAGCAGCTTAGCAACTGTCTATAACTCAGGTTTTAAAGATGGATTAGGGCCAGGGTTATAGTTCAGCAGCATAAGCACCTGCCTGGCAAGCACAAGGTCCTGAGTTCAATTCCTGATACCAAAATGAATAAATAAAGTAAAAGATGGATGGGACCAGGTTTAGATGGGCTCCTAAATGAAAAGGCTTAGCAGAGGGGACTAACATCAGCCACACTCCCAGGCACACACTGAGTACAGGCTACCTTTCTACTGCCAGCAACACCCTTCATGACACGCTGCAGGACTCATGAAATGCACTCCGCACAGGGGCACATACACATACACAGAGCAGTTGCTTGTTTGGGTAAAGAGTTTGTATTTTGTAACAGGACAGGGAGGCCCAGCTTTAAGCAAATCTGAATGTGTAAAACTGGCCGCTTCACAGGTGAATAGCCACACTTTGAGAGGCCTTTTGAGTGTGAGCCCTGGGTTTCAGTGGAGCTACTGTAAAATCTGAGGAAGCAGAAACTGACGGAAACGAACATTCCAGTACTGTTTCTGAGTATGCCCTGTAATGAGGGGACAGTGTATTTGAGAAGCCTGATTTGAAAGGTGTGCTCTGGAGACCTAGGTTGTGGGCCTTAGCTAGAAGAGAAACATGTTGGCTACATTTCCTTTCCAAGAAAGAACAGTGATAAAAGGACCTGGTTCCAAGCCTATTTCAACAACCTAGAGCAAGGATGCCAAATACACTCACCCAACAATGCAGCATTCTTGTAAGTGGATCCCAGAAGCACTGACACCCCCTTATCAACAGCACCTCTAGGCAGCCACTACCAACCTATCCATAGCAATTGGCAAGTCAGATGAAACCTATTTGCTGTCCTTAGTTCAGAAAGTTGGAGACTGTGTTGAGGATGTCAGGAACTTAAGGAGATGACATGTTTGGGGCAAAGTCTTTTGAAAAACACCAATCTATCCCTTCTCTCTTTCCTCCCCATCTAGATTTCCCTCCAGTACTTGTCTCTAGGTTCCTGGCATCACACCTGTGGAGGGACCCTCATCAGACAGAAGTGGGTGTTGACAGCTGCTCATTGTGTAGACCGGTGAGAAGAAAAGGGCCAGCTTTTTTCATGAACCCCTGGGAGGAGCAGATGCTGGATTTTCTTAAGGAACGTTTAATTTTGACATCTGAAGGTGGAGTGGAGAGTGGGCCACTGGCCAGCTCCTTTGTGTTTGGAAATCAATGTAGCAGGGAGACCATATAGAAAAAAGTACAAGCTATGGAGTCGGGCTCAGGTTTCACCACCTTCTAGCTGTGTAACCTTGAGCAACTGACTTAGCTCCTCTCTTCTCCGATCTCTAAAGTGGGATGATGGTATCTACATGATAGAGTTGTTAGGATTGAGTAAATATTTAAGTGCCTGCCTACTCAACATAGGACTGGTAACTTTTTTCACTGTTGCCATGAGTAATAGTTCTCAAATTTGAGATGTATCAGAATCATGTAGAAGCTACAGATGGCTGAGTCCCACCCAGCAGAATTTCTGATTTGCTAAGTCCACAATGAGGCCTGATGGTATTTCATTTTTATGTGTGTGTGATATTAAGGATTAAACCCAGGGGCTTTACACTAAGCTGTTCTTATATTTTATTTGAAGACAGTGTCTCACTAAGTTATTCAGGCAGGGCACAAACGTACCAGTCTGGGACTGAGATATAGCTCAGTAGCAGAGCACCTGCCTGGCAAGCATGAGGTCCTGAGTTCAACTCCTGGTAACCCTCCCAAAAAGAATCACCAGTCTATTGTGGGCATAGTGGTGCACATCTGTAATCCCAGCATTTGAAAGGCTGAGACAGGGGAATCACTGTGAGTTTGGACCAGCCTGAGCAACATAGTAAATTCAAGGTCAGCCCAGACTACACAATAAGACCCTGTCTCAAAAACGAAACAAAAAAGTTTATACTTCCTTCAAAATTGCTCCATGGTTCACGGTCATTATTTCATTCATGTTCACCACACTTGTCCCAGATTACAAAATGTGAAACTGAAGGTGATAGTGTTTTTCTCTCTCGCAAGTTAGTAAGTCAGAATGAAGAGCTCGTCACTTCTTCATCTTCAAGGCTCTTTCACCCTCCTCTGTCTGAGACAGATAATATGGAGTCCTGCCTGTCCTAAGGATAAGATGTAAGATGACTTTCCAGCCTTGCTCTGAGGGCACGAGACAGTTCCTTGGATCACTCGGAGTTTCCTTCTCTCACTCCAGTTCACGGACCTTCCGTGTGGTTGTCGGAGAGCACAACCTGAAGCAGAAGGAAGGCTCTGAGCAATCTGTGAGTGTGCAGAAGATTGTGACGCACTCAAAGTGGAACACCAAGAATGCAGCTGCCGGGTAAGCACAGGCTCAGGCTGCCCTCAGCTGCAGGAGGAGGGTCTTGGCTTCCATTACATCTTTTGCCAGAGGATTAGCTGGTTTTCACTGTCTGAATCTTGGTCCGTGGCTCACAGCCTGACCTTTGGATGATGAACCAGTTGAATCCAAGAGCGAACACTGTGTCCTGCCCAGAACTAATGAGCAGGCTCATTCATGCAGGTGGATTTTGAGAATTGCTACTTGGGAGGGCTTCAGAATTTCAGAAGATCTTAGGATTAGTTTGGCATAAGAGGGTTTGCATATTTGATTACCTGAAGTTCCTTGTCTGTAGAGCTTAATGTTGCTGCTTTTTTGCTTTTGCTGTTATTCATCATATGGAATAGATTCCATCATAAAAGAAAATGTCGTGTGTGTGTGTGTGTGTGTGTGTGTGTGTGTGTGTGTGTGCTGCAGATTGAACCCAGGGCCTAGTACATGCTAGGCAAGGACTCTCCCACTGAGCTACACCTCCAGCTCAAAAAGAAATTCCCTAAAGTGATTCTTACATGAGAGATCTGCAAGAGTGAGTTGCAGACATCTGGAATGGAAATCATTAAAATATAGCTAGGGCTGAGGTGGGGTTTTCGCTCTGTAGCAGAGTGCTGGCCTAGTATGTGAGAGATCCTGGATTTGACCCCCTGCACTGCTAATGAAACAAAATGCTAAAGAGTATGGAAGTACAGAGTTCAAATGATTAAGGAATTCCTGCAGAGCTCTCAGAGCCACACTATATTTTATGTCTTTCTTCTTTGAGAATGTTACCGCCAACATCAGAGCACCTACTGTTTACTGACTCCCTAATCGTCGCCTCCCCGGGTTGCGGACAATGGCAGTAACTGTAATACTGATATTCCACCAGCAGATGCTGCTGTTAAACATACACTCTCCCACAGCTCACCCTCTTAGCAGGTTAGGCCCCTTAAATTTCCTTTTCAATTCCACAGGCACACCAAGGCTTAGTGACCTTAGCACAGGTGCTGACCGGAGGGAAGTTTTGATTCCAGAGTGAGTTTTCTCCTCTTGCAGCTATGACATCGCCCTGCTGCGGCTGGCCCAGGCAGTTACCCTCAACAGCTACGTGCAGCTAGGTGTTCTGCCCCAGGAGGGAGACATCCTGGCTAACGACACTCCCTGCTACATAACAGGCTGGGGCCTGACCAAGAGTAAGTCACCTCCATTGGCTCCATTCATTCCTGAGATCTTCATTAGTAGCTGAGCTACTAGGGCATATTTTTCTGTGGTGTTTAATATTTAACACCAGAGATCATTAATCCAAGGAACCATAGATAAAATAGCTGATACAGTAAACCGAGTTAAGAATAGTTAAATAAGAGAATCAGACTCTTGGAATTAAAAACAGTCTTACCAAAGTGTGATTATAATGAAGGGGGTACACATGGGTAAATGAGATCTTTGTGCTGAGCTACATCCCCAGCCTCTTTTAACTTTTTTTTATTGTGAGACAGGATCTTGCTAGATTGCTAAGTTACCCTGGCTGGACTTGAACCAGGGATATTCTTGCCTCAGCCTCCCACAATGTTGGGATTACAGACATGTGTTACCACACATAAGCCAAAGCAGTTTTTTGTACCAGTTCTCATTTTGTACATGAGGAAAGTAAGGACCAAAGAAATTAAGGATCATGATCACATTGTTAGTACAAAATTATGACCAGAACCTTGATGTCTTGGTTCTGACTTCGGTGGTCATTATGGCATTGTGCTACTTCCAGACAAGGGGCTGAATTACAGCAAACAAGTTAGAGGTAGTTGTAGATCTAGGTAAGTCAGGGGTGGAAGAGATTTCAGCTGCTCTCTAGACATCACAGAGAATGTTATTCAGATAACATTCTGTAATTCCGCACACACCTGTAATCCTCGCACTTGGAAGGCTGAGGCAGGAAGATCACCTCAAATTTGAGGCTAGCCTTGGCTACATAGCAAGACCTTGTTTTGAAAGAAAGGAAGGAAGGAAGGAAGGACACGTCATGGAAAAGTGGGAGGGCTATGGGACAGAGCTAGTTAGGAAGGGCAGAAACATTCAGCTCAGCACAGAAGCCTGTTAACTGCCAGGCGGTGTTTGGGTTTCTGAGGGCAGGCAAGGCCCTGCTGTGAGCAGTCGATCTGCTGTAGAAACTTGGAGCTGGGAGATACACTTCTATCTGGCTCTGTTCTCCCTTAGTCCAATGTCACTGTAGTTCAGTTTCTTGATCTATGACATGAAAGGGTTATTGTAATGAAAAAATGATACATATGCAAAGGCTTTGAAAAGTCAAAAGAGCTAGAGAAAGCTGCACGTAGTTCTTCAGAAACGGAAACAGGTGTGTGTGTGTGTGTCCTAGTTCTGCTTTGTGAGGCGTAGAGTGTAAGGAGCAGAACAGAGAGATAAACTATCAACCAGTAAGACCATATTTGTTACTGAACTAAGTTATCCACAAGTGAACAAGCCGGGGTAGGATTGTGGACTTGGACTTGGAGGCTGGGAATAGTAAGAGGCCTGTAGTTGTCATATACAGAGAGAGAAGAGGACCTGTGGTATGTAACAGAGGGAAGGAGCTTGCCCTGAGTTTGGGAAGGTTTGGCGGGTGTGGAAGGATTTTTCCCTGGATGGAATCAGAGCAGAGGGGCAGACATACAGTATACTGTAATACAGTGTGGTGAAGTGTTACAATAAAGACAATGTGTGTCCTGTTCAGCCAGTGGGCAGGTGTCCCAGACCCTGCAGCAGGCTTACCTGCCCAGCGTAAGCTATGCCATCTGCTCCGGCTCTTCCTACTGGGGCTCTACCGTGAAGAACACCATGGTGTGTGCTGGAGGAGATGGAGTTAGATCTGGATGCCAGGTGAATATATGTGGAAGGGATCAGAAAGCCTTCTGCTCTCTGCCTCTGACCCTCTCTCTACCTTTTGCTCACCCCCTGTTCCACATCTACTCTTTTTTTTTTTTTTTGTCTTTTTCCTTTTTATTGGTACCGAGAATCGAACTCACGATGGCCTGCTTGCAAGGCAGGTGCTTATGCCGCTGAGCTAAATCCCCAGCCCCTCCACATCTACTCTTGAACTTATGTACCGACTCAGCTTTCTATTTCTGCATCTGAGAATGATTCTGGGCTAGTATTCACAGAATCTCAAAGTTGAAGGGAACCTCAAAATTTACCTTACTTAATGCCCCCATCATAGGGCTGGGGATTTAGCCCAGTGGCATAAACGCCTGCCTTGCAAGCATGTGGTCATGAGTTCGATCCCTGGTACCGATAAAAAAATTTTTTAAAAATGCCCCCACCTTAACAGCTTGTGGGTGGTCCGACATTTGTGTGTTGACATATCTATGTGTTCTTCAGATGTTATGACCCAGATTTGGGGCTGAGCCTCAAAGGTGACTGTAATTGTGTGTCAGATGCCTCCAATCACATTTTTTATTGTACTTCATCCATTACCACTTCTTTACCTCATTATTTATAGGTATGGGTACAGGTGAGTATGGTAGGAAAAAGTACACAAAATAATTTCATATTAGTTTTTATATAATAGAGAAAATTCTCTGCTTGCACAAGGTCTAAAGATTAAAGGTTTTCTAGTGAAGTTCCGCAGAAGCTCGGTGGGTATCTGCTATATGCCAGGCACCATGTCAGGAACAGGAACACAAAGAGGAATCAGGGTCAGTGTGCTCCTCTCTCCTCCATTTAACATTGTTTGATTCTTCTTGTGTCCTTAACACAGTGCTTGGCATACAGGGAAGGAGCAGAGGAGCAGACATACACTATATTATAATTCAGTGTGGCTGTTACAATAAAGACATAAATAGAGAGATGTGGGAGCTCAAGGATAGGTACCACTTCTATTCACTAGAGACAGAAAAGACTTGCGTTTCCTAGGGAAATAGAATCTACAGTAAGCCCTGAAGGTTAAATACAAGTAAGCAAGGTAGAAAAAGGGAAAAGACATTCAGAGACTGAAAACACATAAATAAAAGCATTAAGCCAAGAAATAACTTTCCCACACCTAGAACAAAACAGAGGTTGGAGGCCCACCAGCCAAATCCAGCTGCAGCTTGTTTTTGTACTGCCCTCACCTTAAAAACAGTTATTATGTTTTCAAATGGTTAGAGGAAAAAAATCAAAAGAAGATTTAAGTACACATGAAAAATGCATACAAATTTGCAGCATTCATAAGTGAGTGACATCATGTCACTGCCATGGTTGTTCATTTGCTTACCTGTTTTGTTTTTGTTTTTTGTTTTTTTGTGTGACAGGGTTTGGCTGTGTAGTTCAGGCTGACCCTGAACTCACTATGTAGCTCAGACTGGCCTTGAATTTGCAGCAATTCTCTTGCCTCAGCCTCCTGTATACTGAAACTACAACTGTGTGCCACCATGCCAGGCCACTTATTTATTTCTCATGATTGCTTTTGGACTGCAGTACAGAGAGTTCCTAAAGAGAAGGTGTGGCCTGCAAAGCCTAAGTTATTTACTATTTGTTCTTTCCATGAAAAGTTTGCTAACCTCTTGGCTAGAGGATAAGCTATTAGTTTACTAAGGAATGTCAGGAGATTAGACCAGAGAGGTCAAGCAGGAGCCACATGTGACTTAAGGCTTCAAATTCCATGATCGAGGGTATGACCTTTATCTGTTAGGCACTGGAAAAACCATTGAAGACTTATAAACAGAACAGCCAATTGGATTTGCCTTTTAGTGGTGATGTAGGCATGGTTTTTGAGAAGGGTAAGAAGGCAGGGAGACTGGCTAAGGGGCAATTGCAATAATCCAGGTAGGAAATTTGAGGGCCTAAATCTGGGCAAGATTGATAGGAATGGAGAAGAGGGAGGGAATGTAGGAGAGAGGAAAGAAGCAGGATCTGGAAGGATTTCCTGGTATCTAGTTCAAGTGATTTGGGGTATGAAGTTACTGCCTCAAACAAGACAAGATTTATAAGGTTTAGACAGCCAGGAGAAGTAACCGCTCCCAAAACAAAACGTTGCAGAATAAGAAGAGAACACTGGGTTAGGGAAGAACTATGGATGAAAACACAAATGCTTGAGTGTTTCAGAGATGTGCAGAGTGATCAAAGAGTAATAAAGATTTATAAAATCTCAGGAAATACTACCAGATCACATATCTAGTATACAGTGCAGCCAGGAGCCACAGTGGAAAAGAAAAGGACTACTTTACCACTGGCAGATCACTGTTGCTCATGGAAAGGGTCATTTTAGTCGAGTGGTGAGGGCAGGAGTCATAAATAATAAGGGACAAACATAAATAATAAGGGACAAACAGGCAGAAAAAATATACAGCAGGGAATACAGATTACCCTTTTAAGAATCTTGGATGAAAGACAGGAATAGAAAAAGTCTGGTAGCTTTAGGAACAGCTGGACATGGAGGAGGTGAATTTTTTAAACGGGAAGAAAACCGAGTACATTAATAGGCAGAGAGAAAAGTATCTGGTACAAACCAGGGAAAAGGAATAATGGATGGCACAGGGTCCCAGAAGAAAAGGAAGAGATGGAGCCAACGGCACTGACTCTGGCCAGGAAGACGGGTGCTAGGCCTGCATGCGGATGTGAGTTTGCCGCTTGGGTAGCTGGAAGTTGGCAGATGTTCTGAATTACTGCTTCTGGTTATGCATGAATTAGAAAGAGTCGATTTGACGACAGAAAATGAAGCTGGAAAGGTTGTATAAGTCTGGGATCCTTAAGGAGAATGGAAGGATCGTCCTCCAAGATGCTGAGGTTGGCGGTGAAGGAATGACCACGTGGATGTACGCTTCACTCCATCTTCCTCAGACACCAGATGCGGGGAACGGATTCATCCGAGGCTGGGGTTTCCTGCAAGATGACAGCAATAGGACCCAAGACTGCAGATCCATTGCAAAGTTCAAGCTATGCAGAAGCGGAAGAGAAGTTGTTAGCAGGAGGCTAGTTGAAATTGTAGAATGAAAGAGTTAAAGGGAGTTTTGTGAATCCAAAGAACCATGGAAATAAGGCAACCGATATGTCCCAATTTTCCTGTGACTTCCCTTGTTAAAATTTAAAAGTCAGGATGGGGGAGCAGACTCCTGCATCTTCTAGGCCCTCATCAGCAAGCCAGCCCCACATGTAAGGTGTAGCCTTCTGAGTTAATTCTCATCCTTCTACTGTCTCAATACCTTCAATTTTCAAAAACTAATGTGCTTTTCTTCTCTGAACACTTGATAATTCTCTGAAACACTTGTGTCATCAGCTCTCTTTCCACTGGAGTTTCTCAAATAGTGGGTCTTCTGGGATTTCAGATTTCTGATTCCCTTTCTCCTCAAAGTGGATTCACTGCAACCCTCCTGGTTCAATCACTGCGTTCTTTTCCAGCTCCTCCTCCTGCCATAAAATCTTAGTCACACCCTCCGTCTGCCCAGAGCTTCAGTGAGTCTCTTTCCAGATCATTTAGCATATGACAGTAGTACTCACAACTCTATTCTCTTCTGGTCCTCTCAATCTGAAATATTCTCAAGTCCCTTTTAGGATATAGATGGAAGAGAGGTTGTTTCGAATACAATAAATGTATTCGTATTAAACAAAACACATTGTCCCAAACAGCAGTTGGAGTAATGTACAGAGAGTTCCTCTTTAAAAGAATTATCTCCAATTTGAATTTTTGGTTTTTTCCCCTAGTTCTTCTTGTTTGTTTGTCTATTCTTTTGTTTTTTGAAACAGGGTCTCATTATATAGCCTGGACTTGAACTTACTATGTAACCCAGGCTGGTCTTGAACTGGTGATGATGATCCACCTGCCTCAGCCTCCTGAGTGGTGGGATTATAGGTATGGAGCACCACACCTGGCCCATTTCTTCTTCTTTATTTTTTTTTGGTACCAAGAATTGAACTTAGGACCTTGTGCTCTTAATTCTTATTTAAGCTACACCTATTAAACTGAAAAATACTGTAAGACCATGAGCCTCAGTACTAGAAAAGAAAACGTACTACACCAATTCTGCTCATCTAGTTCTTCCCCAAAGGGACTAGCTTTCAACATTTTTGGCTGATCTTCTGAGGTCAACCTCCATACTTTATATATATATATACTGCTATTTAATTTTTCAGTTCAGATACTATATGAAATGTAAACCTTTTATTATTATATATTACAAATATTATATATATTTATATATAATATATATATGAATGCCCTATACCCTACCTCACCTGCTCAGCAAGATTGTTAAGGACATCAACCTTACCCTGCAAAAGTGATTTTGGTTAGGTCAGTGTTCATCCAGTGTTTATTATGGCTATGAAAAATACTATTCACAACTAAATCATGTAATACTCAAGGATTACTTTTCCTTTCTTACATAATTTATTTTTTTCCCTGGAAAATAGTTTCCTTTTTTTGTTTGCTTAATATATAGTTAATTCATCCCAAATTCAGCCCCACATCTCCCACTAATTTGTAAATAATCTCCTTCATTTTCTCTTGACCCCCATGGTCTATGACCTTCAGGGGTCTGGCCCTGGGATGTGGGTCTACTTGTGTTCATTATAACATTTAGTGGTTTTTTTTCCTTTCTAGAAATTCCAGACTTTGATTATGAAAGTATCCTTTGTTTATTATTTCCTCACCTCCATTTTTAGTTTTCTCTTTCTAGATTTCTTTTCTGGGCACCAAGGATAAAACCCAGGGCTTTGTGATGCCAGCCAAATGCTCTGCCACTGAACCACACCCCTAAACCTCTTTCTAGAATTTCTTTTATTCATGTGGTTTCCTCCTGGTCCTGTCCTTTATATTTCTTTGTTCCTGTTTATGTTCCAACTCTTCCAAATTTTCAGTTCTACTATCAAATTTATAATTTCTAGAGGCTACTTTTTTGTTGTTTTCTGACCATGTTATATCATGGATGCAATATAAATTATAGTTCTGTAGTTTACTTTCTTCTCCATGCTTAAACTTGATTGCCTTCATTTTCTATTTATTTATTTTTGGTAGCTTTATTTTGGTCTGTATTTAATTTTTGCAGTGCTTGGAATTGAACCTAAGGCCTTGAGATCAGGGCTGAGGTCTAACTCAGTGGCGGAAGCATATGCTTAGCAAGGGGAAGGCTCTGGGTTCAGTCTAGCACCACAAGAACAAACAACAACAAAAAGGTTCTATGCTAGCATTGTGGAGAGGAAAGATGTCAATATAATATAATTCCTGACTCAAGAAGCTCATAGATATGTTCGAGAAACAGACACAAATTATGAAACAAAATAGAAGGCGAAGTATGACATAAATGTGGCAAAGGAGAGGAAAAAGTACTATGGTTGTTTTAGAAAGAAAGAAGATTCATTGTGATTACAGGGATAGGAAAGAAGTAGAAATAGAACTGGACTTTTAAAACAGCACAAAATTTCACAAACAAAGATGGCTGAAGTCTTAGGACTCTGCTTCTGTTCCCTGCAGGGTGACTCTGGGGGCCCCCTCCACTGCTTAGTGAATGGTCAGTATGCTGTTCATGGAGTAACCAGCTTTGTGTCCACACTGGGCTGCAACGTTGCCAAGAAGCCCACAGTCTTCACCCGCGTCTCTGCTTATATTTCTTGGATAAATAATGTAAGCCCTCTCAAATGATGGATTAAACAGTCACCTGGAGAGTCAAGTACTACATGGGTTAGGAGCAAAAGATGGGCTGGGGAAGTCATTGTCTTCCTTACTGTGTTCACACATTTAATCCTTCGCCTTTGCCACAAGATAGTGCCATCCCGAGTTCTCCTTCCCATAACTATTGAGCAGACTTCACCATATTGTCTACTGGTTAGGCCGAGAGAATAGAACAGCAGATCGGAACCAGGCACATATCAGGGTTGTCCTAAGTCAAAGCCAAGGGGGAAACAGTTCAGAAAGGCCTGCATGCTCCTCTCCCTCAATGTCTTCCTAAGGGCACTGAGAGAATTGCATTAAGTTTTTGTTTTGCTTTTTGGGACAGTCTTGCATGTACTGCATGGCTGGCCCTGAACTCAGCAGCCTAGGTTGGCCTCAAGCTTTAGTTCCTCTTGCCTTAGCCTCCTAGGTGCTGGGATTATAACTGTGCACCACCATGCCTGGTTTGTTTTAATTTTTGAAAATGTTATTGCCTTAAAGAATGCTTGAGAGTGAGGACAGACTGGCTACATTGACCTAGCTGTAGAAACACATAATTCTTCTTACTATGCCCTCTAGCTTTCAAACAATCTGGAGCCTTCATATGTGAATCTTGGCTCACATATTTCAAAGTCTGCCCATATCTCTATATCCTGAGTATGTGCCTATAATATTGAGGCCTCCTGAGACCTACTACTGCCCCCCCCCAACTACCCCAAAACCCTGTACAGGACATATTTAACTCGGAGCTCTGAGAAAATAAGAAAGGAGGTAGACAGAATTTACTAATAGGGGATATAACTCTGTCTTTTCTTTCAGGTCATTGCTTCCAACTGAACATTTTCCTGAGTCCAGTGGCCTTCCCAAGATGGTTCTTACATCTTCATACAATAGGATTTAAGTCAACAAGAAAAAAAAGAGCTGAGGTTAAGCTTAGTGGTAGAGTGCTTCTGTAGGATACTCAAGGCCCTGGATTACATCCTCAGGGCTGGAAAAAAAGGACAGCAAACAAGACAAAACAAAACACCCATCCTGAGACTACTGAGTCAGAGCCAGATTTTTTTGAAAAATGGGATGTACATTGTTTTTCTAGTTGTAATTAAGCCCTTTAGAGGAAATGTAGTTATAGGGCCCAAGTTAGATTTCACCACATTTCTGGGCTGGTTCTTCCTTTGCTGCTATCTTTACCAGTCCACAAACTAAGCCTAGTGAGTGGGGTTTTTACATTATCCACTTTGCACTGTTTCAGGATCTACTCATCCATTAATCTATCTGACTCCTTTCCTGTGAATATTTGCTATACCCAAAAGCACAAAGTGCTTTTAAAAATTCCTGAGTAACTAACTCTCCATGATAGACTGTGCACTCATCTTTTGTTCTCTTCTGTGCCTCAAACAAATGCTGACTGAGAGGAGCTACTAAGATACACTAGAGACGGAAGGAAGTACAGGGTTAGGATGGAAGGTCACATGCCAGCAGACTAAGGAACTGACAAATTAGGAGACTGCAAAGAGTAGAAAGTAGAGGGATGAGGATACCAAATGAAGGAAAGAATTGAGGGAAGGAGAGAACAGAAAGGAAGAGGCAACAATATGGGCCTCAAGCTAACTGTGAATCAGCATTTCAAGGCTTCAACTAAAATAGGCAACCTTATCCTGGATTTTGTAAACCACAAAGAACTGAGAAGCTGATAATTCTGCTTTCTTCTGGCCATGGCTCAGTGTGTTAAAAGTGGCCTAGGAGAAAGCAAAAAGGGAATTGAAAGAAGAAGTCCAAGCTGATGAGAAGCAGTTTTTGTTTGTTTGTTTTTTGTCTTTTTCATTTTTATCGATACCAAGATCGAACTCAAGACCACCTGCTTGCAAGGCAGGTGCTTATGCCGCTGAGCTAAATTCCCAGCCCTGAGAAGCAGTTGTTCTAGCAATTACTAAGACCAGACATGAAGGACTAAGGTAGTAAACATTCTAGCTGGAGAAACTGGCTGAGACAAGTCCTAGAATTGGTCCTGCTATATTGGCAGAGGCTCCAAACATTATCTACAAGAGACTGGGCTGGGGCCATGGCACATGCGTCCTTTCCCAGTTCTACCACTGAGAACGGGGATAACCTTGAGCCAATTACCAGCCTTTTCTGTGACTTAATTTTCCTATGCCATTTTTTTTTAAGACAGGGTCTTATAGTTTAGGCTGGCCTTGAGTTCACTACATAGCCCAGGTTGGCTTCAAACTTGTAGCAATCCTCTTGCCTCTGTCTCCCAAGTACTGGGATTACAGGTGTGTACCCCCACAGCCTAATTTCTAATGAATGTTCCTGCTCTAATATTATGTGATTTGGTGAACATGATTTTTTTCAATCATATTTTATTGGCATATTTTGGATAGGCATAATGATCACATCCATCATACAGAATTTATACCTGTACATCATTTTTTCCCAACATCCCTAGTCTCCCTTCAGTTCTCCACCCTTGTCATTTGTGAAAGCTGTTTCCATGTTTTCCTTTTTCACTTCCCCCTTCTTTCCTTTTTCCCTTCCCTTTCCATTGTTCTCCTTTCCATTTGAACATTTTCTTCCTATTTAACAATGCCTATTATATGTTTTGATCTTTGTTTACACGTTCAGTTTATCATACTAGACAAACAATGCAGTATTTATGTGTCTGATTTATTTCACTTAAGAGTATGGTCCCAAGGTTCATGCATCCATTTTCCTAGAAATGTCTCAAGTATTTGATTGTCAACTTCAGTTTCTGATATTGACACTAAAGAGGGTTTCTTAGAAGGCAGTGGCTGCAGTGTGCTATGTAGAGTGCTGTAGAGTCCCGAGTGACAGGGACATACGCCTTTGTTAATGACACACCTGCTTGTTGTCACTGTCATCTCTCAGCATTCCAGAATATGTCTTCTAGGTTTCTCCTAATTAATGAGTCCTTCCATTTTTCTTACTCTGCCTTCCCTGGCTGTCACTAAAGCTAACATCCAGAAAAAACACTAATCACCTGTAGACTAAAAATTTTGTATCCATGTCTGTAACTAAGCACATTGCAGTATAATCAGATTACGAACATATCTCCCCCTTCAGACTGTAAGCATCTTGAGATCAGAGATTGTATTTTATTCACCCGTAGCTTCCCCTCACCCAGCAGTGTTTGGCACACAGCTGACCTGAAGTGCATTCTGGCTATTCAGGGGACAGAAATGGAAAATACCAGAAGGTGATTTTGTGGCAGGACTCCAGTTTCTCTCTGCACTCCTTGGGACACGTATTTTTACCTTCTCTTCTTCTTTGAGGAAATTTTACCTGCACTGTAAAAGTTAATAGGTCCTCTGAATATATAATCCTAATTTTCAGCTGTCTCCTTAAACAGATCAGGGGATAACTTCCATATGGAGAACTTCTTCCTAGAGAAACAATAGCAATCTCAGTAGCCTCAACACAGGACAGCAATGTTGCTTCAGCCTCCCAAGTGCTAGAACTAGGAGTATGCATGCTGCTATATAGTTTACAGTACCCAACTAGAAACACTTACTCCCCCACATACACCAGCACAGTGTGGAAAATATTCTTCTCAGATCTTTTTCAATGGGTTAACTCCTTTCCTGAGGACTCCCATTTCTCTCCAGCTCAGTGGCTCCTCCTTTCCAAACTCAGACCTGAAGTCCTGTCCCCTTATCTGTATCTGCTCCTACCAGTTCCAAGTTTAGGGCCAACCTCTCCTGCAGTGGTTAAACTGCAACCTGAGCAACCCAGCATGAACAAACACCTCCAGAATGAAAAGAAGCTTTCAGATACAATAAATATTACACTGAGAGTAGAATTCAATTGTATTTTCTGTCACGTTGTGTCAGTTCTTTCCCAGAGCAAATTCGTCTTCTGGCTCACACTTGAATACCAAGTTCAGCGCAGTCTATGTTCCTCTACTGTGGGGAGGAATTTTTTGTTTGTTTGTTTTTGTTTTTGGGGCGGGGGTTTGTTTGTTGTTTTGTTGAGACAGGATCTCACTATATAGTTAAGACTTAAAATCGCCCTGTACCCCAGGCTGGTCTCGAACTCCAGAGCGCTGGGATTACAGCATGGGCCACCACGCCTGGCCTGGGGTGGGCCTAGAGCGGGCGCCTCCTGTGGGCAGCCCAAGTCCCAGCCCGCTGGCCCGGCCTCTGCCACTGAACAGCATCTACCCCAGCTCCCAGCATCCCCGCCCACCCTGCCGGCCGCTCTGGACTGTGGTGGGCAGTGAGATGGGCCACACTGGCAGCCGGGTGGGCCTGGGCTCCCGGTGGGCCTCGGCCTTTGGCCGCAGACCCCGGAGCTGCCCGAGCCCCACGTAGGGCAGGGGAGGGAGGCCGAGCCCGCCCCCTCCCCCAGCAGGCGCGCGGGGCATCCTGGGAGTGCGCACTTCCTCCTCCTCGGGGGCTGCAGAAACCACAGGGCGCAGGGCTAGGTCAGCCGTCCCCGGGGAGCCGGTAGGATGGCAGAGGGCAAGGCGGGTGGAGCTGCAGGCCTCTTCGCCAAGCAGGTGCAGAAGAAGTTCAGCAGGGCCCAGGAGAAGGTAGGCAGCGGGGGCCGCGGGAGACCTGGGCTAGAGATGAGGGTCTGCGGCTGCCCAGCAAGGAGGAGGCAGTCGGCTCCAGGCAGCCGAGGGTCTGAGAGAGAAGGGAGCCCACCGCCTGACAGGACAGGCCGTGGAGGAGACTGCAGTCCCTCTCAGGGACCTCAGGCTGACTCAGGAAAGGGGGAAGAAAGGAGCTAACGTTGGTGCCCAACTGTAGCAGGGTCTGCCTCCCAGTACAGAGGATGGTGATTTGTAGATGTTGAAATTAGAGGGTTGCTGAGTGTGGTGGCACACGCCTGTGGAGGCCAGCACTGGGGAGGCCGAGGCAGAAGGATCTCCGTGAATTCAAGGCTAGCCTGGACTACAGAGTGAGACCCTATCTCAAAATAATAATAATAATTTCCCCAAAGGCAAAGACAGTGATGACCAACTATGTGATGCTGCAGAGTCCCACCGCTTAGCTTGGGTTGGGAATCTGAGGACTAAATAAGTCTTCACAGTTCTTTTGGTACCAGCCTTTCCTGGCCTTGGGTGCTGTTTAAATCGGTATAAGCAGTAGCACATACAGTATCTGTTTCCTGTACCCTCTTTGGCATTGGAGAGAACCCCACCCAAGATGATGGAGCATCTCTTAAGTTTGTATCTATCCTAGCAGCAGTTAGCTTTACGCCAGCACTAGCATTTTGGTAGGCTGCCCATGTATAACTTACCTGTCTTTCTAGATTATGTGTACTTTCTTACGTATTATAATGAAATTGTTTGTTTCTACCAGTCTGGAGTATTTTCTTTGCTTTTAACTTTCACATACCAGCACTCCAGTAGACAAGGTCATGTGGAAAGACAAGTAAGATAGGAGAAAGGAAAATGCAAGGACTTCAGATACAGTACAGTATTGGTTTTTCAAGGGCTCATGATCTTGGAAGGGTTTAGAATATCACATGCTTAACAATGGCAGTATTTGTATTATCTTTTAAAGATGAAGTACTGGCTTGGGTCCTGGGAATGATTAAAGGCTATCAGCTCGCTCTCCCAAGGGGCATTATCAACTAGGAACCAATGAAAATACAAGTGTACTTCCTGACTTATAAAGGCCACAATAGTGGGAAGAGAGTCTATATACTTTTTATCTTATTTTATTTTTTATATCTTTTGAGTCATGTGAAAGAGAGGGAAAGACTTTGTGTGTCCAGTCTCTGTTACTCTAACTGCACTTTGATCATTAAGTCTCTCTGAAGACTGTCTAGTTACAAATTTGAAGACCTGAGAGAATGCCTATGGGAAGGGCTAGCAAGAAACAGTACAGAGAGCAACAAGTTTCCTCAGAGAAAGCTACACTACTACTGGAAAAACAAAACCGCCAAAAAGACACATTAAGGGCTGATGGTATAGCTCAGTGATAGCTCAGGAACTTGCTAGTATGCAGGAGGCCCTGGGTTCCATTTTCATCACCACAAAAGATAAAATAAAATTTAAAAAATAAAGCAGGGTATGGTGCTACATGCCCATAATTCCAGCACTCTGGGAGGCTGAGGCAGGAGAATCAAAAGTTTGAGCCAAATTTGGGCAAGTTAGAGACTGAGACTGTATCTCAAAATAAAAAAGGACTGGGCATGTAGCTTAGTGTGAAGGGCCTGGGTTCAGTTCCCAGTGCCACCAAGCCTAATAAGAGCCAGAGCTGAGATGTAGCTTAGTGATAGAGCACTTGCCTAGTATGCATGAGGCCTTAGATTCAGTCCCCAGCACTCAATCAATTAATTAATTAAAAGACATAGCAATTGATTTTTGTCTCACCCTCTGTCTTCAGCAGTGGTGGTAAGCCTACAGCACTCATGCCACAGTGGGCTGTTTATACCATTGAACACTCTAAAAGGTTTGCCATCACTGAGTCTTCATCAACACTGTGCCCTTATTTTGGGCTTCCTCTCCTCTTTAAGTGTGGACTCCAAAACCTTAAGTAAATAATGTCCTGCTTGGGGCCTCAGATCTTGCATCTATAAAAGGAGGTCAGTATTCTTCATGAAACTCAATTTGGTAATACCAAGTTGAAAAGGGAAGGGGATTCCTTAAACCTCAAAGTCAAATATTTCCTAAGAGGAAAACCAGTCACCCAGGTAGCACCCTATGCTTCCTGCCTCAAACCCTGAAAATGTAGAGAAAGAGAGACAACCCTGGGTCTTCCCAGGGAGCTCTGTATTACTGCAGACAAGACACTGTGAAATCACACACAGCGACAGGCAAACACTGAATTGGAAGCAGTACCTAGAGGTGCTGCCTGGATAAGGGGAAATGGCCGGGGTTGGGGGTGCTTGCTCAGAGCCAGACTTCTTGACTCTTGAAATGTTATGGAAGGCAAGATAAAGATGGAGAAAGTTACAGTAAAAAGAAAAAGATTCTCTGGAATACTTCAACATTTCTGTAAGCATGGATATAATCTTCTGAATAAGGTCCCAAATAGCCAAATGTGTCAACTGTCAAGTGCCTGTGATGGACCAGTGGCAGGGATAGAACAAGTCACGATCTCTCCCTTTTGGAGCCAACATTCTAGCCATATGATCTCACTTCGTCTCTTCAGCACTTTAGGCCGGTTGTTAGTATCCCAGTTTGTATGTATGTGTGATGCTGGGGCTCAAACTCAGAGCATGCAAGAACTCTACCACTCTCTCTTTAGCTGTAGTATCCCAGTTTTAGAAATGAGGAAATGAGTTTGAAAAGAGATGGCTAAATGGCAGAACTATCATTGAAACCCAGGTGTCCTGCCTTTCAATTGTAACCTCAGGCTGCATCCTTTGCAGCAATGCTGATAAGCTGGCCTGACATCTGTGCCTGCCCACTTCCTGCTGATCCTCTCTGGGAGGAGCAAGGCTAGCAGAGAAAACACTTTTTGCTCTGAAGAGCTGGGAATGAGTATCTGGTGTCTGTTAAACACAAAAAGGGGGAACCATTCTTCTTGTTCTATTTTCTGCTTCCCACCCAAACTCATCGTGATAGTGACTCTTCAGCCCAGTTTTTTATTGTATCTGCAGTATCTTACAGCCTTGTTTCAAACTGTTGCTTTCACTGGCTGTTTCTGATTTCTCAGTGGCAGACTCTCAGATCTCCCCTGAGCAAGGGCATTGTTGACTACTTCTTTGTTGGTCTTTGCCTGCGTTGACTTTTACTCAACTTGTATCCCAGAGGGTTTAATTCACCAAATATTTACAGAGGATTCCCTTGTTCAGGGGGCTGGCTTGAACACAGGAAGGAATTTAGAGATGACGAAGAGGCGGTCTTACCTGCCAGAAGCTTACAATCTAGTAAAATAAAGTGAAAATCAAGTAACCTAAGAGAGAGATACATCTGGGGGAGGGAATTCAGCAGACAGAAAGATTTAGGGAGAGCTGAAGGAGGTTTTATAGTGAAGACTTGCATTCGAAATAGGACTTGTGTCTGGTTGGGAGGCAAGTGGTGAGAGTACTGAGAGGAATCTGCAGGTTCTCTCAGCCCGACTAGCGACTAGCGACTAATGAAAAGCAAGCGCAGCTGAGGGAGTGAGGGGAGAAAAGGCTGGACAAGAATACTGGACATAGTAAGAAGGCTGTGTTTAGGGCTGGGGATTTAGCTCAGCGGCATAAGGACCTGCCTTGCAAGCAGGTGGTTGTGAGTTCGATCCCTGGTACCAATAAAAAGTTAAAAAAAAAAAACAAAACAAAGAAAAGTCTGTGTTAGCATATAGCTTAAGTCTTTTTATATAACCGTAGTAAAGTTATTACACCTAAGAAAAAATTGACAATATTCCATAATATCTAATATTGAGGCCCTATTCAAATTCCCCCAATTAAGAGAATTACCTAACCTGTAATAACTGATTACTGGGAAGAATCATGGTGAGGAACTGGAAGCTACCAAACATGTCTGCAGTGATAAAAAAAGAAAAAAACTCAAGCTACAGAAAAATTAACAGAATAGGTCAATGGATACTGGAATATTGTTCACCGAGAGTCACCAGGTGCTAGCATTTTGTTGCACTGACTTCCCAGCCTTTGCTCTTGCTCTTTCTCTCTAAATGTCTACATGCTAATTTGTTAGCTGGCAGGCCAGGTAAACAGAGGCAGAATGTGAAGACAGGACTTTAGAAATTGGCATTGTGTTCATTTTCAATAGGAACAATCCAGCCATAGAATTAATTTAACATTTGTATATGTTGTTCCCTTAATGGCTTCTCTTTTAATACATAGGGAGATCCTGTCTCAAAAAAACAAAGAAAAAAAAAAAGGTTTCTCTTTTAGAGACAAGTGCCCCAACCGCAATCCAGAATCCACTTACTAATCACAAAGTGCCAACCCAGCAGTTAAACCTGAATACTGAGGTTTTAGTTTAGAAAAAGCAACTCCTTCCTTAACATCTTTGTGTTGTAAAAGAACAACAAATAACTCCTGCCACGGATTCACCCACACTGGCCTTGAATACAGAATAAGCGCTCGGGGCAGCAAATGATTTTGTGCCCAGAGCCTGAAGTGTCTTTCCAGAGTGTTAACATTGTTTTTTTACTTTTTTTTTTTTTTTCTTGGTACCAGGGATGGAACTCACTACCTCATGCTTGCCAGGCAGGCACTTATACCGCTGAGCTAAATCCCAACCCCTGTTTTTCCACTTTTTCCAGCTGAAAGTGGGAAGGTTTCCTCACCAAACACTTCAAGCCTTTGAATCTTGAGCCTTTAATGGGTTAGTTTTCTCTTTATCTTTTCTACCCTCTCTACCTAAGAACCAAGCTATAGTCAAAGGAAGGGAGTGGTAGAAAAAAGGAAGTATGCACTGTGCTTAGCAGCACTAAACAAGGTGGTTTTGCAACTTTCTGGTTGAAGACAGTGTTTTGTCAGGGCAGAGGGTGGAGCCAGAGAAGATGGTAGGTTCTGTAAATACTCAGAGCCATGATAGACACAAACAGACATGGCTGAACTGAAAGGACATATACTATTTATAAGCAAAGGGGTAAAACTGGACATAATGATAGAGATGAGTATTGAGCACTCACTGTAGGGCAGCACTGAGAAAGCAATTTAATGCATAATCTCATTTGATCCAACAACTCTAAGCGATAAATAGATCTTAATGGGGGAAAGAAAACACTCTGTAAATTTGTGTTCAAAAGTCTTTTTTTCTTTCTTTTTTGAGACAAGTTCTTGCTATGTCATTCAGGATGGCCCTTAAGCCCAGGATGGCCTCAAACCTGTGGCAACCCTTCTGCCTCAGCCACTTGAGTGCTAGGGTTACAGGCATGTGCTACTACACCAGGTGCTCTAAAGAGTTATACGTGACTTGTCCAGCAGCTCATAACCAGTAGGTAGAAAAGCAAGTGTAAGAGCTAATGTGTTAGTCAGCTTTCTTTCATTGTAACAAGATAGCTGAGAGAAATAACTTGAACAAAAAAAGATTAATTTTGGCGCATGGTTTCAGCCCATGGTCTTTGGCTCCATTGTTTCTGGGCCTGTGGTGAAGCAGAACATCCTTTGGCAGGAAACATAAGTTAGATCAAGGCTGCTTATCTAATGGTGAGGGAGGAGAGGAGGAGGCACCATGGGTGAAAAAGAGAAGGAGAAAGGAATGAAGGAAGAAGGGAGGAAGGAAAGGAGGGAGTAAGGGAGAGAAGAAGAGTGAGAGAAAGAGGTTAAGAAAGAGAAGGAAATACAAATGTAATGAACACCCAAGCGGTGGACCAAGTCCCATGATACCCTTAAATCACTCTCCCCATTAGCTACTTTCTATGCGCACTTCCTAAAGTGTCCACCACTTACCACTAGTGTCACCAGCTGGGGACCAAGCCTGAGACATCCCAGGTCCAAACCGTAACCGTGAATGTCTGACTCTGAGGCCTTGTTGTTAACTACTACAGAGAGAACTCTAAAAGCAAAAGATACTGTCCCTGCCCTCGTAATAAGATTAGAGACCCTTGAATCAGAGACTCCACGTACAACCTTCTTGCTCCCAAGACTTGGAGACTTTTTTTTTCCTCCCCAGTACTGGGGATTTAAGTCAGAGTCTCACATTGAGCTACATCTCAGCCCTTTATTTTTTGAAACAGGGTCTCACTGAGTTCAGGCTGACCTTAAATTTGCAACCCTCCTGCTCAGCCTCCTGAATAGCTGGGATTATAAGCAGACACCATCATGTCTGGCTTTAAATTTTAACTTGTACAAATTCTCATTCTTTTTTTGTTAGCACATATTAATTATATACAATATTGGATTTAATTGTGGAATTTTCATACATACACAGAACATACTTTGAACATGTCACCCTACATTACCTTCCTTTGTCTTCCCTCCTCCCCTCTCCCCAACAGCCTCCCCTTTGTCTAGCCATCTCCTTTCTGCTTTCATGTCCAGGGCACTCTTAGATGTGATTCATAGCCCTTCATAGTAAAGTTCCAATTTTACTAACTCCATTTCCCACCATAGAACACCTTAAATAAGCTAAGGCGAACCATCTCAGAAGGCTTTTGTAAAGTTACATACTCCCATAACTTTGCTGATACTCTTGTCTGCCTGGAATCCTCTTTCCACTTTCACTGTATTTTTTTTTTTTTTTTACTCGTTATATTTTATTTTAGTCTGTCAAAATCCTACTTCAAGGACCAGCTCATGATCCTTTCTTATATTGGTCTCCTTCTCTTTCCTGTTAAAATGACCAAGCATCTATTAGCTGAATACTGAGAGATCTATATAAGTAAAGTAAGTAAAGTACTCAATCCATAAGGAATTTCAGTTTAGAAGACATAGACAAATAAACACAAATAACAAAACAATAATAGAAATATAGGAGAATTACAGAGGTTATGAGCATTTAGAAGGGAGGAACTAACTTGATTAATGGGATAAAGTAGATGTGGATAAATGTTATAATGGATCTCAGTATGAACTGGGTATTTTTAGAAGGTTGCCTGGCAGACATGGGCCTGCCAGGAAGAAAGAATAGGATCTATCACAGGTAATCATCTGCTTCTTTAGGAAACTAAGAAAACCATCATGTAGGGAGATACAGAGAGACCTGACACTTAATGAAGAGTCAGGCTACTGGGACCCTTATGCATGCTAGGCTATGAACTATCACTTCATGGATACATAATGGGCATTTAATAGAAGTGTACTGACCAAGTTAGTGAAGACCCATTATGCAGTTTTAAGAGCACCATGGTAGACCTATTGCAGCAGGCCCGATAAGAAACAGTGAGCACATGGACTAAGCCTGTGGCAGTGAGACCAGAGAGCACAGGATGGTTTCCAGGGGTGGATGTGGTGTGCGGGAGAAGTAATCAAAGGCAGCTTCAGACATTCTGAATTGGGCCTGGAAACCGTGGGGTGTTCTTCTGAGGTGCATGGTGTAGTAGGAGCCTCAGGGTTTTCTTACCTCATAGAATCACTTGTTATAAGTGAGTGTCCATTATAAGGATGGTCTTTTTCCATCTCTATCTCTTTTGTATTACTACCGAGACTTGTCAGGTGGTTGGCTGTCTGTTTCCTAGTTAAGGAGGATAGACGGATAGCATTCATTTCTAGCTGAATTCAAGTGCATTGTATCAGGGCTTCTCACAGTTCCCACATTGCCCCAGTGAGAGAAGAATCACATGCCTGCCCTACCTTCATTTCTCAGGAAGGATGCGTGGCTGTGGCTGGAAGAGGATTTCTTAAAATAAACATTATATTCAGGGTTCATGTTTTATCTTAAAAGTCATGCACAATTACATGCTTTTTTCTAGTCCTTGTTTTAATAGAATGCCCTCCTCCTTCCACCTTAAAAAAAAAATTAAAAAAGAACATTTTAGCCAAGCCTGATGGCACAGGCCTACAGTCGCAGCATTCTGGAGGCTGAGGCAGGAGACTGATTAATTTAAGCCCAACCTGGTGACCAAACTTAGTAAGACCCTCTCTTTCAAAAAAAGGCAATGGGGCTGGAGGTTAACTCGGCTCAAAGGTCCTCAGTTGAATTCTTAGTGGTTCTTCCCATACATACATACACCAATTTTTATATGATGCTGGTGAAGCAGTTTAGCGGTAAAGTGCTTGCCTAGCCTGCAGAAGGCCATGTGTTCAATGTTTAGTCCCATAATAAATACACACACACACACACACACACACACACACACACACACACACACACACTTCATGGCTCAGGTGTAGCTCAGTAGTAGAGCACGTATTTAGCTTATACAAAGCTCTAAATTTAATCCTTGCTGCACCAAAAAAAATTGAAAAACCACTTTCCATTTGTTTGTTTGTTTGAGACAGGGCCTCACTATAAAATTCAGGCTGGCCTTGAACTCAGTATGTAACCCAGGCTGGCCTTGAATTCACTGCCATCCTCCTGCTTCAGCCTCCCAAGTTCTAGGATTGCAGGAATGTGCCAGCACACCTCGCTGATAAATACTGTGTGTGTGAACACACACACACAGACACACACACACACATAACCTCTAGCATACTACTGTACACCTTTAGGCCCCAATTTGAGAAGAACCACAAAATTTTGTCAGTACCATATTATATTCCTAATTCTGTTGCGCTGATAAGGAGTATGAACTTTTAGTTGCATCTACTGTTAGATTGAGTAGCCAGGGACCTGTGTGGCCGACAGTTAAAAGAGATTTGGCTGTAACCTTATGAGCTCTTCTGTTTTATGTCCCCAGGTACTGCAAAAATTGGGGAAAACTGTAGAAACAAAAGATGAACGATTTGAACAAAGTGCTGGCAACTTCTACCAACAACAGGTAATCTGGAGGGTGGGGAAGGGCAGACAGGTGGAAGAAAGCAAGCTTGAGAGCAGAGCGGCCAGAGCAGAGGTGCTGTACACCACGCATCTTTATCAACCCATCCTCTTCCAGGACTGAGAGACCCAAGGTGACCTGCTGCTTATCCTTCCGCTGGGAACCTTCCTAGTCCTGCTCACTCAGGATTTGGGGGAACAGAGGAACGTTCTTTTCTCTTATTGATTCTCCTCAGGACGGCAAAGTTCAGTGGTATCACCAGGTCCTTAGACATCAAAGTGAGCCCTTGCTACCTAAATTGTGGCATATACAGCTTCCCGAAGTGCTGCTCCTATTCTAGGTCTCCTCTCAATTGCGCATCATTTCCTTTTGCTTTTTCTAGCTATTACATCTACCCCACCCGGGCTCTTTATTCCACAATAATTCCTCCATATTTTACTGGTCATTTCTACCAGTAAACCTCTTATTTTCACTGTTCCTTTTATTTCAACAGGGTGTTAAGGATTATTTCATACAGAAAATCTACATTAAGAAGTGCATAGCCTGATGTGCCCATAATCTCAGCCCTCTGAAAGGCCCAGACAGTAGAATAGCAAGTTTGAGCCCAGCCTTGGCAACCTAGCAACTAAGAGTCTATCTCAGGAAAAAAAAAAAAAAAAAACACCTGTCTCAGAATACAAAATAAAACAAGAGCTATGAATATAGTTCAGTGTGAAGGCCCTGAGTTTAACCCTTAGTACTGGGAAGAAGAAAAGAAAGTGTGTAACATGTGTAACCTCCATGAGATAGTTGGTGTACTTTTTTAATTTTTCCCTTGTATTGAGCCAGAGCCTTCACATCAAGCTAAATCCATAGCCATTCTTAACTTTTTTTTTTTTTTTTTTTTTTTGAGACAAGGGTGTTAGTAAATAACTAAATTGCACAGGCTGGGCTTGAACTTGTGATCCTCCTTGCTCAGCCTCCCAAAGTGCTGGGTTACAGGCATGTGCTACCAAGCCAGGTGAATATTTGAGTTTCTATGTACTATGTGTGAGATATCACGTTCAGTTCTTCTAATCTCATTTAATGTTGATTTCAGCATTGGAATTGTTGTCCCCACTTAATAATAGAAGAAAGGTATTCAGTAAAACGACTGCCTGGTTGCAGTTTAGTTTTGATACCACCCAGCATCAGACCAGATTTCACAGGTTAAGATCACATTCCCACCCAGACCTGCCCTCACTTCAGAGACCAGCCACATGCTCCTGAGTTCCAAGCCACCTGGTCTTCTGTTCCATTTGATATAAATTTGGGTGTTTCTACTACCTACTCAGGTTTGATGATTCATTAAAGTGACTTTTAGAACTCAAGATAGTATGTTGTTTATCATTATGCTTTTATTATAAAGGATACAAACCAAGACCAGCCAAATGAAGGAGCATATAAGGCAAGATCTGGGAAGAACGCAAACACTAAGCCCCTGTGTCTTCAAGACATACCACTCTTTCGACCCATTAATGTAGGATTATTCAGGCAAAGGCCAGGGGTTTAGCTCAGCGCCTGTAAGACCCTGTCTGGCAAGTGCGAGGTCGTGAGTTCAATCTACAAAACAAAAAACAAAAAAATTATTCAGGCAAGCTTCAGGTGTCCAGAGTTCTCGTAGCTTCCTTATATATTAAACCACTGGCTATGTGATTGACCTCAATTTCCAGCTTCCCAGAGGTCAGGTTGATAATACCTGTCTCAAAGGCTGTACCCTTGAATCACATGGTTCATTTTTCTACCCTAACCAGCAACCATTCTGAGTTATTTGGTTCATATAAACTCAGGTATGGTCTTAGGGATCGCCATGAATAACAAACACTTAGGATGTAGAGGTTATTTCCCAGGAACCAGGGACAAAACCAGCCAAATTCTCTACATATACTGTCAGTTAAATTATTTGTAAATAATTATTACAATTATAATTAAAGGATATTAACTATATATCCTTTTATGTAATTCAGTAGCTGATTATATATCACAATCATCTGGGAATTTTTGAAATAATTTTTTATTAGTGTACATTTGCAGTACATAGTGATTACCTTCATTTTGGGGAGTTGGTACATGTATATAACACATTATAGTTCATTCTACTTCTGCTCTCTCTCCCTCCCTCTTCCTTCTATCTCTTGATTCCTTCAATTTAGGAAATATTTAAAAATACAAGGTCTTACCTGAGTGTAGTGGTGCACAGGTATAATTCCAGCACTCTGAGAGGCTGAGGTAGGAGGACCACAGATTCACACCCAGCAATGGCAACTTAGCAACTGAGTAAAACCCTATCTCAAAATAAAAATAAAATAAAAAAGGGCTGTAATGTAGTTCAAAGGCCCTTGCTTCAATCTGTTGTAACTACTCCCCACACACACACACACAAAAGCAAGGTCTCTGGAGTTGGAACCTATAATGTTACTGTTAAACTTTCTTTTAATCAGACTGCCACTGGCAGTTTAGACTGGCCTTGAACTTACCGTGTGGCACCAGGTGCCATGGGCACAAAGCTGTTCTCCTGCACCAATTTCTATGTGCTGGATTACAGGAGTGCGCCACCACACCTCGTTTAAACAGTTTTAGTGGAAAATTTCAAGTACACAAAGGAAGACAAATTGACATAATGAATCCTCATGTACTGAACGCCCAGCAGAGTAATTTATCAAATCATGGGAAATCTTATTTCATCTGTCTCTATTCACTTTTTTCCTCTTTGATTTTTTAAAAATTTGGCAGAAAAATTTTTAAAAAATTGTTTTAATTTTAAAAGTAGTAAAATCCAACAAAATAAGACAGAACAAAGCCAATTAAAACAGTGCAGCAGAAATGGTATAGAAATTCAAAGCAGGATACCAGGAAAACAATAATAGGTACCACAGTATATCTTGTTATTTTCAAAATAGTTGTCCATTCTATCAAGTATAGCAAAATCAAAGCAAAAACAAAACACACAGTACAGAATATTGAATAGAGCAAAGCAATCAGAACAAAGCAAAACAGTGAAAACAGTATTTGACTTTGAAGATAAGATAGAAAGGAATCCCCCATATTTGCTACATTGTATACTATCATCCTCCCAAGAGATGCTCAGACTGCTGGTCTCAGCCCAAGGCAGAATAATTTTTAACAGTTTTTTTATTAGTACATGTTTGCAGTACAAAATGATTACCTTCATCATGGAGAGTTGGTACATGTACATAATACATGTTAATTCTTTTTCATCCTCCCTCTCTCTCTCTCTCTCTCTCTCTCTCTCTCCTCCCCTCCCGTCTCCGCCCTCCACCTCTTGGATCCCTTCCCTTTTTTTGTACATGTTTGTAGTACACAGTCATCACATTCTTCATGGGAGGTGATACACATGCACACATCCCAATTTTTTTTAAAATTTAATCCCAGCCCCCTCACCTGCCTTTTTGCTTCCCTATCTTTTGGTCCCTTTGTATATGCAAAAGATCCATCTTGTTGTTTCCTATTAGCTATCTTTTATTTTGCTCTTTATTTATGTTTTGGTGTTCTCATATAAGGGAGACCATACAGTATTTTGGTTTTGGTTTTTTGGAAACAGGGGTCTCACTATGTAGTGTAGGCTGCCCTTGAACTCACTGTGTAGTTCAGGCTGGCCTCGAGCTTAAAGTGATCCTTCTGCCTCAGTTTCCCAAGTGCTGGAATTATAGGTGTGCACCACCATACCTGGCAGAGATCATGCAATATTTAAGCTTGTGTGCCTGATTTATTTCACTTAATGTTATAGTCTTAAGGTGCATCAGTGTTCCTACAGATAACTCAAGTTTATGGCAGATTAGTATTGTATAGCATAAAATGTCACATTTCCTTAATCCAGTCATCTTTTGATGATGGATATATAGGTCACTTACAAGTTTTAGCTATTATGATTTGTGCTGTTATAAAATGGATATGCACATATATTATGATGTCTTTAACTCTTTGGGGAAGATGCCTAGAAGGGAAATACGTGAGTCAAATGGAATTCCTAGTTTTAAGGGTTTGTTTTTTTGGTTCTTGTGTCTTTTTGAGACATGGTTTTGTTCTGCAGTTCAGGTTGATCTTGAACTCACTTTATAGGGCAGGTTGGCCTCCAACTCACAATGATCTTTCTGCCTCACCCTCCCCTGTGCCCACCAGGCCTGGCAGGGTTTTTTTTGTTGGGGGGGAGATTACCAGGAATCAAACTCAGGACCTCCTGCTTAACAGGCAGAGTTTTAGTTTTCTGAGGAACCTCTATACTGATTTCCATAGTGGCTGTACTAATTTACATTCCTACCAGTAATGCAGAAGGGTTCATTTTGTCCCCCACAGCCTCACCAGCATTTATTATTCAATTTCTTTCCTTTTTTTTTGAACCAGAATCAAACTTAGGTCCTTGTGCTTGCCAGGCAGGCACTGTGCCACTGAGCTACATCCCTGGTGCTGTTACTTGATTTTTTGATGATGGCCATTCTTTCTGGAGTAAGACAGAATCTCAGTGTTGTTTTAGTTTGCATTTCTCTAATTCCCCGAGATGTTGAACATTTTTTCATGCATTTATTAGTCATTTGTACTTCTAAGAAGTTTCTATTCATTTCAGTTGCTTACTTTTTGATTGGGTGTTTTATTTTTTTGGGGCGTCTAATTTTTTTGAGTTCTTTATATATTCTAGATATTAGTCCTCTGTCCAAGGAATAGCTGGCAAAAGTACTTCACTTTGGTCATTGTTTCCTTTGATGTGTAGAAGTTTTTTAATTTGATATAATCCCAGTTGTTGATTCTTAATTTTTTTTTTTTTTTTTTTTTTTTTTTTTTTTTTTTGAGACAGGGTCTTGCTGTATAGACCAGGCTGGCCTTAAACTTACTGTGTAGCCCATGGTTGCAGTGAGCCTCCCATCTCTGCCTTCCAAGTCCTGGGATAACACCTGTGTATTACCACATCCATCTGGTTATTGATTCTTGGGGTTATTTCTTATGCAGTTGATGTTCTGGTCAGAAAGTTCTCACCTATGCTTATGTCTTCAGTAGTTTTACCTACTTTATCTTTCAGCAGGTTGTTTCTGTTTTAATATTTAGATCTTTGATCCATTCGACTTATTTAGTAGGTGGTGAGAGATAAGAGTCTTCTTTCAATCTTCTGCATATAGTATCCAGTTCTCCTAGCACCCTACCCTTGATTTTTATACGTATTCAAAAAATTTTCATTTTCCATCTCTAACAGTGAAGACTGTTAAAATGTAACCACAATACCTGAAAATGTTTTTCTGTAAAAATATTTACACACTACAACAAAGCAGAAAGAACATCAAGAAAAAGAGAAGTTTGACTAGAGACACAGCTCAGTACAGCAGAGAACTTGCTTGGTATATGGGAGAGGCCCTGGGTTAGATTCCTGACATTGAAAAAAAAAAGAAGAAGAAGAAAGAAAATGAACTTAAAAATAGTAATGAGTTCATACTTCCTAAGCTCCAATTGTTACGTTATATCCTTACAATTACTTAGTTACATACATATATGATATCTAAATCTATTCAGAATAATTAATGTGAGGGTTTTTTTTGTTTTGTTTTATATATATTTTTAATTTTATCTTGAATGTAGTAAAAATACAACAGAACAAGACAGAACAAAGCCAATCAAGACAATGTAGTGACATTGGTACAGAACTTCACAGCAGGATACTGGGATAGTAGTAATAGGTACCATAGTATATCTCATTATCTTTACAATAGTTGTTCAGCCAATTAGGTATAGCGAAATCAAACCAATAACAGACCATTGTAAAACCAACTGAAGGAGAATATTGAATAGAGTGAAACAATTATTACAAAACATAACAGTGAAAATAACCTTTGCCTTCAAACAGAACATAGAAGGAAGTCCCCCTTATTTGCTATATTGCATATGGTCATCCTCCCAAGAGATGCTCAGAACTCTGTGCCCAGTTGCTGACGGGGGGTGGGAGGGTAGGAGATGTTTGATTCTCAGCCCATGCACCCTTAGGCTCAGGGGAACAGCTGACTGGTTCTCCTCCTGGCCGGTACCAAGAGCGCTTACCAAGAGGGCAGGCAAATTGCTTTCTTGTGCAGCGCCTAAGTCCCAAGCTGCTAGTTCTTTTTGTTTTATTTTTGTGGGGGGTTTTGCTGCTGTAGTTAAGTGAGAGAGACTTTATTCAGGACCCATGGCCACGGCACTTGGGCAGGTGGTGCCATTCCGGAGGGGTGGATGGAGCATTACTTGACCTTGTTCTTGGGGTACAAGTTGTTGGTGTGGCCACACTTCTTGTGGCAGTTGATAGCACAGGGGTGTAGGTGGTCATAGCACTTGCCACAGATCATCTTGTCACATTTGTCCTTCTGCATGAGTTGGCGCAAGGATGACTGGATGATTCTACCTCACAGGTGGAGCACCAGGCGCAGGGTGAACTCTTTTTGGATGCTGTAGTCAGAGAGAGTCTGACCATCCTCCAGCTGTCTGCTGGCAAACATCAGACACTGCTGGTCAGATGGGATGCCCTCTTTGTCTTGGATTTTTTTTTTTTTTTTTTCCAGTACCAAGGATCAAACTCACAACTGCCTGCTTGCAAGGCAGGCGCTTATGTGGCTGAGCTAAATCCCCAGCCCTTTGTCTTGGATTTTGGCTTTGATATTCTCGGTGGAGTCACTGGGCTTGACCTCAAGGGTGATGGTCTTGCCTGTCAGGGTCTTCAGGAAGATCGGCATCTGTGCATCTACTCAGTGAGACAGCCTTTTGAATTCAGTTCTCAGTATAGTGTGTGTCTCTGTTGACCCCATCTGCACAGCCTCGGCCTACTGTGAGATTTACTATAGTGAGATTATGCCATACATTTTTTTAATACTGGGATTGCAGGCAAGTGGTTAAAGTTATTTTTACTAGCAAATTTGAACAGTGCATCACCACTGTGTAATCTGCTTTTTTTTTTCCTAAGTTTTTTTTCTTCTTTCTTTTTCTTTTTCTTCTTGGAATAAAATGGATTTGGAAAAAAACAGTTATTTTTAAAGCCATATCTATAGTTTTGCAACTTGCTTTATTTATTTATTTATTTATGTATGTATGTATTTTGAGGCAAGGTCTCACTAATTCAGACTGGCTTTGAACTCACTGTGTAGCTCAGGCTGGCCTCAAACCCTTTTTTTTTTTTTTTTTTTTTGGCTTTTTCCTTTTTATCGGTACCGGGGATCGAACTCACGACTGCCTGCTTGCAAGGCAGGCTATTATGCCGCTGAGCTAAATCCCCAGCCCATGTTTTTGTTTTTTTGTCTTTTTCATTTTTATCGGGACCAAGGATCGAACTCACGACCTCCTGCTTGCAAGGCAGGTGCTTATGCCACTGAGCTAAATCCCCAGCCCCCTGGCCTCAAACTCTTAGTGATCCTCTTGCCTCAGTCTCCCAGGTGCTGGGATTACCACCACACCTAGCGCTTCTTTTTTTTCCATTTAGCAACATAATACAAGTATCATTTCAGATATCCCAGATTATTCCACTAAAATATAAGTTTTAGCGCTACCTAAAATATAAAATGGCAGCATTCCTTTATATAAAACATCCAATTAAGCCAGGCATGGTGACATACAGCTGTAATCCCAGCTACCCTATTAGGCAGAGATAGGATTGTAAATTCAAGACTAGCCTGAGCAATTTAGTGAGACTTTGTCTCAAAATAAAATTGAAGAAGGGCTAGGAATGCAACTCAGTGGTAGAATGTATTCCTAGCAGACATGAGTCCCTAGGTTCAGTTCCCAGTACCACACAAAGAAATTCCAGTCAAGAGGTTGTTGCTCAATGGTATGGTATTTACCTAGCATGTGCAAGGCCTGGGTTCCATCCTTAGCACTGAAAAAAAAAAAAAAAAACAATGTTCAAATTCCCCTGATTGAGTCATCATTTTTAAAAACACTTTAAGTCAGCAGTATTGACACATTTAAGTCTCTTTGGTCTAAAGCTAAGTCTTTCCATCTATAGTTTCTAATACCCCTCTCATTGCAGTTTGTCAATGATACCATTCTGTTTATGCTGCAGGCTGTAGTTCTCCAGAGTCTGTATTTTGCTAATTAAATCCTCATGGTACTGAAATCTTCCTGTCTCCTTTATTTTCTGTAAATTGATAGGTTTAGAGATTCAGTGAAATTTAGATTTGAGTGGCAAGAATACTTAGCAGGTGTTACTGTATTCTTCCATCATGAGGCACATAGTGTCCTGTTTTTTGTGTATGATATTAACAGCCATCAGTGATCACTGACCATGGAATCAACTTTTTATTAATAGCTTCTCCTGTAACTTCCAACTCCTTAGCTTAGTTTCAAGGCCTTGCTCCTTGCCTAGGTGTCTGGTCAAATTTCTATCAGTAAATTTTCTTTTTTTGGGGGGGGGCACTGGGAATTGAACCCAGGACTTTGTACTTGCCAAGCAGGTACAGTACCATTGACCTATATCCCCAATTCCCATAGGTAAATTTTCTTTGACGCTCTGCTTGCTTCCCCCTTATCCTCTCTTCAAAACATACTGCATAGGAAGAATTATTTTCCTCACACAGAACTTTAATCTCTTACTTCTGGTCCTAACAGCTGCTTCTAATTTAAAATCAAATCTAAAGTCTAGTTTCATCTTTCCTTCTTGGATCTCCATTGGAACATTTAATTCAGGGTTTGATCACATTATTTTTGTTTGTTTTGCTGAGTGTTTGGGTTTCTCTGAAGCCATTTTTCTCTAGCAAGTAGAGAACCACAGGACAAAGACCTTCTTCCCTATCCTCAGTAGCCTGGTTTCCCAGGCTCTGGCTCTTTATGTTTATGACAAACTTCCATAGTCTGTGACTCATTTATTGAGGGCTGGGATTGTTTGTATAAAGGACAGGAAAGACTGACTCAGATTCTTTATGACAGTACCAAGAATTTGGCAAGGTTTCAGACAAGCAGAAGTGATAAAACTGTAAGATTTACAGTAGGAATGCTCTTACCCTACATTTACACAGTAAGTGAGGAAATAGAAACCAGCGTAGTGGAATAACTTGCTAGTTGAGAGTAGAGCCAAATTGCTTGGCTTGCAGATGAGTCCCTAAGACTTAAGTGTCATATCTGTTAGGAAAGGAGAAGATGCTGGGATTATGCCTGGAGCCATTTCAGGTCAGGGGAGTAAAATAAATGATAATCAGTGCTGTCCCATCTTCCTCAGCCTCGCCCCCTTCCACAATTACCACCTCCACACCCATTCCCATACCTCACCTCTTCAGACAAGTTCATCAAGGAAGAACTTGGTGACTAAGACACATTTCTCAAACACAGAAATGGAAGTAGGCTTTGTGAGGTGCAGTGGCAGGAAGAAGGCACTCACATTTCTTAACTATGGAACAGAACAATACATGATGGCCTTGATTTCCAGTATTTTTCAGGCCATATGATACCAAATTGGGGAAAACTAAAATTTCATCTGTAGAAATTATGCAAGATAGTGTAACAGTTTTTATTACTCATATATATATATATATATATATATATATATATATATATTTTTTTTTTTTTTTTTTTTTTTTTTTTTTTTTTTTTTTAGTACCAGGGCTGAAAGTCAACCTCATGCTTACCAGGCAGGCAGGCATTTGTGCTGCTGAGCTGCTGTATCGCTGGCCCTCAAATATATTTGCTAAAATCAAGTTTTCATGGTGTAGTGAAGTTAATTCTACATTATTTTCTTTCAAAAAGAATTTGAGCCAGACATGGTGGCACACACCTGTAATTCCAGTACTCAGGAGGCTGAAGCAGGAGGATCACTGTGAATTTGAAGCCAGCCTGGGCTACATAGTGAGTTTAAGGCTGACCTGAACTACATATTGAAACCCTGTCTCAAAAACAAAATAAAAAAAAATTTGAAATCCTTGTTCATTTTAATAATCTCTAGGACTGTTTTTGGGTTTTTTGAGACAGAGTCTTGCTGTGCAGTTTAGGCTGGCCTTGAGCTCACTTTGTAGTCCAGGCTGGTCTCAAACTTGTAACAACCCTCCTGCCCCAACCTCCTGAGTGCTGGGAGTACAGGTGCGTACCACCACACTGGGACTTTTTCAAAGATCTTCAAAAACGTTATCACAATTTTAAAACTCACAAACTTATGCTTACCATATTCATGTTTGTTTGTTTAATTTGACTTTTGAGAGAAATTCTCACTGTTAAGTTCAGTCTGGTCTTGAACTCAACATGCAGCCCAGGCTGGCTTTGAACTCCCAGCAATCCTCTTTCCTCAGCCTTCCAAATGTTGGGATTATAGGCGTGTACTACTATGCCTGGCTACATATCTTTGTTTTGTTTGGTTTGGTTTTGTGACAGGGTCTTGCTGTGTAATACAGGCTGGCCTTGAATTTGCTTATGTAACCCACGCTGGCCTTGAACTCACAGTGGTGATCCTTTTGCCTCAGCCTCCTAAGTGCTGGGATATGCAGCACATGTGGCTGCATATCCATGTTTAAAAGGCATTGTACACAATGTTACTTAACATTTTATACTCGGTAAACTGTTTTTGGTACTGGGAATTGAACTCACAACCTTGTGCTTGCCAGGCAGAGGCTTGTGCCACCAAATTAAATCCGTTGCCCTCTCAGTAAAATTTTTTTTTTCTGGTACTGGGGATCAAACTCATGACCTCATGCTTGCCAGGCAGGCACTTGTGCCACTAAGCTAAATTCCTGGCCCCTCGGTAAACTTCTTTATATGAAAAAAAAAGCAAGAAGGAAGTGAGACATCATTCCTGAAATAAGTCCCATTTCTGAGTTTTGTAAACTGACTGTCTCCATTATACTATTGAAAATACTTTCTCAGTGGCACTAGTGACCTCCAGTTACCCTGTCAGTCCATTGGCTTTGCTGACTTTTCCTGGATTCAGACCTCTCAGTCCATCGCACTCTTTGCTGATCGTTTCTCAATGTTCTCTTGGTGCTCACTTGTTGAAGTGTAGGCCCACTTCTCTCAGTCTGACAGAGCTTTCAACTCCTCTGAGACTGTCTGTGCCCTTGTGGCCGTCAACCTGGCTTCCAGCCAGAGGGACTTTCAACCTAAGTGTGATCAGAAATTTGGATTGGCTTAGAAGTGAACTCTGCAGGCAAGAAGATAGTTGAAACAATTAGCCAGTTTCCTGTGACTGCTTGACCAAGTAGACATAGGATTTTTGCTGCTAAAATTATAGTGACCTTTCTCCCAGGGACAATTTTTAAATTATTAGATATAATTTTCTGAATTTTTTGGCTCATAATTCTTTATTATGATTAATAGCCTGTCAAGTAGTGAATGAGTTCCCAAGAAGTACAGTTTTTCACAATTTACTGAATAATACACCTTGTTTTCAACTACTCCATCCCCTGAACTGGTGTGTTCTGACCAATGCGAGCTCTGTAGAGTACCCTATGAGGAAAAGTACATGCTGAAAGTTGTCTTCAAATATGTATGGAGGAGAAATTAGATCTACTGTAGGTACAGAAGACCACCCTATGATTGACTGATGGGCAAAAGTTCTAATAGAGCTATTTAAAAATGAAGTTGGAGCTGGGATTTATGATTCATACTGAAATTCCAGTCCTTGGGAGCCTGGGAAAGAAGGATTATGAGCTACATAACAAGACCTCATCTCAAAGAAAATGAACAAGTGAAGCAAGCACTTCTCAGGCAACAGGTTACTAATTTCTACTCCTGGAGGTATTTAAGAAGCAAAAGCTAAAGCAACAAACATTAGTTATAATAAAAGTATTCCGTTATGAGGCACAGGTTATACCTCTTTCCTTCTGTCACAGGTTTTTATTTTTATTTTTCTGAGACAGAGCCTTATTACTGGTCTCAAACTTCTGGGCTCAACTGCCTCAGACTGCTGAATGCCTGGGCACCATGCCCAATTCCCTCTTTTTTAAAACAAGAAGACCTATTCTGCATTTGGATATTCCTGGCCAAGAAAATACCAGAATTCAGACATAAGAGTAAAGGTAGAAGCAGAGATGGATCAGGAGAACTCAAGAGGAAGACACTGGGGTTGAACAGAAGGAGAATCAATGAGTAGGCTTGTTGGAGTAGTATAAGCTGGTGACTGATGGGAGGGTAAAGTGAAGCCAGGGAGAAAAAGGGTCTGCGTGAACATCCACAGAAGGAAGTGTCCTCGAAACTGCAGAAGATAGCAGCAGTTTATCCTGAGAACAAAGCATGAGCCAGAGGATCACAATGATGAGTGGTGACGAAACTCTGGTACACGTGCCACAGCAGGCTGTTTTTACCATTGAGTGCTCTAAAAGGTTCGCCATCACAGACATAGATAGTATCAAATAGAAGATGCCTTTTTTTTTGGTCTTTTTCCTTTTCATCGGTACCAGGGATCGAACTCACGACTACCTGCTTGCAGGGCAGGTGCTTATGCCCCTGAGCTAAATCCCCAGCCCCCTGAGCTAAATCCCCAGCCCTGAAGATGCTTAAATTTCAACAGAAGATCTTGTGCGTAAGCGCTTGTTCACTGGGAGGGAGAACAACAGAAGAAGGAGGACATGCCAATGCAGTGAGACTGCTAGCAACTGTCTCACTTAAAAATTGACTGCAACTTTTTGGTAAAGTCTAATTTTGTAACAGTTGTGCATATTTCAAGAAATATCCGGACTGAGTTATGTATCTGATGTACTTTGTAACTTTGACCTCTAGAGTATCTTTGAAAATACATCTCTTTAGTTATTGAAGCTACTCTTCCCTTTCAGGCAGAAGGCCACAAGCTCTACAAGGACTTGAAGAGCTTCCTTAGTGCAGTCAAAGGTAGGTACTACAGGGTAGGAGAATCCAGAAGGCATCACACAGATGCCAAGAGGTCTGGGGAAGAAAAAACAAGCACCCCAGTATATTAAACTTGTTTGCCCTGGGCTGCTGAAACCCAGTGGGCCTAAGAGGAACATTTCCTACCGGAACCCACATCTAGCTTCCCTCACCGATAGTCTGACCTCCTGAGTTTGTCCTTCTAAACCACTGAATTGTCACTCATGCGATTACATCAGATTACCTTTTGGAAAACTTGGAGGTTGGACTGAGTTCTCTCTTTTAGTGATGCACGAAAGTTCAAAGAGAGTGTCGGAGACACTGCAGGAGATCTACAGCAGCGAATGGGACGGGCATGAGGACCTGAAGGCCATCGCAGGGGTAAGGGGACTCTGGCCTTGTGACTCTGTGAACTTCTGTATTCATCTCTACCTCACCTGAGCTTCTCCATCCAAGCAAATAGGAAAACAAAGAATCTAGTTCCCATTGTCCATTTGTGGCATTAGGTGGTAGGAAAAAGCTTCAACGTGAAGATAAAAATAAGTTGTCCCTTGTCTGTGGATCCCCCTGGTTTTAACTGTCTTTCCCTCTTTAACAGCTTATGAAAGTTTTACCTCCAAAAAATTAGTTGTTTTGTGGTGGTTTTTTGCTGTTTGTTTTTTGGGTTTTGGGGGTTTTTTGTTGCGGTTGTTATTGGTTTTTTGAGAAAGGGTCTCACTACGTAGTTCCAACTGGCCTTGAACTCAGGCTGACCTTAAACTTGCAGTGATCCTTCTGCCTCAGCCTCCTGAGTATTGGGATTATAAGTGTGTGCCACCACACCTGGCCAAGATTGGTCGTTTTTGGACACTAACCTTATTCCGTTAATTACTCCCAAACTTCCCAACTTTCTAAACTCTAGACCAGGACTTTAACCATGTATTCCTGTTTTATATCCCTAAATGCATGTCCTGCCACCTTTGGGACAGTTCGTTGGGGCAGGACTATCTCTTTTCTTCTCATGCTTTCCCAGAGTCCAATAAGACATTCTAAGTATAATACTACAAAAAAAGTTTTTTCCACAGGGAGGACATGGGTTTTTCCCTGGGAGGCAGTTATTGAGAAGTGGAGCCCCTCACCAGCCTCTGCTTCTATCCCACAGAATAATGATCTCCTTTGGGAAGACTATGAAGAGAAACTTGCTGACCAGGCTTTGAGGACTATGGAAAACTATGTAGCTCAGTTCAGCGAGATTAAGGTACTTGATTTACAGAATGGAGACTAGGTTGTATATGACTCCACAGCAATTAGAAAACATATTCAGGTTAAACATTATAAGTAGCATTAGAGCTCATGGTTAGGAATGAAATTATATGGGTTAGGAATTAGAAGGCTACAATAGAATATTACAGATAGTATGAAAGATATTTTTTTTCTTTTTTCTTTCTTTTTTGGCAAAACCTTGCTGTGTAGTTCAGGCCAGCCTTGAACTCACAATGATCCTCCTGCCTCAGCCTCCCAAGGGCTGGGATTATAGGCATGCAGCATCATGCCTGGCCTAAATGTGATGTTTAAATCAGTGAGCCAGCTTTGGGCTCAATGGATCAGTGAATAAAATCCACTCAGGGCATCTCTATTAGATGTGAGAAACAGCTAATAGGAAGAAAGGTAGAAGAGGAAACCTCAAATACTTGAAATTCTATTACATGAAAAGGAACTCAGCCTGTTCTGCACTGCTGTAGAATGCAGAATTAGAGTTTAACTACTTATTCAACTAAGTTTATGAAACATCTGTTGGACATGGTGCTGAGTTTAGTTAAGAGGTAAAGTAAAATTTCATAATAGAACCCCAGAATCTTGCCTCTCAGCTTAGTATCGTTACCTACACTCTGGCCACTGAAAAGTGAATATCCACACTCTTTCTCTTCACTCTGGGCTAGGAGAGAATTGCCAAGCGGGGTCGGAAACTTGTGGACTATGACAGTGCCCGACACCACCTGGAGGCGGTGCAGAACGCTAAGAAGAAAGATGAGGCCAAGATTGCCAAGGTGAAAATAAGTAAAATCTTCCTGCTGTCGGTTACCCTCCAGAGCTGCCAGGTAGATGGGCCACGATGGGTGTGAGAAATGATAAAGTAAGCATCCAACATCCTGAAGGACATGCTGGGGGTGTTTCTGACACCCATGCTGTAAGGGGGTTCACAGTCTTGCGGCGGGGAGGGCATGGGTCTGGAGAAGAAAGGAGAGGAGACTCAACCACCAAATAAGGTAGAATGCGGGATAAAGGAGCCTCCAGCCATGGATTCAGAATTAAGTGGGCTTGTCTTGTCTCCTGTACCTAGGCAGAGGAAGAGTTCAACAAAGCCCAGCTAGTATTTGAAGATCTGAACCAGGAGCTGTTGGAGGAACTGCCTGTTCTTTACAATAGGTAACAACCACCGAGATTTAGCAAAGTGCTAACCTCTTGGACCAGTGGAGACTAGGGCTACCTGGCAGCCCAAATGTGCCACCTCATGAAAAGAGCCTTGGCCAGAAATGCGATGTAGCCTCTGCATTGCCACTAACTTGCTGTATGCAATTAGACAAGAAGCCTTATCTCTTTAGAGTCTGCTTTCTTCACTTGTAATTCAGAGATAACTATCCTTGTCCTACCAGTTTTTCTGGGTTTGAAGACAAGATTCTTCTTTGCAAGGAGATCTTGGCAAACTCTTGACATGAACACCTTTAGGATCTGATTTCATGCTCAAGTGTGTATTGTTTTAAACAAGCTTGGTTCATATAAGCACCCAGATTTACATAGATTAGTCATGGGATGAACACTTTCATTACTGATGGTGTCATTGTGTAACAATGAAGTTTTAGATTTAAGTTGTCCAAACTAGAAGAGAAATCTGGGCATAAAGTTCATTCATGTCTTATTTTTGTGGTATATGTTTTAATGCAGTTATAGTCAGAATAGTGTATATTGTTACTTGAAGTTAATCCACATATTTTATAGCCTTTTTCATGACTACATACATTCTGAAACATTAATTATATGATTCAACTTAAAATGGAATTAAAATTTGATTCAGTTTCTTTAAATGTAAATTTTCCCAGCTCATTTGCTAGAGAAATTCATACAGACATAGAAATCTTATATAAAGACTAACTACTTCTTGGGGCTGGGGATTTAGTTCAGCAGCATAAGCGCCTGCCTTAAGCATAGTTATGAGTTCAATCCCCAGTACTGATAACTTTAAAAAAAAAGATAACTACTTCTTATAATAATTATATGGCCTTATATTATGATAATATTTAATTATATAACCCTTTAAAAGAGTGTTTTTCAAACACTTTCATGTCTACTTTAGTATCTCAAGAGGGCTGGGGCTATAGCTCAGTGGTATAGTGCTTGCTTTGCATGCACAAGGCCCTGGGTTAAATCTCCAGTATTACATTAAAAGAGTGAAAGGGCTTGTCTAGAAATAGCTTAAAATCCTGAATCACATAACTTTATGAGCCAGAGAGCTGTTCAACTAGGATCAGTCTGTCCTGGTGTTGTCCCCCCAGGCCTTTAAGATCAGGTACGTGTCTGGCCCAGCTCTGATGAGTACATAACTAAGAATATCCAAGTCTAGGATGAGAGGTCCCTTTTTCTGAGGGGTCAGATGGTAGCTAGTTTTGACTTAGTAGGACCTTGTATGTTTTCATTTTTGTTTTTTTGTTGCTACTGGGAATTGAACTCATGACCTCACACTTGCTGGGCAGGTGCTGTGTCGCTAAGCTAAATCCCTAGCCCTCTACTTTGTATTTTACATAAAGGCCTTTTTTACTATCCCTTACCTGTGTGTGTCTCTTGTTTACTTCTTAATAGTCGTATTGGTTGTTACGTCACCGTCTTCCAAAATATTTCCAACTTGAGAGATGTCTTCTACAGAGAGATGAGCAAGGTGAGAATCAAGTGTCTAATTGAGACTGTTAAATAGTTTTTAGTGACTATAAGAGTTACCCTGATTTATATAACTTCTGTACATTTCCATATTAGCACCACAGGCTGACTTTTATCTTACTATGAAATAATAACACTTGATTGATTGAGTTAAACTTAATTCTATATATATCATATTTTATGTATATATTGGGGGAGAGACACCACCAAAAAAAAATGTATACACACTTGAGTAGTTCGCCAATTAATAAATGACTGGAAGTTGATGGCCACTATTTTGAGCACATCTTGTAATTGTAGAGGCCAAGGGTAACTTAAATTAATCTCATGATGCCTTAATAAATTTAGTATTAAGATATTTATGCAAGTTTTTTTCCTGATTATATATTTTGTGGTAGACTCTGATATATTGAGGTGTATATATATTCTTATCAGAGGGCCCTTTCCATCTGCCATAACAACTAGGAGTATCCAAACTCAAGCTTCAGAATGACTAAAGAGGCTAGGCCTTGAAAGGAACCATTAAAATGGGGAATCGCACTGAGAAATGTGTTTTTGTTGAGGACTACAGAAATCAGTTTCGCAAGTGGTTGGTCTTGAATAGGCCCTGTCCTGTCAATGACAGGCAGCCATAACATGATCTCCTAAGGTCTTTCCTACTCTGGGATTCCAAGATTCTTTGCTGTTATGGTATTATATTCATACACAGCCACACATGTTCCCCTCCACAATTTCTTTTGCTAAATTATTTTTTGCCTAGTTAACACTAAGATGAGTTGTCATCCTCTGGATCACCTGAGAAGACCTAGCATATCAAATTAAACAGTTATGGCCCCAGCCTGAGAAAGCTGCTAGTCTGACACCAAGAAACAAGGATGCAAGAGCAGTGGGACAGAATACTGGATGCCAGTCCATGAGAAATGAGAGGACTTACTGATCAGAGTTGGAAGAGTGAGCCATTTGTGTTTTGGGAAGCTGTCTTAGGAGAGGATCATCTTGGGTTCCCATCTAGTCTCCCTTTCTTTCTTTCTGGCTCTAGCTGAACCATAGTCTCTACGAGGTGATGAGTAAACTGGAGAAGCAGCATTCCAACAAAGTCTTTGTGGTGAAGGGAATGCAAAGGTGAGCAACTTCGGAGACTCTTTTCTGCTTCATTTGCCCCGTGCCTGAGCATATTCAGCATCTTATCTCCAAAGCAAAATCCTGGCCTTCAACCAGGCATGGTGGTGCATGCCTTTAATCCCAGCATTTGGGAGGCAGAGGCAGGAGGATCCCCACGAGTTTGAGGTCAGCCTAGGCTACATAGTGAGTTCAAAGCCCACCTGAACTGCAGAGTGAGACTCTCTCAAAAAAAAAAAATCCTGGCCTTTTTTTTTAATGACCATGCTGTTGTTTGCACTATGTTCCTATATATTTTTCTTTTTCATTAAGTTTTTCACATATAACTAATGCCATAAAGAATAATATAACAAAATTACCATATACCTACCACCAAACTTTGGCTTGTTTGAGACAAGTTCTTGCTATGTAACTTAGACTGGCCTTGAACTCATCACCCCCTTGCCTCAGCCTCCTGAGTGCTATAGACTACATCGCCATGCCTGGCTTTACACAATTTAAATCAAACTTTTTTTCCTTTTTTGAGACAGTCTTACTATGTAGTTCAGATTGACCTTGGACTCACTGTGTAGCCCAGGCTGGTCTCAGACTCTCAACAATCCTCCTGTCTCAGCCTCCCAAAGTGCTAGGATTACAGGCATGTGTCACCATGCCCAGCATAAATCAACTATTATAAAAATTACTGAAGCATCCAGTGTCCCTTTCTCATTCACTTTTGTCTTGCCCCCACCAAATTTAGCCACTGTAGTAAATCCCATATTATTTCCATGTACATCTTTTTTATTTACACTTCACACATATATATTCACTCATAAAACACTGTTTTGCATTGCTTTAAATCTCTATATAGATGAACTTATGCTACATGTATTCATATCCTTGTACGGTTTTGTTTTTTGCCTTTGTGTTTTGTTTTGGTTTTGGTACTAGAAATTGAACTCAGGACCTTGCACTTGCCAGGGAGGCACTTATGCTGCTGAGCTACATCCCTGGACCTTGTCTTTGTTTTTTCAGACAATAGTCTCTGTTGCCCAGACTGGCTTTAAACCCCTGGGCCCAACTGGTCTTCCTACCTCAGCCTCCTGAGTACTAGACTATTGTGCATCTTCTTTTGTTCTCTTAGTATTGTTTGAGAAAATTTATCCTTATTGCTACATCTTGCCAGCTTTCCTACTAGTTTTTGTTGTTATTTTTGGGGGTTATTTTGTGGGGTTTGTTCAGTGTTTTGTTTGTTTTTGAGGCAGGATCTTGCTATATAGTCCTGACTGGCTTTGAACTCACTATGTAATATAGGGTGGCCTCAAACCTGAAGCAATTCTCCTGCCTCAGCCTCCTAAGTGCTAAAATTACAGGGTGCACTATCACACCTGGCTCCATAACTGTTATCTATGCTATTGGATGCCAAGTTCATGACTTACTTATCTTCTTGCTAGTCAACATGTGGGTTATTTTCCACTTTTTTTACTATTACAAACAATGTTGCAATAAGCATATACATTTCTCCTTGTGAATATTATCAAGAGTTTCTTTACAGTATTGAATGGTTGAGTCTGTCACTGGAGCTTCTTCAGCCTTACTAGCTAACTCCTCATTGCTCTCCAGAGTGATTGTTGCCTTGTACAACCCATGATCAAGGAATATAAGCCCCTAAGGCTCAACATTTTTACTGCATGTGAAACTGTCAGACTTAATTCTTTTAAGCTCATGGGTATAAAATGGAGTTACTGGCATTTTTAAGTCATAACTGTGAGTTAACTTGGGCATCTTTTCATGTATTGGCATTATAAAGTTCCTATGTTGTGACTTTCATAAATGCAAAATAACTTCCCAATTGGGTTAACTCTTTTTGAAAAGTTAATTTATATGAGTTTTTGTAGGCATGTTCCAGATGCTAATCCTTTAATTTTATGCATTGTAGATCTCTTTTCCCAATCTCTTATGATTGCTTTCTTGTATATGTGTGTGTGTGTGTGTGTGTGTGTGTGTGAGAGAGAGAGAGAGAGAGAGAGAGAAAAAGAGAGAGAGAGAGAGAGAGAGAGAGAGAGAGAGAGAGAGAGAGAGAGAGAGATGTCTTTTGCCTTCATACATTCTTCCTTCTGGAAAGCATAAGCAATTCAGTGGTCCTTCAAAATGTGATAACTCATCAGTTCTGAAGCCTTTGTTTAGGAAGTTTTATTAAGCATTTTTTTTTTTTTTTGTACCAGGGATTAAACTCATGACCTCGTGTTTACCAAGCAGGCACTTACACCACTGAGCTAAACCCCTGGCCTATTAAGCTCATTCTGTGCCTGAAGTTTTTTTATGCCAGGTGTTAGTGATCCAGAGACATAGGAAACCTGGCCTTTCCCTAATATGATTTACAAGAAGTTCAAAGACTCCCCCCAGTATGTGGGCCAGGGCCACAACTCAATGGCACAGTGCCTGCCTGACAAGCACAAGGTCCTGAGTTGGATTCCCAGTATCAAAAAAAAAAAAAAAAAAAAAAAAAAAAGCCATGCATGCAGGTAATCCCAGCACTTGGGCTGAGGCAGGAGAACTATAGATTTGAATCTAGCCTGGACAACTTAGTGGGACCCTGTCTCAAAAAGAATTTTTTTAAAAGGCCTAACTTCAGAGTAAAAGCCCTGGGGTCAGTCCCCAGTACTTGAAAAAAAATTGTAAGTATAGAAAATGTGTCTGATGGGACAAGGAATGAAAGCCATAAGCTTACACATACTAAGTTCCTAATGATCACAGTGGGAATTCTAGAGAGATATAAGTAATTGCCAATGTGTGTGTTTAGAGAAGACTTCAAGGAGATGGTGAAACTAAGCTTGGGACTTGAAGGCAGAATAGGGCTCATATTTGTTCATACTACTCAGCAATTAGCTGTAGGCTATTTGAAAGAATTATAAAAGGGCCAATGTAGACTTCTGTGTTAGCTTTCCATCACTATGACAAAATAACCTGACACTAAGGAGGAAATGTTAATTTTGGTTTTAGTGTAGGAGGTTTCATTCCATAGTTGATTTGTCTCAAGCCAGAAACATAATGGTGGAAGGGCTTGGCGGAAGAAAGCTGCTCATCTCACTGCAGCCAGGAACCACAGAGAAAGGCAAAGAGCCAGAAAGAAATGGGCTGGGGAGCAATTACAATCTCCAAGGTTATGCTCCCATGACCCACTCCCTACAACGAGGCCTTCCCTTCCAAGTTTCCATTATCTTGATAATGCCGCTGCATTATAATTTCATCAGTGACTTAACCCACTTACCAAGTTACAGTCCTCATGGCTGAATCATCTTCTGAAGGCCCCATCTCTGAACAGATGACTTCAGGGAGACATTTTAGATCTTACAACTTCCTAGACAGATGTCCTTTGGTCCCAAAGCTCCATTTCTCCTCTAAAAGGCACAGTTCTCTGTAACTGTCTAATCTCCCCAAATTTAGTCTCCTGTATACTCAGATATCCCAGAACCTTATGAAAAAATTGGGGTTCTGCTTGTGTCCTGAGTTTTCTAAATTTAATTGAGTCCTAGAATTCTAGTGCTAGGAAAAACTTTTAAGTCACATAGCTTATTCAACACCAGAAACTTCCGCAAGGTGAAGGCAAGCATCTTACTTCCTCCTCCCAATCTTATGCCCAAGACACAGCACATCCTTGGAACCTATCAAGTATATAACTGTGGTTGCGTAGTCAGCTGGTGGACAGTACATAGAAGGCACATGAGGAGGTGAAATAGGAATCAAGCTGGTACTGACTGTATAAGTGCACTCACATGATATATTGGACAAATGTTACTGTCAGTGCTTGCTACTCATGGTAGTTTTGTTCTGAAGTTGCCATAAACAGAATACTTAATCATTGCTCATTGGAAAAGCACAGGGTTAGGTTCCTATTAGTCACAATATATAACCGTGTTTGATGTTAATTTTTGTTTGAAGTCTTTAATTAATAGTACTTTTGCTGCCAGGCATGGTGGCACACTCCCTGTAGTCCCAGCACTCAGGAGGCTGAGGCAGAAGGATCACTGCACGTTCAAGGCTAGCCTGGGCTACATAGCGAGCCCTGTCTCAAAAAAATGAAAAGATGATGATGATAGTGGTGGTGGTGGTGATGTTTCCTTCATGTGGGAACTCAAATGAAGAGTACTGTAACTCATACCTGGACGAAGTTTTGTCTAACAAATGTATTTTCTGTATAAGGCATATCACTTTAGCTTGGAACCCATGTTAAATAGCAAAATCACCAATAAAAAAGCATAAGAACTCAAAAACTGGATTAAAGGGTCCTTGTTTACAGTATGAGAACTGAAACAAAAAGGCAGATCATTGGTGTATTCTGCCTCAGCTGAAAAAGTGCAGTGTTTTTTTTATCATTGGCATATGTCCGTAAACGACTGGGAAAGCACCAGGAATATTGATGTTGGGGTTAAAATAAGTAGGTTTCTTAGTTACTTTTTCTTGTTGCTGAGACAAAATATCTGCCAGCCCAAATTAAAGGAGGAAAGATTTATTACAACTCACATTCTGTAGAGGTTTCAGTTTGCAGTCAGCTGGCTTCAAGGCAGGGTGATGGTAGAAAGGCATCACAGAAGAGAAGCGGTTCATGGTGGCAGAAGGCAGCAAGCAGCAAAGAAGCAGAGCAGCAAGTAAACAGCAACCCTCTTCCTACCTTAGACTCTACCCAGGGGCTGTGGTCTTCGGGTGGGTGGCACTCACCACTGGGTGGGCCTTCCCATTACCCACACTCAGATGCCAGCCAGGCAGTGGACTGGTTTAGTAATAGACCTCTGATGCCAACATCACACACTCCAGATTCAGCCACTTCTGAGATGCTGTACCTGTGACTGCATGAGGCTTGGGGGGACATCTAGACACAAAACATAACCGTAGGTGAATGTACAGATACAAAAAGTGTATGCACCAACCATGCAGCAGCACCCATTACTCTTTCCCCCAGAAGACATATTTACTAATATTTTGCTGTTTCTTTCCAGTGTTTTCTTTACATACTTTTACATACTTCAGAATATCATAGATTAAAAATTTTTTACCGAGAATCAAACTCAGGATCTTGTGCTTGCCAGGCAGGGGTTTTTTGTTTGGTTTTGGTACCAGGGATCGAATTCACAACTGCGCACTCGCAAGGCAGGTGCTTATGTTGCTGAGCTACATTCCTGGTCTGATTAAAAATTTTTTACACCATCTTATAATTACCAATTACACAGATCTTCTAACATTTTAAATTGCTTTATTATTATTTTGTATGAATGATAATTTGTTTTGTTTGCTTTTTATGATACTGGGAATTAAGCCGGGGCCTTCAGCCGGGTGTGGTGGCTCACGCCTGTAATCTTAGCACTTGGGAGGCTGAGGTGGGAGGATAGTTGTGAGTTTGAGACCAGCCTGGGCTACAAAGTGAGTTCAAGGCCAGCTTGAACTGTATAGCGAGACCCTGTCGCAAAAAAGACAAAAAATTTAAAAAAGAAAAAAAAAAAAGGGCCTTCACACTGAACTATATTCCAGTCCCTTTTTATTTTTTTATTTTTTGAGATAGGATCTCACTAAATTAAGTCACTAAGTGGCTCAGCCTCATGTCCAACTTTTGATCCTCCTGCCTCAACCTCCCGAGTGCTCCTGGAGTCCACGTGCACCACCATGACCAGCTATGATAATTACTTCTGTAAATGTGGATTATCTCCAGTGTCTCTCTGACTCTGAATGTCTTTCCATTTTTAGCAGCAGCAGGCGCTCTTTAGTCATCTCTTCCCCAGTTCGAACATCCACCATCTCCAGCTCTGTTAGCTCACCTACCAGTCCCTCTGCACTTTCCTCGATGAGTGAGAGTGAAACAACTGAGGAAGAGCTGACACCTGATGCAGGCAAGGGAGAAGACCACTCTGAGATTCAAGAAGAGTCCTTGAAAGATGAGGGAATGGAAGAGGAAGGGTCTGAAGCAAGCTCCTCTGAGGAGGAAGAACCTCTGCCTGCCTGCAATGGCCCAGCCCAGTCCCAGCCCTCTCCCACCCAGGGTAACAAGTCGCAGGAGGAAATTTTGCCTTGCTCACCAGCTCCATCACCAGATGGAGCTCTGACCCCTTCAGAGCAGTCTTCCCCTCTCCCAGAAGTAACCCTGCGAACCCGTGCCTCAAGCGAGGGATCTGAACAACCAAAGAGAGCCTCTATCCAGAGGACTTCAGTGTCCCCTAGTAGACCCCCTCCTCCCAAAGCCCCTCCAAGCCCTAAGGCTGTCTTGGGGACTGGGACTCCAAGTCCTAGAGCTTCCTTAGAGGCCTCTTCTAATCCAGAACCACCAGAAAAGCCACTGAGGTCTCCTGAGGTAAGAGAAAAGGAAGACACCCCTGAACAGAACCCGGAAGAACTTTGCACTTCCCCCAGCGTGCATACTTCTCAGGTAAGAGTGGATCTGGTTGGGTCTTTGTTCCCTTTTATAGCCTCCATGTAGAGTATCTTTACCGTGGTGGAGCTGTCCCATAGTTAGTAAGATATTACATTACAGTCAAGAATACTTTTGGATACTTTTTTGGATTTGGTTCTGAAAATTGTTTATATCTTTGTAGCAACTAATTTTTAAAATTTGTTGTTTTTCTTTTTGGTTTTTTGAGACAAGATCTCCTTATGGGGCCCAGACTGGCCTCAAATGTGAAGTGATTCTCCTGCCTCAGCCTGAGTGCTGGGATTTCAGGCATGCTCTACCATATCTGCCTTGTAGCAGCTCATTTAATAATCTAATCTAGGGGAACTGACACCTATAAAGTATATCAGTAATATTATGATAGGTAGATTCTTAATCATTTCCTTTCCAACAAGGTCTAAAGTTCTCAATACTACAGCAGGCATCCATAACTTTCTTTTTTTAGTGGAGATAGGGGAAAGAACCTTCAGTTTATTATACCTGTGACTCTGGCAAATAGACCCAGAGAAAAATGGCCACAAATTTCTCATCATTTTTTTTTTAATGAGAAGGACCTAGAAGCAGGAACTCACAGAAGAATTTAAAACAAAAAGGATGCCTTTGAAAGATGAGACTAAAGCTGAGAAATAAGAGACACTGATACACTAGAGAGAAACTAGTTCTGTGAAGGCTCTGGAAATCAGGTCATGTTCTATTCAAGTTACAGAGAAAGGCTATTCAGAAAAGAGTGAGAGAGTTCTGGCTTATTCTTTGAGCCTGCAGAACCCTGTGTATAAAGTTAAAAAGATATATTTTGTATCAAAAGGCACTACCTCTGTATAAAAAGCAGGTGGAAAAATATATTTTTTAAAAAAATTTATGGGTAATGGGGCACAAGAGTCTAATAAACAACAAAATGGGGCACTGGGGCAGGTCAGGGATAGGGGCTGGCTTAGCATGCCCAGGGCTCTTGAATGGATTCCGAACACCACAAAAATTTAAAAAGTTTGAGGAAATAGGATGTAAGCCAGGTATGATGGTGTCCACCTGTAATCCCAGCATTCAGGAGGCTGAGGCAGAAGTACCATGAGTTCAAGACCAGCCTTCACTCCATAGTGAGACCTTGCCTCAAAAAACAAACAAAAATAAGATGCAAAAAATAGCTCTCCTTCGTTGATGCCAAGAGCTAAAAATCTATGATCTTTGGTCAGGTGCATGGCAGAGAATTTTGTTGATATGTCTGTCTAGATGGCAGCAGGATTCATTCATTCAGTATACAATCACTTAAAAGGGCTCTGCTATGTGCCCAGCATTTTTAGGAGATGAGTTAGAACAGTGAACAAAACACAGAATTTTTTGCCTTCCCGGACCTTATGAAGACAGACATGGATAAATAGTTAAATCCAGTGATGAAATATAAACAAAAATTAAGTGGGGACTGAGTTGCAGTTTTAAACAGAGTTATCAGAGAAAATGAGACCTAAGCAAGAAAGAAGGCCAGGACGTGAGTCAGTTGGATATCTGGCAGAAAAGCACCTGGTACGTCTTGGGTCAGACCACCCCACTACTGCTGCCTTTGCCCACCCTAGGTTGGGCAAAGTATTCCTTGGGGGTCTCCTGCTACCTGAAAGGAGCAACCCAGACAGGATTTGAGGGTTAGCACCCAGGTATACAAAGTGTGTGACTATCTCTCACATTGTTCACTTTGATCTACAGGATTTTTCAGAGCCTGGAGGTTCAAAAGAGGTGGCAGATGAGGAGAACAAGGAGCTTATCTCAGCTAACCCTCCTGAGGTACTACCATCTAAATCAGCAACATTGTTACCACCTCAGGTGTTTCTTGACTCACATGCAGTGCTAAAGGCTCTAGCAAAAAGTCACCCTTGGCTCGTTCTAGTCAGAGGCAGATTGTGAGATGTATGGAACCTGTGGACAATGAATAAGCATCCCGGAACAGATTCGATTGTTTAGCTCTATCCCCACCCCGATTCAGAGCCTTGAGCAAGTCAAGTATAGCGTCTTCCCATTTTTCTGCATTGAAAGTAGCAACTCAATGTTAGGGAAAATCCAAATTAATTTGTTTGACTTTGTAATGTGTGATTTAGCATGGATCCAGCAATAGAATGACTTCTGTTTGGCTCTGCTGAAGAATAGAACAAGTCTGCATCCTTGGAGTAATTTTATTGAAATGGAGATTATAGGCACCAAGTTTCTGTTTAACTTTTTGAGGAGCAGGCCAGTAATACCATCCTCCCTGGGAGGGAAGTACAGCACACAACCTCCTTTCCCCCAAGGCGATTAATACTGTTCCTCCCCTCCATGCTGTCTGATAGGATTGATGTGGTTATCAGCTAAGGAAACATGTTTCCTCTGTGGTACCAAGGAGCTAAAGCATCTTAGATCCATCCTGTCAGCGTCACCAATCCTTCTGAAACCATGTCCTCCAAGGTACTCTCATCTCCCTTGCAGACACATCCTAAATCACATTCTCAGCAGAAATATGGCTGTGTCACATGTTAAGTGGAAAAATAAAAATGTAGCTGAGGAAAAACCAGTTTGTGCTCAGCGTTGCAGAGAGAAGGAAGGTTTTGGTGATTTATTTAGAAGATAGTAATAGCTTTGAGCACATTCATAGCCTAGAAAGGAAGGAGAGAGTAAGAAGAAAGAAATTTTCCTTAAATCATGAAATTTCAAGTGATTGCCACAGTGCTTGGTAATTGGTTGTTTTTTGTTTTTCATTTTAGCAGGTTTTAACTAAAGTTACACAAAAGAATTTATTCCTGCATCTTTTCAATCATTTCTTCCTTGTATTTGCCCTTTTCCTTTCCTACCTAGCTTTCCATTCCAGGATCTTTTTGCGGTCTTTGTCCAGTTTTAGCCTGGTGGTAACCACCTTACTGGGGTGAATGCCCACGTGGACAGCTGTGCCATTTGCCTTCTCCCCCTGCACCTGTTCAATGTACTTCTTCCTGTAAACATGGATTACTTTGCCAATCTGCTGACATCTGTAGTGTCCTCACACAATCTGCACCTCATCATCCTTTCGGCTGGGCATAGATCGAACATTGTTTTTCTGTCTTAGCTATTTGGAAAGAGGGGAAGACATAATCTTCCTGTGAATGTGCGAAGGTGCATTAAAATGCCTTTTACGGTTCTTGGTTCTGTCCAAAGTCACAAAAGGATTGAACCTCATTTTGGCCACTGCAACTCCAGAGATGGCCACAAAAACAATTGGTTCTGTTTTTAAAAGATGCACTTCATAGAGTATAAACTAAATTTCAATTAAAAATATAAAAAAATTTAAAGCCCTGATAATGCTAAAGTCTTTTGCTGGCATAGCAGTTCCTTAACAGGGGTTTCTGCACCTTGGGTTCCATCTCGGGACCTGTAACTTTTCCCAAAGAGAACATCATGCCATTTTCCTCTCTAATCACTAAAGTGATTTAGGATCACTTGTGTGGGGGCGCTGCAGTGCATTCCTGAGGTTAGTCTAAGAATGGTACACAGTAGTTTGGAAACCACACACACAAACGTGTTACACACATCACATGGTGTCTGTTCATGAAAACAACTTGGAATCTAAAGACCTGTTTCTCTGTCCTAGCAAGTCATCTCACCCTTTGAATCTTGTTTGTTCCTTGTTTTGTGTGTTTTGTTTCCTTTTGTTTCTGAGACTGGGTCTGGATGTGTAGTTCAAGCTGGCCTTGAACTCACTACATAGCCCAAGCTGCCTCCTGAATGCAGGATTATAGGTGTGCACCACCATACCTGGCCATCCTTTGAATATTGATTTCTTCATTTTTAAAAGACCATGAAGGAAAGCCTTCCCTGATGCTTCAGGCTTTGTGAAACCTCCTTGCATGTTTACCCTTTGTATTGTACATGACCCTTTAAAAGTGTAAGGAACAGGCACCCTTCTCAATGGAGAGGCTGAAAAGGCTGCACCACCTCTCAATGGCAGAACTCTTCTCTTTTTAGGGCCACAGCGATCAGCTTCACGTTTCTGTAGTTCCAGGACAAAATGACATCATAACACCTGAGCCTCAAGAAGAGGTAAGGAGATGAGAAATACAGGGAACAGTGTGGGTATGAGACTGGGCACTGGGTGTAGACAAGGGTCTGGCTGCAAGCTGTGATCCTCACCATGGGCTTCAAATGCAAGGGAATCCACAGTGAGCAACAAACACCCTTTGGGCTAGGTCGGGGTAGAGAGCCAGAGGAACCAAGAATGAAATGGAGCTTCAGATGTCTCCCCCGCACCCCCTCCAGTACCGGGGATCGAACTCATGACTACGTGCTTGCAAGGCAGGCACTTATGCCGCTGAGCTAAGTCCCCAGCCTCCTTCGTGATGTCTTTGTTCCCATTTCCCAATTCTTGGCCTTACACTAACCCTGGTTCCCAAGTATTTAATGGTATCTGTGCTTTTGGTTTTTTTCTTTTCTTTTTATTTTGTGACAGGGTCTCACTGTATAGTTGGGATTGGCCTTGAACTCACTATATACCCCAGTATGTACTCTAGGCTGAAGTAGATCCTCTTACTTCAGCCTTCCGAGTCCGGGATTACAGGCATGCGCCACCATGCCCAGCTGTAGTTATTTTTAAAAGGAGTTCAGGTATACAAGAAGCATATAGGGCTGGGGGTTTAGCTCAGCGGCATAAGCACCTGCCTTGCAAGCAGGCAGCCGTGAGTTCCATCCCTGGTACCGATAAAAAAAAAATAAAAAAATAAAAAAAAAAAGAAGCATACAAAAGCATTACTTATTTATATCATATACATACTATACTTACACATTTAAAAGGTAGCAGAGCAGTTCAGAAGTATGAGACAGAATGGTGACATAAAATGACGTGAATTAGGCAAGTACAAAAATGCACTTTATAAAATAAATTTACTAAGGATTCACCAAAATAGTGATTCTAGACTTTTCCAACATCCAAGAAAAAGAGAAACACCAGATTCATGGTGCTTTTTTTTTTTTGTACTGGGGATTAAAATCATGACCTTGCCAGGCAGGTGCTTTACACCACTGAGCTAAATCCCTGGCCCATGGTGCCTATTCTCTAGGAGACAATAGCTATTGCTACTAAGAGAAGGAAGTTTGTCCTGTGACTCTTCATGAACAGAGGTAAATGATGTTAGCGAACAGTAAGTCTCTCCAACAATCTCAACACCCTGCTTCACACTGCCTCCCTGAGCAGAAGCCAGTAGCATTACATGGAATACATTGCAAGAGGAGAAAACTGAGGTTTTACTCTCAAGTAGCTGGTAGAAAGGCAGATCAGCATCTAATACAATTGCCTTTATTTTCCAGGTTTCCACAAATGAAGATGCACGATTCTGAAGAGAAACTGCCAAGGCCACCCCTACACACATTTCCTCAGAGAAGCTTCACAGCCAGAGGGGTTAGAGGGTTCAGAATCAGCATTCCCTCTGGGCTGCTCAGAGGGCAGGAATGCTAAGACTTGGCATTAATGGCAGCTGGGGAGCAGCCTTATGGGAGGGACAGAGGGAGGCTGGCTTGGAGACAGAACTGTTAGACTCAGGGAATATTTTAATTCAGGTTTTAGTATTATCAGAAAAGTGAGACTTTATGTAACAAGATGAGCTGTAATGACTATAAAAAGCAAAAGTTCCTATAAACACAAACACTTGTCCACAAAGATACAAAACCACACATACTCAGAAGATTGTGAACAAACATGCTTTTGACTTAGCCATTTATTTTGCAAGACTTAAATTCAAAAGAATATATTTTCAGGTTGTTAAATAAAGTATGGTTTTCACTATATCTGGATCACTGTTTTGACACAGGGTGTTGCTTTAACTCAGCACATTGTTTTCCACTTAGGTAAGATTATTGATTTTGCCCCAGGCTAAGAAAGCTTTAGTCATATCCCTCACACCCAGCTCGCTCTACCTGTTTGTCATAACTCTTTTATTGTGCTTTTCCTCAATCTAGATATGTTACTATATAAGTAAATACTGTGAGAAAGGGGTTATATTTTAGAGCAGTACTGTAGTCAAGTACTTGCTTAGATTAAGGGATCTGAGCAGGATAAACTCAGATTTTTTTCCTTTGGAGGTGGTTTCTGTTTTTCAGTACTAGGAACTGAAACCAGGGGGCAGAGACTCTGTCCTAGTGAACTATATCCCTGGCCTCCCTGTTTTTTGAACCAGGCTTCCACTAAATGGTTTAAACTGGCCTTAAACTTGTGATCTTCCTTGCTCAGCTGAGGATTTCAGTAGCTGGGTTATAAGTATGGGCCAGTATGCCCAGCTAAAGGTAAAATCTTTAAGAAAGCAGTGAGACTATTGAGCAGAGAGCAGAATGGACAAGATTTAATGATGGGTTAGAAGGCAACACTTGATCAACATTGAGATTCTAAGGCATTATTCTAGGTTCCTCTTGCAAGTAGCATCTGGTGTTATTTCCCCAAACAGTAACTACAGAAGGAAGTGCATTATGTGGGCCCTCTGGTTGCAAGCAACAAATCCACAAAACAGCAATAAAAACATGGGGCCTGGTGCTACACTCCTATAATCCCAGCACTTGGGAGGTTAAGGGAGGAGGGTCACTGTGAGTTCAAGGCCAGCTTGAATTATGTAGGGTGAACCTGTGTCAAAAAGTGAAAACAACAAAAACAAATGAATAAAGGATACGTGAGAAGGTATCTCACAGAACTGACAAAACCACCAAACTGCAGGAAGGTCAAGAACCAGCCTGAGGAGTCCAATTGGAAAGTGTGGACTGCTGCTCCGTTTAGCTGCCATTAGAAGACTTCAGTTTCCGCTGCTTCCTGCCACTCTGTTCTCCCCAGATCCAGAGTCCCTGGAGAAAGAATCTGACAGATTCACTTTGCATGATGTCCCCGTCCTATGGCTAGGGAAATGAAATGTGACAGAATGGGGTACAGGGTGTAACATTATATGTTGGTATCTGTACTGATAAGCAGTGATGAGAATGACAGATTATTTTTAAAAACCACAAGACAATTTTAAAAAATGATAGAAATGCTTATTATCCTGTGTTGTCTGAGGTACCTGAAATCGAACCCAGGGTTTTTGCACAGAACTATACCAGAGATTTCTCACTAAGTCACTAAGTTGCACCTCTTTGAGTTTTTGCTAAGTCACTGAATTGCATAGGGTGTGCTGCAAAATTTGTAATCTTCCTGGTTTAGCTTCTCAGAGCACTGGGATTACATGTGTGCACCACCCTGGCCTGCCAGAAATGGTCTTAGTTTTTATTAGGGTGATAGTGTAACAGGTAAGTACATGTGTCCAGGCTTATCAAATTATGTACTTTATGTGTCTTTATTATGCATCAGTTATGCTTGATTAAGCTAATAAAAACAAACTCCGGGTCCCTATAAGCACTTGATATAAGAAGTTTGAAGCCCTTGCAGGATTTTCCAGTAGATGTGTCTGTCAGGGAGCTGGAAATATGTACTTATATTTGGAGATCAGTTTTCCATTTTATTTTTATTAAGCATTACATAATACACTGCATTCTACATAATATACTGCATCCCCATCTAATAAGAGTAGATGATCATAACGGAGTTACCTTTTCATCTATCAAGAAAATGCTTCCTTAATGCCAGGGATGTGCCTGTCTCTTTCAGTCAGACCCACTGATAGGGATAATGGGCAATCCTTTTCCCCTCACGCGCGACAGCAAGCTTGTGAATGTACGCAAGGGCCACTTGCCTAGATAAGCAAGCTTGCATCAAGGGTGGCGAATCCAGGAAAAAACTCAAACAACATCTCAGCATAGTTATGTGGACCAATAACCTTAGGAGCCATTTTTTAAAAACCCAATCCTAAGGGCTGGGGATTTGGCTCAGTGACCTAAGCACCTGCCTGGCAAGCATAAGGTTGTGAGTCCAATCCCCAATACCAAAAATAAGTAAGTTAAAAATAAAAATAAAAATCTAATCCTAAAAAACTAGGATTAGAGGTCCTATGTGACCCAATTATTCCCCTTCGGATCCTGGAAGAATTAAAAACATCATACCACAGTGATGTATGTACACCCACATTTGTAGCAGCACAATTTGTAATAGCTAAATCTTGGAAACAACCCAAATGCCCATCAACTGAGTAATGGATTAAAAGCTGTGGACTTTTTATTCAATGGAGTACTTCTCAGCCATAAAGGATAAATTTAAGACTTATAGGTAAATGGATGCAACTTGCTACCACACTAAGTGAAATAAATCAGACTCACATGTGTAAACATTGTCTCCTTGGTATGAGAAATTGAAAGAGTAAATATTGTGAAATGGGAAGAAATTGTTCAAAAGGAAAGAAGAACTAGGATGGGGAGAAGAGAAGGAAAGGAAAGGAAAAGGAAAAAAAATATATATACATGTATGTATAATACAGTTATACTACTAGTTTCTCTTAGTTCATTGAAAAGAAAGGTTTGTACTATATCTTTTGGAGAATTTTTTATGCCCATATCTTGTACTCTGAGTAACTACTTTGAAGATAACAATACACAGTGTATTCACTATTGTTATTATTTTGTTTTGAAGTTTTTTCCTATAAAATAGTTAAAATCTAATCCTGTTATTACTCTTCCAGCTGTGCTGACACATGCCTCAAACCCAGTATATTACAGCTTTACCTCTCCTCAAGAAGGAAAGGTTTAGTTAAGCTCATGGTTTTAGATTCAGTCTATGGTTTCGGCCTCCAAGGCAGAAACATCATAGCAGTGGGGCAAAGATGCTTAGCTCATGGTGGCCAAGCAGCAGATCAAAGGTAAATACCACAGAAGGTGCCAAGGATCATATAATATACTCAAGGTCAACCTCCTTCATGACTCACCTAGACACACCCAAATGTGTGTTTTACTAATCCCCTAGGCAGCTCCCAAGCCAATCAAGTTAACATAATGAAGTTTAACCACCATATCCAGCTACTTGGTAGGCTAAGACAGGAGGACTGCAAGTTTGAGACCAGCCTGGGCAACTTAGCAAGACCCTGACTCAAAAATCACTTTTAAAGGGCTCAAGCTGTAGTGATGATAGTGTGCTTATTAAGCTTGTGTGAGGCCCTGGTTTTAATCCCCAGCACTGGGTGTTGGGTGGGGGAGTAACCATTCAGAGATATGCTTTATAGAGACTACTGAGGAGGAGACTGCACACACTTCTAGGAGAGTTTTTCAAAATATGAAAATTCTGCCTAGTTTTAATGCCTCTCCTAGAAAGCATCTCTTCCTGAATAGAAAAATCAGAAAAAAGGTCTTATAAATAAAGAAGAGGGGCTGGAAGAGGGCGGGAAGCAACAGCAAGATATACCATGTACAACTACAAATACCCTATGATGAATGTACCAATAAAATAAAAAGATTTTTAGAAAGAAAGAAGGCATTCCCCTCCCTTAACACTCAGAATCTGCTAGGAATGTGTTCTGGAGAGTACTAGAAAGGTATGGGAAATGCTGAGAACACAGGCCTCTCACTGTGTAAGGTCTTCCATGATCTTCATGGTGAGCCCTTCACAGGGCAAAACACAGTTCAAGCTGGGACTTTCCAAACTCCTACTGCTCCAGAAAAGAGGTTCTCTTCGGGGAACATACTGGAGACTTGTAGGGATTTACAGTCTGGAAGGGGAGGGTAAACTGTTACCCTGATTTACAAAATGTTAAAGTTGTCTAAGGGGAAAGCCTGGGGCCTAGAAGACTACCACCTGGCAGCAACATAAGATGGAGTTGAAAGCTAATAAAATTAGGTAGAACAGTATACCTGTCTCCTGGTTGAGGTCCCTGGAGGTCTATTAAAGGATGGCTGCTCCAGTTTCTGAGGCTCAGCAGTTAATCCTTGGAGAGCACTGAAAGACTACCACATGGGGCTGCTGTCATCATCCATCCCTATCGGCTTTATATAGCATGAATCACAAATGCGCCATCCTGTCCCTGCCCTCCAGGGACAAATGATATTGACAGCCTAGGCAAGACAGAGAACTCTACAAACATGATTTATCCAGGGTAAACAGGTTGCACCCTTCTTGGTTGGACTGGCAGTTTCCCAACACAGAAAGTGAGCTACTTTCTCATCAATAGTGCTTCGCCTTTAAAAAAATCTATAAATATGGGCTGGGTGTTTGGCTCAGTGGTGTAAGTGCCTGCTTGGCAAATGCAAAGTCTTGAGTTCGATCCCCTGTACCCAAAAAAAAAAAAAAAAAAAAAAATCTATAAAGTGAATTCAATCAACTTTTTTCATCCTCTGGTTTTTATCAACACCTTAGAAATAAAAGCAATTTATTCTTGTTTTAGTCAAGAGTTTTTGCCCCCTCACTTTATAAGACTTTTTTAGTTGCTATTCCCAGATGCACACCCACAATCTGTCTAATCATTTGTATAAACATTAATTCCTCAACCTACAGAACTCAGGGGTAAGAAGCACAGAAGAGTATATACCACCGGGATGGAAAGTAGAATAACCACAAGAGATCCAACTCTGGGCAGCCAAGAGAATAATAGCTAACATTTATGGTGTACTTACTATGTGCCAGGTAAGGTTCTACTGCTTTCTATTAACGCATTCCATTCCCATAGTAATGCTATGGCAGGAGACGGGTATTGCCCTAGGAAAGTGAAAGAAACAAGTAATTTGTCCAGCCTGGGAGTGGTGTTGCCTGTAGTCACCTTGGGAGGCTGAGCTAGAAGAATGGAAAGTTCAAGCCTGGCCTAAGCAATTTAGTAAAACCCTGTCTCAAAATAAAGGGTTGGGGATGTAGCTTAGTGAGAAGACTCTGGTTCAATTCCCAATACTGAAAAACAAAACAAAAACTTGTCAAATTTACAAAGCAGAAACCATTCCAGAGGCACTATTACATCCTCTTGGTCACTGAATTCCCACGGATTAATTTGGGAACACTTCCAGCCACGAAGAAGTGAGTCAAAGCTAAAAGTACGGCTAAAAGTACGTAGCTAAAGTACGGCTGTGATCAATATTTAAATTACAATGATCAATTATTTAAATTACAATGCTTACCTTGCTCTAGAACAGTCGTTATGAAGTGGCTTTACAGGCATTGTCACTTTTAGTCCCCATTTTAGAGATGAGGAAACATAAGTTAGAGGTGTTAAATCATTTGCCCAAAGTTAGCAAGTTAACAAGCGGTGGGTCCGGGACTGTTTGAATCCAAAGTCCACGACACACAACACTCGGAACCTTCACACTAGGCTGCCTCAAAGGAAGAACCTGGAAGACCCAGGCAGGGCCTGGCGCCTCTCTCCCCGCTCCTGGTGCGCCTCCAAAATTCGCTTCGGAACCTCAGACCCACGTGCGTAAATGAGCTGCAAACCTCAGGTCTATGTAACTTTCCACATTCGCAGCAAATTCAAATTACTGCAACCCGGAGAGGTCCGACAGCACTGTGGGTGCCCTCTGCAGCCTCTGGGCGAGGAGGAAGCGGCTCCGGATGGAGTGCGCGGTGACAGCTGGCGAAGGGAAGGCAGCCTTTCCTCCCGGGGGAGCGCGGGGATCTGCGAGGGCGACTGCTCGGCTCTTTCCTGTCCCACCCGGGCGGCCTGGCCCCCACCCCGCCGGCCCGGCTGCGCGCGTCCCCGCGGTGCCCGCCCCCATCGAGTTCAAAGGGACGCGCGGAGCTGCGTGGGCCCTGCCCCGTCGCACGGCGGACTAGAAAGGTGAGCGCGGAGGAGGGGACCTGGGCAGGGCGGACCGGGCGCCCACACGCAGCAGCAGCAGCAGCAACAGCAGCAGCAGCAGCAGCCACTTGGCGGGGTAAGAACGGAAAGCGAGCGCGGCGGACTCGGCGTCCCGGGGCCCACGGTGCGTGAGCGGCAAGCGCGGGCGGTCGGGGCCGGGCACCGAGAGCCCGGGCCGGAGCGGCAGCCCGCCGCGTGCGCGCACCGTCCTCGACGTCCGCGGGTCCGTCAGGGCCCCGAGGCGGCCGAGGCTCAGGCTGGGACCGGTGCGGCTGGGAGGCCGGGTGTGGACGGCGCCGGGACAAGGCAGGGAGGGCGAGGGAGAGCCGGGGGCCGGAGACGGGCCGGACGGCGGCTGTAGCCCGGCGCCGAGTTTCTCTGCCTTCCGTCCCACCCCGCGTGGGGCCGACCTGCCCGGCGCTCTCCTGACACCTAGCGGATGGCTCCGCCCGAGCGCTCGGCCGCGGAAGCCCAGGTGCCTGTTACCACACTTGGGCGAAAACAGGGGCTGCTGCCCACCTGTGCCTTTTTTGGCCTTGAGGTCTCTTGGGTAAATGTGATCGCCCCGTGCAAGGGTCGCACGGGTGATACGCGGTCTCCAGTTGCCCTCGGGGAGAGGCTACCCAGAGCACGAGAGGATCCTCAGGGAGACCCGAAGAGAAGGGTTAAAGGGGAAGCGGGAAAGGGACTCAGGGGAACCCAGGAACCCACCCGCCTCATTCCTGTGTGCTTCTTCCTCCAGATCTGCCCCTCTAACAAGGGTCTCCAGCCCTGGCCGCCATGGCCGGCCTTCCGACCACGCCTTCTCCTGGAGGTAGGTAAAGGCCCCTAATCCAGTGGACCCCAACCAGACCTGAAATTCCTTGAGGCCTCAGCTCTCCCCCCTCGCCTTGGCTGCTGCACTAAGGGAGAAGCCCCGGGCGTGAGCAGCAGACGTGTGTGTCCTTTAATGCGCCTACATTCTCAAGTGCGGTGGACCAGGCCGGTTCCGGCACCGCCAGTTAAAGCTTTGTAACCTTGGCTTATAAAGTTTTTTTGTAAGGGAACCGCTTTACATGCTGCCCTCTAATAATTAACAGCTGAGGCAAAGAGATTGGCAATAACTCCACAGTTAAATGTGGAAAAGGAATCTTCCAAAGATAACAGGGAAGTGAAAGAATAGCAAGGCCAGGCAGGATGGTGGGGCAGGCAGGTAGTCCCAGGTGCTTTAGAGGCTGAGGGTCACTTGAGCTTGGATAATAAATCCCTGTGGGGTGGGGGTGGGGCAGCAAAACATGCTAAGTTAGTACTGTCTAGCCTCTGATTTTTTTCCTACCTTGTAAAATAGGAAAATGGCCCCTATCTTATAAGGCTGAACAAGGACTGAACAAAATAATCCATATTAAAACATCTATAACAATGCCTGTAGCTTCTAGAAAGCACTAGTAACACTTGTTATTACTATTTATTAGAAACCCCACCTTTCCCTGGAAAGGGATTCTGCTTTGTAATTCCACGTCTCTAATGATACCGAGCCCCATTTTCTGAAAGTATGTGGGGTCAAGGATCTACCTCATCTCACCTTTCATTTCATAATCTGGGCAGACTCATCAGATATTTACATAGTATTTCAGCATGTGTTGATTGGGTAAGGGAGGAACAAATCCTTGGTGGGTCTGTATGCCTTTGTTTTCATATACACAGTCTCATTTATCAGAACCAAAATTTCTGCTTTTATTGATATGGAAGCAGGTGTGTGACAATCCCAGGGAAAGTCTTAGCATCTCCTGTGATTGGTGATGCATATAATTCAAATTCTTCTTTGGCAAGAAGACATAGGAAAAAGGAGAAATGGGCAGAAGTCTAAATCAGTCCACAAAGGCGTCCCAAGTACAGAAGGAATCTGAGAATTCTGGGAAGATGGGTAAAGTTTTCACAGACAAGGAGGGGACACAACAGAAAGTTTGGATGAGACGTGCCAAGTGCAAAGCTGTAGAGACTGGGTTTACCTTGGAGGATGTTCAGGAGAAGGGGAAGCATTTCCAAAACAAACTTCCCCACAGGGAAAAAGAGGGGAAACTTGGGCAGCGGGCTCAGGGGTTAGGAAACTATTTACCTTTTTTCTTTTTTAAGAATCTGTGGTAAAATACTCATACTACAAGTATTAGCCTTGGAACTTTTTTTGGTATATATTTCAGTGGTATTGAGTTCATTCACATTTTTGTACTGTACAATCATCACCACCATCCATCTCCAGAACTGTTTTATTTTCCCAAATTGAAACTGCATACTCATTAGGCGTTAACTCCTTATTCCGTTCTCCTTGGGCCCCTAGAAACCACCACTCTACTTTCTCTCTCTATGAACTTGACTATTCCATGTACCTTATATGAATAGAATAATATCATATTCTTCTGGGTCAGGTTTATTTCACTTAGTATAATACTGTCAAAGCTCATCTATGCTGTAGCATAGGTTAGAGAATTTCTTTCCCTTCTAATTTGGCATAATAGTCCATTGTGTATTTATGCTACAGTTTGTTTATCCATCTGTTGATCAGCATTTGGGTCATGTCCACATTTTGGCTATTGTAAATAAGACTGCTGTGAACATTGGTCTACAAATACCTGTTCAAGTATCTGGTTTTGATTCCTTTGGCCATTTATCCAGGAGTGGAATTACTGTATTATGTGGTAATTTCTATGTTTAAATTATTTTTGAAGAACCACTGTACTGTTTGTTTTTCATAGCACCTGCACCTTGGACATTCCCACCACCAATAAGCAAATGTTCTAATTTCTTCAACCCTTGCCAGCACTTATTATTCTTTGGGTTTTGTTTTGTTTTTTAGTAGTAACCACCCTAATGGGTATGAAGTGGTATCTCATTGTCGTTTTAACTTGCATTTTCCTAATGACCAGTGATATTGAGCACCTGGATGTCTTTGGAGAAGTGTCCAGGTCCTTGCCCATTTTCCACTTGGGTTGTTATTGAGAGCCCTTCCTGGTCCTAGTCACTGTCCAGGAAGTTTATATTTGTAATCCCATGGAAAGTTATTGGAATTCTAGTGAGTTAATTCCAATCTGCCACTTCTAGTGCAATTCATGGCAAGAAAAAAGACACTAAGGCATATTTGTAGTTGTGGGAGCCAAGGCGGTTCTAAATCCAGGTAGGGTGATGGCTAACCAGAACAAAAGCCTTTACCCCTGGCTGAACCTGGGTTAATTTATGAAGAGGGGAGTGTTTCAGAGATGAGTGACTTTGAGAATGATGGGAAGTATGTGAGTGCTGTGAACTGGATTAGGTTGGAGTCCTGCAGTCAACCTCTGCAATATGCAGAGATGATATGCAGAAAGACTGATCTGTGTAACACAGTTGAAAGTAGTATCTAACGTTTTGGGGTCGGTGCTTTAGCTCTGATGTGTAATCTTTGATGCCCTTGGAAGTCATAGCCTTATCTCAAGGCTCAGTCCCAGCTGACAGGGTCAGTTAGCAGGGATCATGGCTCTTCCTCCCACCCAGCTCACACCTGCTTTTTGGGAGCTACAGAGCTAGGCAGCACTGACTTGTCACCTTGCTTCAAGGCTACACATCAGCATGTTGGCTAGACCCATTTGCATTGCTTAATGCCAGTTGAAGAGATAAGAAAAAGTCCTAGCCATCTCTGTACTATCAATACATAGAAATGGGGCCAGATTTAGCCAAGATGGAGATGATAATTCTTCTTTTGGGGAAAGTCATCCAAGTAGTCCTCCAGAAGTGGTTATGTCATTGTTGCTGTTGAGTTGTATATTTACATTCTTGATCCAATAAGTGAAATGCATAAAAAAAGAGAAACCCATAGAGTGGTATTAAGGGTGTATCATATAGTCCCCTGCCCATTGGGTTCCAGCAAATGTGAGTTTAGGGACAAGAGTGGAGAAAAGAATAGCAATGACACAGAGAAGAGAGCTGTTTCTTTGAATAATGCAATCATTGAGAGTCCAGCTCTTTACTCCATGCCGTCTTGCACTTGCTTCCCCCAGCTTCTTCCTGTGTCCTCTTCCTATCCCTTTTCCTCAGTTGGTAGACATTTCCTTAAGGAGAGATCTTTCAGGAATATTGAACATGAGAGCTGCATTATGACTTTCCTAGGCACTGCCCATCCCACCAACTAAAGCCCATCTCTTACCAGCTAATAATCATACTAACTACTTTCCAGGTCGTCTCATCATGTACTAGAAGCTTAGCATTTTTTATCCTACTTAGTCCTTACCACAATCCTTTATAAAAGTTTTAGTCTCATTTTACTGAAGCAAAAGCTGAGGTTTAGGAAATTAAGAAATTTTCTCTAATTAAAAGAATTTCCCACTGGGCATGGTGGTGCATGCCTGTACAGTAATTCCAGCACTGGGAGGCTGAGGCAGGAGGGTTGCTGTAAATTCGAGATCATCCTGGGCTATATAACCAAACTGTGTCTCAGAAAAACACAAGATTTTCCCAGGATACTGTAGCTAATCATGGCAGAGGCAGAGTTTTGTGCCAAGTCTGATTTATTCCCAAACCTGTGTTTTTCCAGTCATGGTCTACTGTTTCCAAGGTCTCACTGTACCCCACTGACCAGGGCGGCACACGTGAAAGGGAAAGGGAAAGGAGCAGAATTTTAGGCAGGTTCCCACAGAACACAGATCCGGAGGCACCGCCCTTTGCTGGGAAGGTTTAGAGCAAATAAGTAGGTTGGCAGCCTCCAGTGGCAACAGATCTGATGCCGTGGTGATAAGGGATGTAGCCCCACCTGGGGAAAAGGGCCACAAAGAAACCAACCAGTAGTATCTAGGTCAACAAAAAGGATAAGAGAGCAGAATAAATTGTGAAGGTCATTTGCTGTCAGTTAGGATTTGGGTGGAACCTTAAATCTTGTGGTCCTCTGCGTTGGCCTCCCACCCACAATAAAAAGGATGTAGTCTTTCCAGACTTGAGGAGGGAAGATAGAGGATAATAGTATTTCCTTGTTGGAACAAGATGACCACAAAGAACAAAGGTAGGAGTGGGTGATACAGGGGAAAGCTATAGTCCTTTCTGTGCTTACCTTAATCTTTTCTTTTAGGTCTTAGGGGTCAAACCCATAGCCTTGCACATGCTAAGTGTGCGTTGTACTACTGAACTATACCCCTAGCTCTTTGCCTTCCCTTTCATGCCAGGCTTCCTGAACTGAGCTTACTTTAGTGGTGGTATCAGCTTTTTCATTTATAAAGTAATGTGTGGCATTGGATATGGTGGCACATACCTGTATTCTCAACATGTAGAAGGCTAAAGCAGGAGGATTGCCATGAGTTCAGAGCCACTCTGGGCTACATAATGAGTGCAAGGCCAGTCTGAACTGCATAGTGAGACTGTCTCAAAGAAAGAAAAAAAAAAGTAACGAATGCCTCTTAGGGACTAGCTTTTAGGGAATGGACCTTTTTTATGTACATATAGACACAAATGCCCACTTAAGGTTATAACCTTATAAGATATAACCCTATAATACATATTGTAGCTATTTGCTTTTTTTCATGAAACAGTATCCATAAATATGTCCCAGTGTTACTGCAAAGCTACCACTTTCTTTTCCTGGTGGTGCGGGCTCTTGCTTAGTCTCTCAGGCTGGCCTCCACCTCCAGATCCTTCTGCCTCGGCCTCCATAGCTTTGCTTCAACTATTCATTCTGAGCTAGGATTTTTTCTCCCATGAACCTTGCGTCAGTTTTCCTTTTCCTTCCATTAAGGAGACGTCTATCTTCTCCCTCAAGTTTGTGTTTAGTCTTGTATAGATCTTCGCGAGGCCTATTAGAAGACAAAATTCAAATTGTAAGCC